CTGCCGGGGCTCTTTATGATAAGGAGTTCATTGTCTGCTCTCTGGATCTTCTGTCTGGACTGTCCGAGGGGCTTGGTAGTGGAATTGAGAGTTTGGTAATCATCTTCCTTTAGCATATCCGTCTTATGTTAGTCAACAATTTCCCGTCCATAAATGAGAATGCTGGTATTAATTTTCTTGATTATATTCTCTTCAGGTAGCACAAAGTAGTTTGAGAGACCTGCTCCTGCAGTGCTGCATGGATGACGCTTCTGATGTTAGACAAAGTGCATTTGCTCTTCTTGGAGACCTTTCTAGAGTAAGTGGGACACTTTGTTTCTATCAACCCTTGAATGTTAGTTGGTGTTACACAGGAACTGGAATTATGCAAGTCTATTAGTAAAAGTTCCTAAGTTGCATATGTTCGTTATACATATTTTTATCTCACTTTAGGTTTGTTTGATTGTTAATTCCTTATTTTGGTATTCCTCAGGTATGTGCTGTTAGTTTGCATCCTCGTTTACCAGAATTTCTAGACGTTGCAGCTAAACAATTGGTTAGTAAAACAAACTTCTTAAATACCAAACAGTTTTTATTTTGAAAATAGTACATTGATTTGATAGATCACCCATGCAGAATACTCCTAACCTGAAGGAAACTCTTTCCGTAGCCAATAATGCTTGTTGGGCTATTGGAGAGTTAGCCGTTAAGGTATGGCCCTCTCTTCGGATCCTGTAGATTCTCTCATGAGGTTAACTAGACCATGAAATGCTTTATTCCTGAGAAGACAACTAATTAATATGTTTTCCCTTGAAATTTCAGATTCAAAAGGAGATCTCCCCTGTTGTTGTCAATGTCATCTCATACCTGGTGCCAATTCTACAACACTCAGAGGTATTACCGTCCATCTTACTACATACTTGTATGTCCTGGTGATTTATATCTGAATGGTCTTACCCGGATCTCAAACCAGGAGCTGAACAAGTCACTTGTAGAAAATACTGCTATCACCCTTGGAAGACTGGCTTGGGTTTGCCCTGAGTTAGTGTCCCCCCACATGGAGCATTTTATGCAACCTTGGTGCATTGCTTTGTCTATGTAAGCCGGGCTGGATTCTGAATTAGAAAATCTTGGTGGGTAATGTTGTGTCAATGCAACCTGAGCAGTTGTTGGTTATATGTGACAGGATACGTGACGATATTGAGAAAGAAGATGCCTTCCGGGGTCTATGTGCAATGGTAGGTGTCTCATTTGCTAATGGTTTCTTTTGACCTAAACTGGCTTTGTTAAAGGAAAGCATTAATTTGTTGCTTACTAGTCATTCTCCTTTTACTTCCAGGTCAGAGCTAATCCATCAGGAGCTCTAAGCTCACTTGTCTTCATGTGCAAAGCAATCGCAAGTTGGCATGTAAGTGTTGCGTTTTACTATAAAAACTGATTGCTCTAGAAATAAACCACTTCTCACATCGACATAACTGTGGATACAGGAAATAAAAAGTGAAGATCTGCACAATGAAGTTTGCCAAGTGTTGCATGGTTACAAACAGGTTCGTCTTTTTCTCATTTCACTCTTTTTTTAATGCTTCCTAGTTCACGTTTACTTCTGAGTGGGTTCATTTATGAATCAAATCACATTGTCGAATTCATGATTTAGAGCCAACGCCTTTGTTGCTGAGTTTTTGTTCAACAAATGGATTTATAGTGATCGTTTGATGAATATCACAGCAGATGCTTAGGAATGGAGCATGGGACCAATATATGTCTGCTTTGGAGCCCTCAGTAAAGGAGAAACTATCCAAGTACCAAGTATAGATACTTCAAATAACACTGGAAATGATTGTGAAGGTCATATTTTTGTGCTGTCCGATACGATTGGAGCCATCGGTTATTATTTGAGCATGGGCCCATCTTGGTCATGAAGATTCTTTTCCAGGCAAAGAATCACTACTGGTTGCCATGATATGATATTCCTTGAAGCTTGCAGCAAACTTTACAGCCCCTGTTCAACATCAATGGAGAGCGATAGAGCTGGTTGCATCTGGGGAAAATTGTTTTTATGTTTAGTGAACGAAGATGAACCGTTGTGTGGAATGTGCCGAAACGTTGTACAGGGGTGCTGTAGGTTCAAAAGCTTTTGGGTTCACATACTACTCGTTAGTGTTCATGTGGGGATCATACATCATTGCAGTTTTTCATTTCCTGGGGTTACCTTTTCATTTTTTGTGGTCAGCTGGTTCTCTTTTTTCTTGGGTGGTGCCTCCTTAGAGAGGATAGAGAGTTTCAGTTTGATTTCCCTCAGATTTTGTAGGGTTGGGTTGTGAAAGAACACCGGTTTCACCATTGCCTTGCTAAAGTATGTAAGCTAGGAGATGGTGTTCAGTAGGAAATTTTTGTTTAGATTTGGAATGGTTGTATAAGCAAACTTGTGTATGTAACAGTCATCTTCTTGAACCAATCAAAACAATTTCACTTTTTTTGGGTATCCTTTGCAACCTATTCCTTATTAGCTTACCATACAGCTCCAAGATTTTCAATATCTAACATCTTGGCAAATCCTAATGTAACTAGGACGTGATCATGTACGCAATTATCCCTTCTGTTGCAAGGATATTCTATATAAAGTTATCCTAGAATGCCATGGCATTAATCCACAGAAGTCATCTGTAACAAAAACAAAGAAGGATTGCTCTCATACTATAGATGCTGTGAACACAGAAAATCCCTCCATTCTCCACTAATGTGACTTTCCCATTCAGATGCCAAAACACGGTGGCGGAAACAGTCTACATCTACAACATTGATGGAAGGTCAGGCAAACTGACTGGCTCCGTTTGTTATGCATCTCTTACGTCCAGAAACCATGCTGCACTTGGTGACTACCTTAAAATCAAGATGTTCAATAAAGATCCTTAGGGCGTGAAGGCTTATCTTTTATCATCCAGACCTGGAAATGGCTGGCGCTGTATGAGAGATCCGCAAAGTTGAATCTCACGGTGTTCTCCTCAGAAACAAGGCAAGCAAATAGCATAAAATGGAGTCAACTGATGAGAGCGCAACAATGAGCAGTGCAACGAGGACAAGAGTTAGAGTAGCAGTCTTCAGCTGCAAAAGGAAAGAAGAAATAAACCCCATCAACAGCAAAATCTCAAGGCTTGAACGATCCAGGATGCTTGTAATTTGTGTTTGAGTTTGAACTAAGACCATAAAATAGGACATACTGTGCTCTGAAAACCTGGCCATTCCAAATGCTTGAGTTGACTCGGTTGTTCTACAAGGAATGCATATAGAGATTTCAAACCCCTGAAAGCAGGGAAATCAAATCATCATCATTCCCTCATGATAACATAAATCTTAATCATTTTCCACAATGAATTTTTCACATCCCGAAGTACGAAACAAATCAACAAATCTTTACCAAATGCCTTCCTTCATAAAGCTTAGCCAAAATGGATCCTCCTTGGGCAATTCATCTTCATAGCTGCTCAACTGGTAGTAACCATCCCTCCCAGCAGAAGATGAAATGCGCTTATCGCGAAAATCTCTCGCAGGATACTTGTGGATCGCTCCTCCGGAAATCTATTAAGTTCAAGTTACCAAATGCTAACCATTTCTTTGAAGAAGCTCTAACACTGAAGCAAGTAAAAGAAGGAGCAGAAAGAGAGATAGCTACCATTCCTCTTCCCAGCCGACATGAGTTTATCTCAACCACCGTTCGATTCAATGTCCTATTCCCATATGGCAGTCCAGAAACACCTGTAACTCGCAAACCTAGGAAAGAACCAGACATGGCTAAGTTCAGACAACAGCACACACAAACTGTGAACTCATGAAATGACACTTGAGAATCAAAGATAGAGACCGAGAAAGCCTGTACAACTGCCATGAATCCCAGAAACAGAAGTAGCCATGTGCGAATTCCTGAAATTTGTCAACATCTACTCCACCTACAGACACAATTACACCTTCAATTCAGCCGCCAGACACAAGGCACTATAAAGTTTTGCTTACAGGAACGATAACTGCTCAGACTTGTTAAAGGGTTTCCATTAAATCGAGTGTTTATCACAAAACTAGGAGCAAATCCAAGAAACGGAGACAAAATTCACCACCTTTTGAAAGGGGGTTTACTTCACCTTTGGAGCTCAACCGACTGACTGGAGTTTCAAGAACTGAACTTTTCCACAGTATTCAGCCGGAGTCTTAGAAGTTTGAAATCACGGCACCGGAACGGAAATGGTGAGATTCTATACCGTCGGTGATGACTGAGATATCAGCGGAGCTCAAGTGGAAAAGCTGCTTACAGGAGAAAATTTCAGAGCTTCCCCTGCCACGCCCCGGTAGCAATCAGCAGGGGAGCCAAGCAGAAAGGCGTAGGGAAGTCGGTCTGGGCCGTGGAACAACCCAACTTCACATTGTTATGGGCCCACGTGGTTTCCAACTCCAGGCCCAAATTAGACTGCAATGATGGGCTGGTCTGTTTCGTTAAGAGAACAACCCAACTTACCTTGTCAATTACTCTGATAATTCACGATCCAGTTGATCCAAACATCAAGGGGGCGGTTTGGAAGTTGCGAATGCTAAATCGTTGTATTATAATGAATCACTACAATATAAATATATGCATTGATACAATAGATGCATTTTGACAATATATTGTTTGGTTGTTGAGATTCTAGTTTATATATTGATTTGTATAAAGTTACTTTATAGAGAAATGTCACATTTACCCTCACTTTTTAGTATAAAACAAAAAATATTGGTGTTATAAATGGAAAGAAAAAGTGGACACAAATCTAAAAGGAACAATCACAACAATCTCAACTTTTAGTTGAGATTGTATAATGCATAATTTTTTGTGATTGTTGGTGGGGCCTACACAAAACAATACATGCATTGTTTTAGAACTTGACACTTCCAAACATTGTATTGTACATAATACATGTATTTAACAAACACAACTCTAACAATCACAACTTCCAAACGACCTCCAAACAAATTGACAATGTTTCATATTGGAGGATTTAAATTATTAATTTTTATTGTTGTTTTGGTATATAAAAGTCTAATTTAGTGGCTCCCAAACTCCTCAAAATGCAACCCTTCAAACATATATAAGATTTTTTTTTTCCATTTACATATACTTTCTCACAAGGACCTTAATTTTGAAAGACTTTTTTTTTTTAAAACCCACAACAGTTATTGTCAACTAGGTTTTCAGCTATCGTTCCTTCGTTTCTCCGTGACAACTATTATCCATCGAGCTATCATCTATCGTCTGTTGATTCGCCCATCAATTCACAATCTATTTCAAAACAATGTCGGTGAAATTCTAAATGCATGGTACCCCTCCACCGTTTGCCATGAAAGCTATCGAAGACCCAATACGAGATATGCTATGCCCAATCCTCACATTAGCCCACCAATTCGCAATCTATCTCGAATCATTATCTGCGAAATCATAAGTTATCCTCTTCCACCGTTTACCACAATCGCAACCGATTGTTTTAACATTATTGATTCCTTCTTCCCGGTATCATAACATTCAGAACTATTTCAAATTCTTGTCCCAATCGGTTCTAGCTCCCCGCCAAATTCCCCATACCAAAATCAGAAATCAAAAGTTCGTCTCCAACATATAGCTAAAGGAAAATAATTACTTTATTTCCAACAGGTATAAGTCACTCTTGCGTACAATGACCGGTCGTCGGAAGTTGTCGCCGCCGGCATCTGAAAGTATGCAGGCAAACAAAACAGAGAAGATTGCAAGCGATAATTAGTACTGATCGAAGGGCAGAATTAGCTCGAAGTATGGCATTATTGCAAATATATACGTACTTAAGCGGTGGAAGAGAGCAGGCCCTCCAATATGGTCGTGGAACAAATAACTTATCACAGAGTTAAACTCTTTAATGGTGGGTATTCCACCATAGAGCTCCACACGCTTCATCATTTCGAATGGAGAAGCCTGTTCTTCTAGCAATCCCGGAATGCAGGTTAGCGCCAGCATGATGACATCAGATGGAAAATGGTCAGATATTTTAGAATAAAATTTATCGTCTAAACTATCAAGAATATCATGTTCTCGATGTATCCGCGGCTAGAATCATTTATGAAAGCATCAAATTATGTCATAGAATATGTGTAACGAAGGGGATTCTTATTTGTACAAATGCTACCTCGAACTTGGAACGAGCATGAAGAAATTAACGATACTTTTTTTTATCTTTTGAGTTGTTCTGCTGGACCGGTTGCTCAAGACCTTTGGTCTCAATTTAGATGTTAAAAGATTGAACAATAAAGTCGTGGAGGTTAGTGATGACGGGTTAAGATCATAGTACTGGTTCAAATAGAGAGGTCTTTTTATGTCAGAGAATATGTTATATGTTATATAGATGTTGAAGATTGAACAATAAAGTCATGGATAGGTTAGTGATGACGGGTTAAGATAGTACTGGTTCAAATAGAGAGGTCTTCTGTTCGAATCTCTCTTTCAGCAAATCTGTTGATTTGACTTGAATCGGATCATGAGTAGCCACTACGATTGGAAGTCATAGGATCAGACTCTTCTGTAATCTGTATCTCCTCAAAGTATAGTGAACATTCGGTACTAACATTTCAAGTACTAACATTCGGTATGATTTTACAATCCATAACATCAAATCTCTCCGAATTTTTTAGGTAATTATGGTACTGTCTGTGAGATCGAATTTCTTTCAACAACTTTGGTATTGTAGGGAGAGGGGAAAAAAATCATTGGAAAGAGAGAGTTTTCAAAATTGTACCTTGATGGCATTGAGAGACAGCTTGACACGCTCTGCGTTGCCGAACTTCTCGAAGACGCGAATGAACATAAAACTCGACTCCTCCGCGGTAATTGGATAGGCGTAGTCGACCCTCCGCCGGGCGTCCAATTCCAACGATTCCAGCGACGGGAGGTCTGCGCTTACAGAGTAATCGAGGTAGATTCCTCTGCACGTCAGGAACCGGCACCACGGCGCGGAGATCGTGAACCAAGGCTGCGGCGGCGGCGCCGCCGCGTCGGAGAACACGATGACGATCTCCGCCAGACTGTGCCCCGACACCGTGACGGCGGCCGCCTCGAACTGGCAGTCGGCCAGCTCCAGCTTCTTCAGGTACCGGATCGAATCGAACGGCGAGGAGGAGGAATAGGAGGAGGAGGATCGCCGGATGACGCAGCGGTGGAGGCGGAGTGACGTCAGGGACGCGAAATTCGAGGCAAGGGACCGGAGTTCGTCAAGGTCGAAGATGAGGAGGGAGAGGTCGAGGTTTTGGACGGAGGAGCAGAGGCAGGCGAATCTCGCGGAGAAGTATATGGGCCGGTTGGCGGTTTGGGCTTGGGCCGAGGACCGGAGTGTTGGGACTCGGTGGGCCTGGCCGTAGTCGTGGATTCGGTCCAGCACGCGGGCCCATTCGGTGGAAGTGGTGGTGGTGACGCCGGCGGTTGCTGCTGTGAGGGAGAGGAGGCGGAGCGGGGAGCGGGCGTCGCGGTGGTTGAGCGCGTTTTCCACGAGCCGGTGGAAGCGGGCCAGGGGGATCCCGCCGGCGGCTTCGAAGCGGAGGGACGGGGAGGATTTCCAGAGGGAGGGGAACGACTTCCAGAAGAGGCGCCAGCGGGTGTTGAAGAGGGTGGTGCGGACGGCGGTTACCATGTCGAGCTCGGCGGCGGTGAGGATGGGGAGGAGGAGGTCGTCGGGGAGTTCGCTAAGCCTGTCCACGACGTCGGGTTGGTGCCCTTTTGTGGACGTTTCTTGGGGTCTACTCTTCGCCATTGTTGTTGTGTACTTCTAAGTGAGAGCGCATAGGGTTTGAGCGAAACATATATATATATATATATGGCAAAGGCTAGCGTACGTCAGTCGTACGCTGTACATCTGTGTTCACACTTGGTTATTGTACTTCAATATATTTCGCTGAATCAGAACCGTCGGTTATTATTTTTTAGATTAAATGAATCTCGTGGCTTGTGTTAGAGAATTAGGGTCTGGGGTTTATCCATTAGAGGTTAGGGTATATTATCATGCACAAAATTTCGGTTAATTCCTACTCTAAATAGTAAAACTCGACGGGCGTACAATGTACGACTGACGTACGCTAGCCTGAACCATATATATATATATATATATATATATATATATATATATATATATATATATTATACTTAGCTTTGGCAGGCGGAAAGACAGGGAAGAAAAAAAGAATAGGAAAAGTTTTGTTGTCGTAAGAGTAGAGTAGGATCGAAACAAAACCCGAACCCACGGATACTCATCCGATCCAACCCAGTCAATGAGGGTAAAACTCGTGTTGATGGGTTTTGGATCGGGTTTGGGTTTAAACTCGTTCACTATTCACCGGGTTGGATTGGGTTTGGGTTTAGGTGAACCCGCCCCATGGATACCCGCCCACACCTATATAATTAATTTTCTCAGTATATTTAATATTCTAAACAACTAATAATCTTATTTATGTTTGTGGAGACATGTCTAATTTTTTCTTCTAATTGTGTAGAATGAAGTTGATGTTATCGAGTGGAGAGTAAATAAACTTAATATACAAGGAGGAAGAAGGTTTCAATTAATCATGTTATTTATGGATAATTTGTGATTTGCTTCAATTTTATTGAGTTTTTTTAGATTGGTGTTGAATAATTTGTATAGTTAATTTGTGATTTGCTTGAATTTTCTAGAATGGTGGTCTATATATGAATAATTTGTATTGAGAGATTGATATTTAACTTGAATTTTGATGGGAACTAGTTATTGTAAATTTTTTACGACAAAAACCCGTGGGTACCCATGAATCCGCGGATACCCAGCGGGTTGGTTTGGGTTTGAGTTTTTCAAACCCAGTGGGGTTTACCCCGGGTTTTTTTCACGGATAAACCCATGGGTGTGGGTTTGGAAAAATCCGACCCAACTCGAGCCATTGTCATCCCTACATAAGAGGTGACAAACCAGTTACTTTATTCACCTATTTTTGTGCTCATTCACGGTAGTTAGTGTTTATTCACGTAAAACTATACTATTTACGTAAGAGTAGGGGTGGGGGTTCAGTTACCGGTTTCCGGTTAAATCGATAACCGTAACCGATATAATCGAAATTTGGTCGGTTATCGGAGGCTGGGCGAGATGGTTTTGGTCCTGGAGGAGGTGTGGTTAACCGAGATAACCGAAGCCTATTTTGGTCCGTTGTCGGTTGGGGGCCCGACCTTTCGTTAACTGATAACCGACCGTTTGGTTACCGGTTATAACCGAAATAATTGAAAATCCACCCCTACGTAAGAGTATAAGTTATTCACGTAAATGAAAATCCATACTTTTTTCTACTACTAATTTGTATTGGCTATATTTTATGAAACTAATTCTCTATTAATTTGTAAAAATGTGTTGGATTGATCACAATTTGCACAATGACATCCATTTTTTTATAAAATGTTTAAAACGTGAATAAGTAACAATATGCACGTGAATAAACACTAGGTTGCGTGACTAAACAGTATTGGTTGGGTGGATAATCAACATTCTTACGCGAATAACGCCAATATGGCGTGAATAAACTCAAATTTATGCGAATAAATGAAAACATGCGCGAATTAGGCGTTTTGTCTCTAGAGGTGACAAAAGACTTCTCTCAATAAAATATTGCTAAAACAAATTAAGGGTAATAGAGGGGGGTATTCTGGTCATTTCCCAATCAATTTAACAACCGTTTAACAAAAAATTAGACTGAATTGTATATTTGTTATGTTTTCATATTAGAGCAGTATGTTTGTGTAAAAGGAATCAATCAATTGATTAATAATTGTCATATTATATTTTGGATGTGGCTGGCTAGCGGCTACCATTTTCAACCAATCAAAGGTTGAACCGACCTTGCAACTCAGAATCAATTGGCCAACAGAACCAAAAAGTAGAAGAAAGATACGACTAGGCTACTAGTCCAAAACTACTCCCACCACCTAATAAAAACCAAAATCCCACCACGCTCCTTTTCCCTCTTCCTTTTGTTTGCGCTTCCTTCTGCTCGCCGCAGCCACCTCCGGTAGGCGGCTTCCCCAGGAGCAATGGCGGTCGGCGTCCTCGCCTTACAGGGTTCTTTTAACGAACACATTTCCGGTAACCTCCTTTCCCATCTCTTTCCTCTTCACAACCATCTATTCCGCTTCGCATAATTGGGTTTCTGATGTAGTGATGTGGGCTCTAAAAATTGTACCTTTTGTTGTGCTGTTGTTGTTGACAGCTCTCAGCCGATTGGGAGTGAAGGGTGTGGAGATTAGGAAGCCAGAGCAGCTTCAGAACGTCAGCTCGCTCATCATTCCTGGTGGGGAAAGCACCACCATGGCCAAGCTTGCCGAGTACCACAACATGGTAAAATTTCAGCCACGTCTCTGTCTATGCACCAATTCGTGAACTTGGGTTGGCCTTTCTTTTTCTATTTGTAGTGTGTACCTTCACGATTTAGCGGACTTGGGAAAGCAAAGTCGTCCTCGGTGTTTTCCAATCGATTTTTGACATGAAAGATTGAAGCTTTACATGGTTTAAACACTGTGATTGTTCATTTCCGTTCTGATGATAGAGTATCAGTCGCTTGTGTTTTACCTTGATTTTGGTTTCTTCAGCTTCTCTCTGTCAAATTTTTTATCAATCTTGTTTCTTTGAATGGTAATACTGTATAGGATTCTGAGTTCTATTGTTTTGTGCTCCCCCTTTTCTCCGTATTTGCCACTGTTTTTTTTAGTTCACTTAGTCTCTTGTTGAGCTCTCGTTCTTGTTGTGTGTCTCAGTTTCCTGCTTTGCGCGAGTTTGTGAAAATGGGGAAGCCAGTGTGGGGGACATGTGCAGGTCTTATCTTCTTGGCAGAGAAAGCCGTCGGTGCGTTTTCATTTATCTCGATTGTACCTGATGTTGAATTCCACAACTGAAACTGGATTCATTCATATGGCTGGTCTTTTCATTGTATCCCATAGGGAAACTTGAGCTTCTAAGTAGTAGTATATGGCATGCTTTGTTTTCAGGACAGAAAACTGGAGGTCAGGAGCTAGTTGGTGGCCTCAATTGCACTGTCAATAGAAATTACTTTGGCAGTCAGGTAATGTTGGAAGTCACCTTAAGGACCTATAAATGTTCAAATGATCGTGCTACTTTGCATGCTTGGGGTGTTGGACATGACCCAATGAAAAGTTTTGTATCGTTGTACACCTTGGAAGAGAAAATTTGAGTGAAAACTTACTGCAAGTGGATTCATTACTTCTTTGAGCACCAAGCAATTAATTAGACAACACTTGTTCTGCTCAGATTCAAAGCTTCGAGGCAGAGCTTTCGGTCCCAAAAATTGTGAGCCAGGAAGGTGGGCCGGAAACATTCCGAGGTGTGTTCATCCGTGCTCCAGCTGTTCTTGAAGTTGGACCAGGAGTCGAAGTATTGGCCGAGTATCCTGTCCCATCTGCTAATGTATTGTATTCCAGTTCTGCTGTTCAAATCCAGGAGGTAGGTAACATGTTCTCCCATGTGTCATCTGCTTATGAAATCAATTTATCTGTAGCAATGAAGTTATGTTTGCTTGTAATGACAAAAGCTAACTTCAAAAGCATCCTTCGAACAAGTTTCTCAAGCACACCTTTTACTGCATCATCAGGTCTACATGTTTGGAGCCCCGGCTTTGAGTTCTCTGCTCTCCTGAAACTAGGCTAGGCTTCTTTGACAAGACATGACTAGACTCTATCTGGATTAGGCTACCTGGAAAAATGTGGTACTGGCCAATGGCAAACCAGTCAATGAGTGCATCAACCCATTTCTGTTGAGCAGTTGGTGTTTTATCTATCCATCTATCTATCTATCTATCATGCTGAGAGCTATCCATGGACTCTTGAAAGTATATTAGGAAATTAGTAGGCGAAACAGAGAGCACGCAATAATGCAATATTAATCTATTGTATACAAACTAGAATATTGTTCAAAAATGTTTCATTATACAGCACGTTCCAGTTGTGCTGAAAATGGTTCTTTTCCTGAAGATGATCATAGCATGTGTTAGCATAACCACTTAAGGTCCGCGTCTGAAAGAGGGTGTTTGGAGCTGTGCAGGAAAATGCTGTCCCTGAGAAGAAAGTCATTGTAGCAGTGAAGCAGGGGAACATACTGGGGACTGCCTTCCATCCTGAGCTCACTGCAGATACGCGGTGGTATGTTTACCTTCCATGGTTTTTACGGTGGCATGCCGTGGTGTTTTCTTCTCAGGTATTTTGTGCTATGCAGGCACAGCTATTTCCTAAAGATGGCAAATGAAACTGGAGAAGCATCCTCGAGTAGCCTTGTCCCTGCCGTTGGAGTAAATGCAGCCATTGGTGAAAGACCAAGGATTGACCTACCGGTGTTCCAATAGAGGCAGCAGCAGTAGTTACAGTGCACGTTTCTTTTCTACCAGAAGAAACTGGCTTTTGTCTTTCACACAGAAATCCAATTATGCTGATTCCTTCATCTAGTTGAGACTTGGAGGTTAGCCACAAATTCCATCTTGAAATGTATATAAACAGCTCATTTGTTCTTCTCCATTCTATACTAGGACAAGCTATAGAAATAGAGAATCTCTCCAGAAAAAGGAAACAGAGAATCTCTCCACCTAGAGCTTCAGAGAAAACAGAAATCAGAAACCTTGCCTCTCTGAAGACCGAAGGCTTCTGTTACTAATTACATGGCTGGAAGATAAGAACTTGGTCTACCGCAAAGTTCTCCATCTATAGTTCTCATTAGCTCTAATGACAGATTAACAAGAATATAAGCGAACACATGATGGTCTCAGCGAGCTGCTTCGACAACATGATGTGTTACGTTCAAATATAATCAATCTCTCTAACTAAACACCGCACTCTACTGAAAGATTAACCAAACCCTAAACTAATTACCTCTTTGTCACCGGACTTCACTTTCTTCAACCTGGGAGGAGCTTTCCACACATGGTTGACTCTCCACTTGCCCATTGCTTTGACTGCAGCTGCTTACTAAAAGGTCATTATACATGTTCATGGAGGCCTTGGAGAACTCGGTCAAAGCCTCGAAAACACTGGAAAACCCTGTCCGAAACCCACTCAAGGTAACCCTGGAAGTCTGCTGCACATAGTTGTAATGCTTCTCACTTTCCATCTCAACCTTCTTCTGCAAGAAATCCAACTCGTCTTTTCTCTCGGCCAAATGCTCGAAAGGGTTCGCTAAATCAACATTCTCCTCTCCATTATTATACTCGATGAGCTTGGTCTCAAGCAAACGAGTCTCGGTCCTATGAAACGACACTGTTCTCTTGTCAAGCATCTTGCCCAAGCTATCGACCTTCCTCTTCAGCTTCTGCTCTTCCCCTTGCTGAACCCACAATGCCCTCACATCTTTGGCAAATCCCTTCAAAGCGAACGGCACGTGTACTTCTGGCAGCTTCTCCATCGATGAGAGCCATTTTCTACAGATGGTGAGCAATGGAAGGCCTGGGGGAGCTTGAGAGGGAAGGGATGGTGAGCTTTGACCAACTCTTCTGGTTCTGGAGTAGAATTCAACTTCAGGGACCAAGAACTTGGTGAGCCAGCCGTGGAGGCATGCCACGTAGGATCTGGATGCTGTGATGTAATCTGTGAAGCAGGTGCGCCAGTTGAGAAGCTCGGCCTCGAGCTGGAGGGTGGCGAGACGATGGGAGTCGTTGCTGAACTTCCCAACTGAGGGACATTCAAATGTTTTTACTTGTGAAAGAATCTTGTTCTGGTTTTCATGTGATTCCATCATGATCTTCCAAGTGCGGGTTAGGCTGCACAGTAGAAGAAAACTTAGAAATTGGAAGAAAAGTACCAGAGTTCAATTCTGTAAGATAACTTACCCTTTTAACAATTCTACAATTTGAGGTTCCAGTTCTTCATCTCTCAGCCTCTCGATTCTGTTCGAGATCGATTCAGCACTGCGAATTGCTACGAGAATCCGAGCATAAAGGTCCTTGATTGCAGCTCTTGTTTTGTCCATGTTGAGTTCATCGTTGCCTCTCACATCATGGCTTCTCAGCCTTGAACATTTCTTCTCATATAGTTTTCTTGTTGCATCTCCAGCCTGGAGGAATAAAAAAGAGTCGAGCATATGACATCGAGAAAGGTCAGGACATGAATGAGCAGAGTCATTTACCTTGACTTCTACATAAAGTTTCTTTTCCCATGCATACAACCTTCCAAGCGTTGAGGAATGGCTTCCAGCATTCATTCCTCCACAACCGTCAAAGATATCGTTCGTGTATTCCGTCCATGTTGATGTGCTTCTGGAACTTGAAGCCACCAAGCTTTTGCAAGAGGGTTTGAACGAGGTCGACCTGTGCCATGGTAGAGATAGGATTGGCTTGTTAGAATTCTCTGCAGCAACAAGAAATAAGAGTTAGTCCACAAGGCTAATGTGGATAGATTAAAGAATGGAGGCATGGAAAAGGAGAAATATTCAGGCAATTATGACCAAGGATAAACAGAGAACAAAGATATCTCTGGTTCAATCACAAGAGACACATATGAAAATCAATTTGTAAAGTGTTGACTTGCTGTCTAACCTTTTTCACAACAAATGATTCCTAAGTTCATGAAAGAATCTTCAAAGGTGAGAATCAAGGGTAAAGTTAGGTGCAAAAATATATGAACTTGGCACTATTGTTCATCTTTGTTGGAGTTCTCCTCGTCATAAGACACAGGTTTCCCCGAATCCGAAAGTCAGTCTATCACAATGGCTATTTAAACTATCAGATTGCAAAGAAAGATCAGGATAGAACTTACAGGAAAAAAGTGCACAACGCTACCTTTCATTTCCTCCATCCCAGATTGCAAGTAAACCTTATTCGCCTCAAGCATCTTGGAAACATCCTTGCCAGAGTCATAAGCTCTAATGAAATGATCCTCAATGTCCTTCAGAGCATCCAGCAGTTCCCTCCCTTTTTCTGGTGACTCCATAACTGAATGCCTCTTCTGTTCAACTGACCTTCCATCCCCATTATTCCCATCACGCACCTTAACCAAATCCCCACCATCAAAACCTTCTCCACCTTTCCCTTCCTCAGCAGCAACAAACACTCTTTGCTCATCTCCATTCTCTCTAATACGCCCTTCTTCCTCCAGCTCAGGAATGCCTTCTTGCTCCCTCACCACCCTCAAATTATCATCCAAACTCCTCCTGTACCCATTCATAACCTCTGGCCTCATCACATCAAAAGGGTTGAAGAAATCCCACCCAAAATCTCCACCTGGCGACTCTTGAACCACAGCTTGCTGTGGTGGCATTTGCATGTAGTAGTACCCATAACTCTGATGCTCGTGCTCTTCTTGTTGCTGCCTCACCATCTCTTCTGTACATTCTTCTTCCTCGCTGGAATCAGAGGAGGTTGTTGATGAATCACAAGACTCACAAGCATTGGCCTCTTCGTTGGTCGACTCAGAAGGCCTTTCTTCAATAAACATTGGGTTGTTTACCACGTTGTTTTTATTCCCTTCTGCTTTAGGTTGGCAAGCAGATGGGCTATGAGGTGGGAATGTAATGAGGAATGGTGAAGCTGGTGAAGCATGGCGAGCCACGAACAGCTTTATTGCTGCTGCTACTGCATAGAGAGATTGACAGTACCTGCAGTGAGCTTCTGCTAGTGCTTGTCTCTTCTCTACTGCTAGCTTCAGCTGCCGTTTCCTCTCCTTGCAAATGGACACCACTTCTTCTTCTTCTTCTTCTTCTAGCTTGGAGGCAACACATCCCATGTTTTTCTGTAGTTTTTTGTCACACTTCCAAGTTAAAACAAAAAATAAAAGAACTGGGGTTTGACTGGCTTAGATGTTGCTGCTTATTTTTGGACTTTGGGCTTTTTGTGCAGGCGTGGGAGGTTACTACTGTGTCTTCTTTATTTTAGAGAGATGGAAAGTGTAAAGTGAAAAAAGTGGTTTTCTTCTGTGTTCCTTTCGAAGAATCGGCTTATTCTTCTTTAGGGATGAAAAGGGAGTTGGCAAAAACAAGGTTTTGTTTGTTGTTGAAGGATTTTCAGAGGGACGGGGAGGAAAATGCAGCATCTTCTGTGGGTATTCCACAGCTAGAACCTCCATCTTTGTTTAGAAAACACCGGATTTCAGCTGAAAGCTTCAATCTTTGGGGTGTTTGAGAACAACCCATTTCATCTCTTTGCCTTTTAGGGAGAACACAAAATCTTCTGCACTAAAATGAGCCTAAACTCGATTAGCAGAAAACAAAAGGAGAAGGGTAGGAAAGAAAAAGGGGGAATAGTGTGGGGTTCTTACTCTGATCCACTAGACCATCATAAACTTGCTCCAAAAATGTGATTTTGTTCAGCTACTGCTCACAAAAGAACTCAACTGGGTAAAGGTGGGTTTCTTCGGTTTGACATTACCACAAACAGATGGAGAGTTAAGAAACAAGGGAGACAAGAAATTAACGACAGAAGAGAAACAAGGAAGAAGAAAGCTCCAAGCAAAGGGGGCATAGAGAGAGCACTGCAGTCTGCAGGCCTAGACGAGTAGTGAAAGCAGAGAAGGTAGGGGCTCGAGAAAGAGAGAGTAAGTAAATGGTGGTAGTGTTCCTTTGCTGTTCTTCTTGTTCTTTGTGTTTAGCAAACAAACAAAAAGAAAATTGTAACCGCAGGTAATCAGATAAAATGGGATTTTTTTTAAGGAGAGAGGGATTTTGGCGCTAAATTGTGAAGGGAGGGAGGAACTGAGACTAGGGAGTAGGGACAGACTCGTGAATAAAAAGAGGATTCAAAAAGTACAGTGATTTACTGGTACATAGCCCTAGTAGCACAGAACAGAACTCCTCCCCAAAAGGAAACAGGGAGAGAAACAGAGTAGTGGCCATTGCGATGGCCGATGAGAAAAGACCAGAGGAAGCAATAAGCTACCAAAAAGAAATGTATATCCTTTTTATTTATGGAAGCAAACAACCATATTTGAATATTGGTTATACCATGGCGCTTTTTTTTTTGTGTGGTCTTTTTACAATATATTTAGTAACTCAAAATTAGTTTTCGTGTTGAGTTGGGACTAAGAGATGGAGATAAAAGAAGAGAATTGACGTTGTTACTTTCATTACTGTCCAGATTCGATATATTTTTAATGAGAGACATACGCTAAGAATGTAAAGTAATCGACACAAGTGACAAAAAAATCCAGCTCTAATTCAACAAGGAAAGTCAATTTTCACTTCAATCGTCAATATTTGTATTACATGGTCCAATACGAACGTGTTTGTTTCATCTTAAATCTTAAATGACATTGTTTGAGTCTAAAATGTTTTAGGCGATTGATGAGACATGAGTGAGGCGTCTGTTCCTGGTGGTGGGAAGGCACTCCTGAACCCTGCAAACAAAGGTCCGTGGGCGGTTGCCCATGACACTCTCGCGCCCTAAACATGTCCCATCTTGTAATAGACTGCCCACAGCGGGTAATTAATGCTCAGTCCTACTTGTATCGAGGCAAATATCCTAGCAGATCTCTCTCTTGTCACCATCGGTGCTTTGTGTCAAACGACTTATCTATTGTCCCATCCGAGGATCAACCACCTAACGCGCTAATCGGTCTTACCTGCATAACTCCCAGGCTTCCCTGCTGAGCCGGGCCAACTGACTTTCTTCTTGGGACCTAATGCCCAATACCGCTCAACCACGTGGCCCAACAGATACCATTAGTGTTTTAGGGATATTTCCACAAGTGAAGAGAGAGAATAAGCAAAGTCGATTGTTTGAGCCTAATCTTCTGATACTTTGTGCCATGTCTGAGTTTCTGACTTTGTTCATTCTCCTCATTATGTGTTTCCCGAAAAGAGAAATTTTAGGTATCAAACTATAATTTGTCAACAATTTATGAATCTACCAATCCAATTGGATTTGGATCAAATGGATTGAATTTAAATGGATTGTATTAGTTGGATATTTAAGGGGATGAATTATATTGGATTGGAAATTGTCACCCCTACTTACGACTTTCTTTTCTTTCTCATGAATGAATGATATTATTAATAAAGATCAACCCGTGCCAACTCTTAAACAAAACTATAAATTACTCAATCTAAGCTACATCCAGAGATCAAATTCACTCCACTTTCTTGTATAGCGAAGATAATTTAGAAAACAAGTCAATCGAATTAGATATATCATGAAGAATATCAAAATATACCGACATGCCTCGAAATACGGGACAAAATATTGAACCATCAACATAGCCGATCTAATCGAGACCAAGAAACAGGCACATGACCTTAATTACCATGCCAGCGGAAAAGTTGGAGGAGGTGAGATTGAGAGGGAGGGTAGCCCTGATGACAAGAAGAAGAAGAAGAAGGAATTGAAAAGAAAGTTAGTTTAGAGTTCGGGTCGTATGATCGTGACGACTCTGATACCATAATAGACTGGAATAATCTAATTTTTACTAATTCTCAAAAGAGTACATATACGATTACATAATACAACAGAAAAGGTGTAGAGAGTAATTACATGCACTATAAGAGGTACATGGTATGACAACATCTTATTTGCTACTTATATTTCATAGATCAACAAAAGGAGTTACTATTTTGCTACTTCATATTTTCTGATTCTCACAAACTCATCAGTCACTGACGGCTGCTCTTTAAATGTAACGCTACAGCAGAGACAATCTGATCTATCATAGCCCCCTGTCTGTAAATCAAACACAGTCCAATATGGAATCAATGGAAAATTTCCAAAGAGTCGAGATACAAAGCTAAGGAAATGTAGTGAAGCAACAATATATATAATCAATGATACATATACCGTCAACATTTGATTTCACTTTTCAAGTGTTTTTCTGTTCCAAAAGAAATCAGTTTACCTGTTGAACCGATGGATGTACCATCCTCGCATTTTCCCAACCTCTTGGAGCGCTTCCTTCCATTCCGATATAATTTGCGGGCTATGCTTCTGAGCGAGTTGTTCAAATGCCTGCTTGTAAGGACCTTGTTGATGTCGCACATCTCGAGGTTCTACGTAATAGAAAATGGGGAGAAAGAGATGGCCGCCCTTTCCTCGCTTCCAACACTCCACCATTTGAGCCAGTTCCTCAAGGCACCATCTGCTGCAAGCATAGTGTTCCGAGAAAATAGGAACGTAGATCTTGGATTCTCCGATCATCGCACGGACGAGGCCAGGAGAGATCTCTCCCCCTCCCATGCGCAGTTCTTCTTCATCGTCCCTGAACGTGCGAATTCCGGTGTGTAGAGAGTGTCGACAAAGGTACTGTCTACGTCGGAGTCTCTGAAGCTCAGGAAAACCTCGTACGGATATGGAAGAAGAAGAGGTGGCGAGGCAACGGATCCCATTGTGGAAGCGCTTCGAGATCGACCAAATTTTGACTACCGTGAGGCCCTTTGGAAATCTGGTGGTGAATTTAAGGGGCGTGGCTGCAGTTTGGACTTGGGATGGAATGAAAGAAAGATTGATTAGCTCTATAAATAGATTCACCTGGATTCCATGAGAATAATCATAAAGCAGAATATTCTTGGAGTTGTGGAGCAAGTATCAGATTCTGTCAAAGGGAATATGATCCTCGACTGTGCACTTTGGATGGCTATTGGTTAATGAATGGAAGAAAATGCGGTTCTCCCACAAGCCAGTTGGCAAGTGAGAAATCGCCAAATCTTGCACTATTGGGCCTGTGGTGAATCGTACTGCGAACGTCGGTTCCGGCGAATAATTGAGGGGGCTGCGCGAATGCATAAATGGCCCAGTAGATCTCACTATTGGGCCCAAATGGACGCGATCCAAGTGCCGACAAATGCGTCCGTGAAAGGAAATCTTGTAAGAAAATTGTGAAGTCCATAGTCCATACATGAATTTTTTATTCAATAATTTGAGTTAACTGGATTAGGGATGACAAAAATATCCGTATTCGTGAATATCCACTCGAACCCGGCTTAATCGGGTAGGGTAAAACTCGAACCCGAAGGATATTTAGTGGGTACGGGTAAAACCCGAACCCGAATATTGCGGGTAATGGGTGGGCATGAGTTTCTCAGTATCCAACCCGAACCCGCCCGATTATACACATACATATGTATTTTGTCTAGAAATAATCATTATTTTTCTCTAATATATTTTATATTTAGCATATAAATATAATATTTTTATGAAATTGTGTTGTTTTAATTAATTTTCTTCATTCTAGTGAATTATTGTCATACTTTTCCTCTTGCGTAATGTGAGAATACGTGTGAATGTTAACATATTAGTTGGAGTTATGAAGAAAAATCATTACCCATGGATAACCGTGGATACCCAAAACCCGAACGGGTATGGGCATGGTTTTAATTTTCTACCCGTTTTATATGTGGGTATGGGTATGGGTAAAACCCGAACTACTTTGGGTAGGGTAACGGATATGCACTATCCGTCCTCGACCCGACCCATTGCCATCCCTAAACTGGATAGTGGATACCGACATGAAAACATATCTAATTTTGTCAATTGGTCATGCGTTCCAATCTAAAAATGGCAAAAATACCATAATTTTGGATACCCGTCCAAATACGTCCCAATCATGTAGGGTAATACCCCCAAACAAAATAATACACGTGGGGTATGGGTAAAATTAGAATCCGAATATTGGGGTATGATGTTCTCGTTATTCAACCCGAACCCACCCGGTTATACATGCATACGCAATATTTTGTATAAATCATCATCTTTTATTTATTTAACATATTCGCTATTCCTAGGTTATTTATAACATCTCATGACCACCACCTTACATCTACATGTTCCGGTTCTTCTGCAAGTTCGACTAGCTCCGGAACCGATTTACTCTTCGCAACAAATACTTCACCACCAACCTCCTGTCCATTCGCAGCTGCATGAGCCGCAAGTTCTCCAGCTCCTCGAGTCCTTCAACTCGAGTTATCTGCGAGCATCCCCTGATATCGAAATGCTCCAACTTCTTCAAACCAGACAGATTACCCATCTTCTTCATCGACGCGCACCCCCGAGCATCAAGATGCTTCAACAACTCCAGCCCCTCAATCCCGGCGAGCTCACTCAACTCTGTGCATCCGCTCACGTCCAGCCTTGCCAAATTCTTGAGTCCGGATAGGTCCGGCAGCTCCTTCAACGCCCTGCAATTAGACATCAACAGCCTTTTCAACTTCTCCATTCTCTCGATCCCATTGACCCGGGCGAGCACGACGCATCCTGAGATGTCCAAGAGCAACAGATTCTCGAGACCGGATAGATCCGGAAGCTCCTCAATCGAGCTGCAATCCGGCATTTCTAGCTCCTGCAACGACTCCAGTCTTTCGATCCCTATGGCGTCAGTCAAGTTTGTGCAACGGCCAGCATTTAAGCACCATAGCGATCTCCTGAGCCGAGACAGGTCCGACGGCAGCTTCCGAATCGATGTGGAGCCATCCATTCTCAGCTTTGCTAGAGACGCCAATCCTTCCAACCCTTCAATCTCCTCCAACTGTCCGCAATCGGAAAACGTCACCCTCTGCAGCTTGATCGAATTCGCTAGGCAGGGCACTCTGTCCAGCGTACCACATCGCACCACCTCCAATTCCCACAGGAGGAGCAGATTCTCGAGCCCGTCGAGGCTGTTCAGGTTCAGGGCGTAATCGATCTTCATGGTCGCCAACGCCCTCAGCTCTCCCAGGCCATGGATCTTGGGCTCCACGAAATGTACGAGTACGAGTTTCGTCAGGTTGTTCAGATTCGCTAGGCAGGGCAGCCTTACGAAAGGCCCGCACCACTGAATGTCGAGGCAGGTCAGAGACGACGGCAGGGTTCCCAGCGGCAGGATCGAAACCCACGACGAGAAGTGGAGCCTCAGTTCCTTCAGGTTGGGCAGCTCCCCTATGTCCCCTGGGAGCAGGGGCTGGTGAGACCTGACGAAGCTCAGGTACTCCAGGTACCTGAGCTCCGTCAGGTTAGGAATCCCGCCTCGCGATAAGATGGACAGCCTCTTCAAGCTTGTCGGGAGAGCGGGAACTTCCACGTGCTTGGTCGGAACCCTGGAGTAGGATGATGGTCCCACCGTCCAGAGCGTGTTGTCGTCCGCGTCGATCTCCTCGAGATGTTGAAGCGCTCGGATGCCACCGGTTAGCTCGCTTATCTGCGTCCCGGCGAGGCTCAGGGTTTTCAGATTCTTGAAATTGCCAACGTGCAGCGCTCCTTCCATGAGTGGACAATGCTCGACGTTATCGTCTCCAGGCTTCCACACTGGGACAAGTCGGGAGCTCGTTTCAAATAGTAGCAATCCGCCATGCTTATGAATTTCAGCTTGTTGTCCGTGGCCTGGATTCCCTTCCAGCCCTTCCAGCTATCTTTCAGCATGTCACACCCCTCCAAAGCAAGAACGGCGAGCCCCCTCGTGTTGAAGTTGGCGGGGATTAATCTGCACCCTTTCATTCGAAAGAAACGTAAATTTGGAAGGATCTTGCTGAAATCGCCGGTTAGTCTTCCGTAATACACTTCGAGATACCTTAAACCGGAAAAATCTTTGAAGTCCTCGCCTGTGAATACTTCGCCTTTCCCACCCATATACACCCTGAGAACTTCCACTCGATCGTTTCCCTACAGTGATCTCGATGGAAATGTAATTACTTACCAGTCATGTTTCGAAAGCCTTACTGTGAAAAATATCATCACTTTCACTCTTCCGCTTATAAGAGGAAACGAAAAACAAAAATTCATGTGACGATTGACATAATAAATGACTTATTATTATGTACGACTTCCAAATATTCCATTGCCAATAACTCAATCGATCAACTATCCGCCAACTTGAACATAAATGAGACGTTTGTATGAATTAGATTGAAATTTAGTGCATAAACAAATTCGATAATAATATCATAATAGATTATCTTTTTTACGTGACAGGTAATAAACGGACACATATTTTTAAGAAAAATCTAGATATGATGAATAAAATATGCTATTAACCTTCCACCAGTAATAGTAAAGAACAAAAAAAAAAAAAAAAAGCCAAAAAGTTAAGAACTAGACCACTGAATGGAACTAATGACCATTTGGGGGAAGTTCTCTTGCGTAAATATAACAGTTAATCAATTTATATTAAATAAAGTAAGGAAGTTCACACAGGAGTATAATTATAAAATCTTACTTTTTTGTTTCTTAACAAGTCCAAAGCAACTTCACTTGACCATGACCATATCCTGCTGCGTTTGCATGGATTTCGAACATCCTCCTCTTTCACAATAGCTCTCCCTAGATCTCGAATATGGTCATGCATCCAGAATTGATTTTTCCCGTCGAATTTCATCAGTGATCTAAGAATGAGAGTATTGATTCCAATCTCAGGATAAAAATTGCAACCGCTCCACATATAGCAAGGCAACATCTTGTCCGTCCCGATAAAACAACAAGCAATATCAAGAAAGATTTGCTTTTCGGTGTGACTCAACTCATTGTAACTTATCTTCAACTGCTCCTGCACCCTATCTCCAGTAGAAGGTATGCCTTGTAGTTCTAACAGCTTTTCTTCCCAGAATGGTATCTCTTTACGAAGTACAAGTGATCCGTAAACTCGAAGAGCCAAAGGAAGCCCAGCCGCAACTCTTACGAATTCCTCGGCCAGTGTTGCATACTCTTCCGGAGGATGATCCCTTCCGAAAGCATGTTTGCTGAAGAGCTGGAGGGAATAATGAGGGCTCATTTCTCCAACTTCATATGATTTACATCCTACGAAAAAATCTAAAACTCTCTTGTTCCTTGTTGTGAGAATAAATCTGCTATCCGAAGAAAAGTCCCCTAATTTTCCTAATATTTTATCGAATTCAAGCTTCTCATCTACGTTATCAAGAACAAGAAGAACTCTGTGCTTACAAACTCTCTTTTATCATCTTGATCCCCTCACCGGCATTTCTAACTTGGTAATCATGCCTTAAAATGCTAGAGATAAGCATGTTCTGCAAAGATACAACTCCTCCGCCACTCATTTTTAACGTTTCCTGTACGTTTTTTATAAAACAACATCGATCAAACAGCAATAAAATCCTGTTGAATACCACCGTAGACAGCGTAGTTTTACCTATGCCACCCATTCCATAGAGGCAAACGACTTTCGGACCGTCCGAGTCCAAGTTCAATAATTCCATCACTTCTTCAACACGAGCGTCAATCCCCACCAACTCATCCGTCACTAACGTGTAAATATTCTTCAAATGTAACTCAACCTCAGAAAGAACTTGATCTATTATAGCTCCCTGCCTGGAAAAATAGGAATGTAGATCTTGGATTCGCCGATCGCCCGCAGGAGGCCGGGAGAGATCTCTTCCCCCTTGTGAAGTTCTTCATTGTCTCTGAACGTGCGGATTTTAGAACGCGATAGGAAGGTGTAGAGGTGATCGGCGAAGGTATTGCGGACGTCGGGGCCTCTGAAGCTCAGGAAGACCTCGTACTCTCCCGATGGCAGAGGAGACGGAGCCACAGAAGAAGAAGAAGAGTCGGACGAAGTTGAAGCAACGGATTTCATTGTTCGGGAATCGTTTTGAGATTGATCCAATCGTGACTAACTACAAGGCAACAAAAGAAAGGAGGAAGAAATATACATATATGATCAATTTTCATGTCGCGATATGTAGCAATTGCGAAACCAAAGGTGACTTACTAACTAAAAGAGATGAAAGCCATCACCGTGCATGCATATTAAAAATGGAATCAACATACCTTGAACTCCGAAGAACTTATATTCCCTTCAAATATTTGGTGGTTGAAAAAGCAAAATTCAGAAACTCTCAATCTCTCTCAAAGGTGTGGCTGTTTTGACTTGGGACGAACTACGAAATGAAAGAAGACCAATTGGCTCTATAAATAGATTTACCTTGCTTCCATGAGAGGTAAAGTTAAGAGGTTAGAATAAATTCTTTGAGTTGTGGAGCAAGTGAAATATCTAATGCTTCCCTTGAATCAAAGACACGACAAGAAGTAATTCTATTGGAAGAATTTGATACTTGTCTTTCCACTTTCGACGATTAATGAATGAAAGAAGAAAATGTGGTACTCTCGTGAGCATGGTTGTGATGCCGGTCGCATGTTGGCCTTTAAATTCAGTACTGGTTATAAAATTAGCTAGGATGTATGTGGTATGATTGAAATTATCGATAAACGAGGTTTAAACAAATGACGTTACTTCGATGAATTTGATTGATAAAGAATATAATTTTTTATTTGTTTCTTAAACTTCACAGTTAAATTTTTATTATATAATTGGATTTGTTTCTTAAAATATATTTGATTTATTTCTTCAAATGTTGTGTTTTAATTAAATATAAATGTAGGTTTTTGCGAGATTGACTTCGAATATAAATATATATGGTTCAGGCTAGCGTACGTCAGACATACGTTGTATGACTGCGTTTACATTATCGTACGTCCGTCGACTTTTACTATTTAGACCACGAATTAACCGAAGTTTGAGTCATGATACCCTAACCTCTAATGGGTGAACCTCAATCGCTAATTCTCTAACCCAAGCACAATAATCATTTAATTTAAAAAAATAATAACCGACGGTTCTGATTTAACGAAATTTATTGAAGTGCAAATAACAAGTGTGAACACAGGTGTACAATGTAAAAGGAGTTCACAGTAGAAGATTCGGTCTAAAACTCTGTGCACTCATATGTTACATAGTATATGTCGTACTTAACATATTTTTAGTTATTTTACAGTATGCATAAAATACTTACGCTTTTACGCTTTGATTCTACACTTTACAATTTTACCCTTTTCCATTACATGTAATTTTTATGTCACTCATCCATATTTGATCTATGTCACTAAATGTATTCATGTGGTGATCATGGTGGTATAATCATTATCATATTATGATTAAAACGTCATTGGTTCCATGTTGATACATGAGGTGGACTAGATTTTTAAGGAGCAATTGTTGTATGAATATCATATGGTTGCGTGCCTAAAGAAATTTGTAATATTAGATGTTGTGGAAATTAGATAACCAAAGTGGGAGATTGTTAGGAATTTTTTTTCTAACTTAAGTGTGCTACAAATTCTCAATACATATATTGACTATTTGTTTTTTATGGGCTAGGTTAAGTGGTCGATTCATGAAGTCTAATGACTGCTCTTGGGATTTTGATCAAGGATTTTGGTCCAAAATCCCACACTTATAGGATTATGCTTAAAGTCCATGTTTGGCACTAAAGTGGTGTTGGATTATGAGTTGTGGGACCAATGCATGTTAGATTATTTTGGGACCAAAATTCGTGGGGTCCACAGATTATAAAATCTTTCCTATTTAGGTGGGATTTTGTAGTAGGCTAGAAATCCATAAGAGTAAATGACAAAACTAGCCTCAATCACTTTTTATTATTTCTATGTTGTCCTTATTATCTATTGTTAAGTCTTGTTAATTTTTTATTGTGAAGCAATAACCTTACTCATTTCGCCTTCATCTCCGACATTTAAGTCGCTTGCCTTCAAGTTAGTATGTACGATGTTCTTTTCTCCACGAGAAATAATACTCCTCTATCTCAAAAACACAATCTTCCGAGGAAAAATCATTGAATTGAATACAAGCATGTTGAATACTAACCAACCCGTGTTCTTCTCTAGGAGATGGGGGCCGAAACAAATGATACAAAGGGAGGAGGGGTGTTTAATACTAACCAAATTTACCCATAAAAAGCCAAAAACAAATTAAGGATAAAATTGTAAATTCAACCATTAACTAATGAATCCTAAGTACACAAATCCAATATGAAATCCAACAAGCAAACAAATACTTTTTAAAATCCAACACAAATCCAATATGAAAAAATCCCACATAATCCTTCAAACACAAAATCAAGGGTTTTACCCAAATCCTTCATTTTTTAGAATCCCACAAGCAAACGACCTCTAAGAGATTTTATGGGAGCTCTTGGTGGAATAGTATACAAAGACCATTCTAGAGGTTGTGATCCCCACTCGCCAATACAACAAGACCAAACCTATTCTCCTCTTCTCCCTATCAGTAAGATGAGAGATCTCTGGTAGAGGAACTGAGGAGGCTTGGTCGAGGAATGTCACAGAACCTCCCGGGTCGTGTTCTAAGAAGTAATGTCCGATTCAGATCGTCTTTCAGATTACGCAACAGGTTTTGGGCGATCGATCGACACAATTCCAGGTATTCCTACAAAACCTTTATAATCTAACAAGATGAATTCCGGGGAATTACATATATTATGTGTATTTCTTTCTACAAACTTACATTAGACTTTCAATTGACCTGGAGATAATAACTAACGCATATTAGGCGAAACGTAATAGAATAGAAGAGAGTTTACCTGCTCTTTTTTCACAAACGATAACCACAATAATCAAACCAACGACAAAGGTTTTTGTTAATCAAGTGATGAGCTACCTGCTCGACTGCTCTTCCTTGCAACAATTACAACAAATCTGTTAGATTACAAATCTCCTCTTACTCGCTTGCTCGCTTCTAGATTACACGTAGCTCCATCGTCGATCCCTTCGATCTAGCTCTGCAACCCTTTTTGGGAAAACCAAGCGATGAAGCCCATTACATTGGATCAACACTAGCTGAGAAGACTACAATAGCAAGAGGATGGGAAGTTAGAGACCAATCGAGCTAGAAGCCACAACCCCAGATATCATGAAGAACAGAGAGGGGCTTAGATCGAATACCGATTCACGAGTCGCTTCCCGTATCTCAGCCAATAATATTTGGGTAGAAATTTCAGGTCCGATTCCAGCCACTCTAACTTCTCCAGCTCCTCGAGACCCTTTACCTGAGTGATCTGCGTGCATCCCCTGATATCCAGATTCTCCAAGTTCTTCAGACCGGACAGATTCCCCAACCCATTTATCGATTTGCATCCAGACAATCGCAGATGAGTCAATGACGATAACTTCTCGACCCCCCTGACCGCAGTCAGCTCTGTGCATCCACCGATGTTCAGTATAACCAGTTTCTTCAGCCCCGATAGTTCGACCAGCTCCGTTAACGACCTGCAATCCCCCATGTACAGCTTCTCCAACCTCTCCATTCTCTCGATCCCCGCGACCCGGGTCAGCTCCGTGCATCCCGAGACGTCCAGTTCCACCAAGTTCTCCAGACCGGAAAGATCTTCAAACTCCCTCACCATCCTTAAACCGGACACGCACAAAACCTTGAGATTCTCCAGGCTCCCGATACCCGTGACCCCGGTCAGCTCCGTGCATTCCGAGATCTTCAGACGATTCAGGTTCCTCTTGAGGCCGGATAGATTCGGCAGCTCCCGAATCGAGCTGCATTGCCACAGTTGCAGCTCCCCCAGCGATTCCAGTTTTCCCGCCACTGTGGCGTCAGTCAAGTTGGGGCAGAGGCCAACATTCAGGGACTTGAGCTTCCTGAGCTCGGACAGGGCCGACGGCAGCTTTCGAATCGACGAGGAACCTGACAGCTCCAGCTCTTCCAGTGAAACCAATCCTTCCAACCCTGTAACCTCCTCCAACTTCAACTTCCTGCAATTGATTGTTATCAGCTTCCGCAGCTTGATCAGGTTCGCCAGATTGGGGATTCTCTCCAGCGCGCCGCAATTGCGCACGACGAGTTCCTCCAGGTGGAGCAGATTCTCGAGCCCGTCGAGCCCGGTCAGGTTCGGGGCGTCATTGATCTCCACGCTCTCCAGTGCTCTCAGCTCCCCCAGGCCCCGAATCTCGGGCTCCTCGAACTCCGTGAGCGCGAGGTGCGCCAGATTGTTCAGATTCGCTAGGCAGGGGAGACTCAAAAATGAGCCGCAGAGCAGGACGGACAGGTGGGTTAGAGACGATGGCAGGGTTCCCATCCGCAGCATTGGATACCACGAGCAGTGGAAAAGCTTCAATTCCTTCAAGTTCGGTAGCTTCCACATGTTATTATCTACTCGAAGAAGAAGCTGGTGGCAGTTGATCAAGCTCAGGTACTCCAAGTCCTCGAGCTCCGCCAGGTTCGGAATCCCGCCCCATCGGATCGAAATCGACAACCTCTTCAAGCTCGTCGGGAGCCTGGGAAGTAGTTCGACGAACTTGTCGGTAACTTCTCTCGACGCAACAATCTCCTCGAGGCACTGGAGCGTCTCGATGTCGCCCGTTAGCTTCGTTATCTCTGTCTCGCGAAATTTGAGGGTCTTCAGGTTTTGTAGATTGTTGCCAATGTGCAGTGCTCCTTTCATTCCAAAACAGTAGTTGAAGTTGATCGACTCCAGGCTGCGGCATTGGGACAAGTTGGGAGCTCTTTTCAGCTGAGTGCATGACTCCATGTCTATGACTTTGAGCTGGTGTGCTTCCCGCAGTCCCTCCCAGCCCTTCTTGCTGTCTTTCAGATCACAGTGCCCCAAATCAAGAACGACTAATTTCCTCATGTTGAAATTAGTGGGGATCGATCTGCATCCATACATTCGAAGCCAGCGCATATTTGGAAGAATCTTGCTGAAATCGCCTGTCAATCTTCCTAGGGTCACTTCAAGATACCTTAAACCAGACAACTTCTTGAAATTCTGATCCGTAAACACGCCGTCTTTCTGATACATATCCAACATAAGAACTTCCACTCGGTCATTTCCCTGCAATGGTGAAATGCAATTACTTGGATGGAAAATCTAACGAAGGATAGATTTGGGGCTTGTTTGCTTGATGGATTTGGTGAGGGATTTGGATCCATCATGGACTTTGTCTAAAATTCATTGTTTGCTTCCTGCATTTAGGGGAAACAAATCCGTTGGTCCCACAATTTTTAAGGGACCAAATCCGTGGACCCCACCGACTTGAGAGTTCCACCTATTTAGGAGGGAATTGATTATGGACTTTGAAGTCCATCATTTTTTGTACCAACCTACCTTTCATATTTGATTTCTCTTCTTATATTATTGAGGGCAATAAAGGTAAATTACACTTCATACATACAAATTTAATTAACAAAATTCATCATGAAATCCATCAAACAAACAATGGTGTTTATCAAATCAATAATGAACCTAAAAGGCTAAAACCCTCATATATCCATGGTTTTTCAAAACCCAAGTTATACCAAAATCTTCATTTTTCAAATCCACGATGCAAATGAGCCCTTGGTATGAACTCAAAATTGAGGAGCATATTTGAGTAGAAACATAGTAGAAGAGTACTTTTGAGAAAAATACATAATAAAGGTGCAAATTGTGCTATTAACCCTAATTTATATTATGTACGGAAGTCACAAAGGAGTAGACAAAATTACCTTTTTGTTTCTTAACAAGTCCAACGCAACTTCGTTGGACCATATCCGGCTACATTTGTATGGATTTCTAACATCCTCCTCTCTCACAATAGCTCTTCCAAGATCTCGAACATGATCATGCATCCAGAATTGATTTTTGTCATCAAGTTTCATCAAGGATCTTAGAATAAGAGTGTTAATCCCACTCTCTGGACTAAAGCTGCAACTACTCCACATGTGGCAAGGCAACTCTTTGTTCCTTCCAATAAAACAACAAGCAATATCAAGAAATATTTGCTTTTCATTGTAACTCAAGTCATTGTAACTTATCTTCAGCCGCTCCTGCACCCTATCTCCAGTAGAAGGTATGTGTTGTAACTGTATCAACGTTTCTTCCCAAAACTTACTCTCTCTACGAAATAAAAGTGACCCTATAACTTTAAGAGCCAAAGGAAGCCCAGCTGCAACTTTTACGATTTCTGCAGTCAGTGTTGCATAGTCTTCCGGTGGATGATCCCTTCCGAAAGCATGTTTGGTAAAAAGTTGGAGGGAATAATGAGGGCTCATTTCTCCAATTTCATACAATTGACATCCTATGAAAAAATCAAAAACTCTCTTGTCCCTAGTTGTGATAATAAATCTACTATCTAAAGAAAAATCCCCTATTTTCCCTAAAATTTGATCAAATTCAAACCTATCATCTACATCATCAAGAACAACAAGAACTTTATGCTTGCAAACTCTCTCTCTTATCATTTTGTTTCCTTCACTAGCATCTTTAACCAGATAATCATGTCTTAAAATGCTAGAGATAAGCTTGTTTTGCAAAGATATAGCTCCGTCACTTCTTGTTAATGTGTCTCGTACATTTTCCAAAAAACAACAACGATCAAATTGTATAGAAATCTTATTATAGACCGCTTTAGATAACGTGGTTTTGCCTATACCACCCATTCCGTGAATGCCAACGACTTTAGGATTGTCCGCATCTAAATTCAGAAGTTTCATCACTTCTTTCACATGAGTATCAATACCCACCAACTCATCTGTCATTAACGTGTAAATACTCCTCAAATGTAATTCAACCTCAGAAAGAACTTGATCTATTATAGCCCCCTGCCTGGAAATTGAACACAAATTCAATTTGGTATCAGTGAAAGCTCCAATGTGTCGAGATAAACAACCTAACAAAGACATGTATAGACTTCTCCACCAAGAAATATATATGGACTTGAGTTTCCCCTCAATTTAACCTATACATAGAGGTGGAAAATGGATTGTATTCATGCATATGGTTCAAATGAATTGGTGGATTCATGGATTGGATCAAATTGATTGTTGGACTGGATCGTGAGTCCAAGTGGCATCTAAATATTGGACCAATATGAAGATTTACTAAAGTGTTATAATTAAGAATTTTAGGTATCAAAACATAAATTTTTAATTATAGTTTTCATCAGAAAACAAGTTTAGGGTACTAAACTGTTGTTTTTCAAATATTTATAAATTTAATTCATGAATTCACCAATCTAATTGGGTTTAGATCAAATTTATTGGATTAATTAAATATTTTAATAGATAAAGTTTGGTAACTAAAATATAAATTTTTATATATCTGTTTACTTATTTGGACCGACCTGCAAGTTTGGCTCGACACGACCCAACACAATCCAAGTGGGTTATACAAGGTCAAGAGAGAATAGGGTCAGGCTAGGTTTTTAACTTGGTCCTATATAGTCTACATTTGAAGGTAGTTCAAGAGTAAAAAATGAGTTTGATTCGGTTTCAACCCTACGTGATACTATTTAAATAGGACCAATAGGAGATAAGAAATAAATTTACCCGTCTGATTGCATGACGTGCCATCCTTTCATTTTCGAGACCACTTGGAGGGCTTCTTTCCATTCCTCTACCAATTTAGGGTTACAATTCTGTGAGTGTCGCTCAAACGCCTGCTTGTATGTTCCCTCTTGATGTCCAACGTCTCTAGGCTCTACAAAGTAGAAGATGGGGAGAATGAGGTGTCCCTTGATCTCTTGCTTCCAGCATTCCACCATTTTTGCCAGCTCTCTAAGGCACCATTTGCTGGAAGCGTATTGCTCTGTTAAGACAGGGATGTAGATCTTGGATTCGCCGATCGCCCGCAGGAGGCCCGGAGAGATCTCTTCCCCCTTGTGAAGTTCTTCGTTGTCCCTGAACGTGCGGATTTTAGAACGCGATAGGAAGGTGTAGAGGTGATCGGCGAAGGTATTGCGGACGTCGGGGCCTCTGAAGCTCAGGAAGACCTCGTACTCTCCCGATGGCAGAGGAGACGGAGCCACAGAAGAAGAAGAAGAGTCGGACGAAGTTGAAGCAACGGATTTCATTGTTCGGGAATCGTTTTGAGATTGATCCAATCGTGACTAACTACAAGGAAACTCTCGATCTCTCACAAAAGTGGTGGCTGTTTTGACTTGGGATGAACTACTAAATGAGAGAAGACTAATTGGCTCTATAAATAGATGGACGTCGCTTCCATGAGAGGTAAAGTTAAGAGGTTAGAATAAATTCTTGGAGTTGTGTAGCAAGTGAAATATCTAATGCTTCCCTTGAATCAAAGACACGACAAGAACTTACTCTTTTGTAAGGGAATTTGATACTTACCTCACCAGTTTGGACAATTAACGGACTAAAAGAAGAAAATGAGGTACTCCCGTAAGCCACATGTAGCCGCGTACAAATGAGTCGAGTCAAGTTGAGGTTGACCTAAAAATGAGTCTGGCTAGTTAATAAACAAGTCGAGTTTGATTTCATCTTATTTATGAAATTTTTTTAGTTTGTGCTTGACTCGAGCTTGACTCATTAATGAGCCCACGAGCTCTACTCGAGTTTGGCTCGTCAATTAGCTTGCGAGCTCGACTCGAACTCAAGTTATCATATCATTTAGTTCATAATTTTTAATTGTTCATAGCATGTTGTTTATAGAGAAATTTATGATATATAATTTCTCTTTTATATTATGAATGAGACATCTGATTACGTGCTCAAAATTCTCAAACATCATATGTGGTGAGATATGTAATCTAACAAATCTATGAATTATCAACAAGCCACTGATAAGCTATTAAGAGATTTGCTCATAAGTTGCTAGTTGAGTTGCGTCGTTAGCAATACGGTCGAGCCAACTCATAGGTCAAAAATGAGCTAGCTCACGAGTTGAGCTCAATAGGTCACCGAACCAAGCTGGCTCACAAGTCTTCCGAGCCAAACAAGACTTACTTCAAGTTTGTGGAGTCCCTAACATAATGGCCTTATCATAGGCCTACCAAAACCGGCTTTCCGACCCTATCAGACTTGCCCTAGCTCATACACCTGGATCCTAGAGATTCCTCTTAGTTGGCCATGATATACCGTGTAGTGGGGCACCCTTAACGCGTTTAGGCGCCGAGCTATAAAATTTCCGGGTTATTTTCACGACACGCATTCCATATCACCATGTGCTTGGGGATGCCGTTTGATCCGTGGCAAAATAGGAAGTTGGGTAAAGCAAACTCCCTCCCTTGGACGAGCACGAGGCTTAGTTTAGTATAACTGTTTTATGCTGCTTGATGCTCCGATTGAAAACAATTACATGGGGTCATATGCCGGTACGATTGAATATACATTATAAAGGGGAATCCCTCTCCTGCGACACAGTGTCCAACGATTTTTTTTTTTTTTTTTCGTAACTAATGTCGAGCCGATCGTAAGTAGTTTGACTCATTTGCATCGCTGACCATTTGACAAGCAAAGAAAGTAGTAGTAGTAGTAGTAGACTAGTAGTGCTCTTATTAGGCTCTCCAAAAGCCCAACTGACCCCTTCCCGGCCCAAACGAACATGGCTCACGAAATCTCGAGCCCTTCAACTACTCTCTCAAGCTTCTCCCCGTCAACGAGCTTAAGTCAAGGAGGGATGGATTCCTTTCCTATGGTTCCAAGAAACCTGTAGAGTGGTGGGTCCTCCATTTTCCCTCCCCCCACTGCCCTGCTTCCTTCCAACAAACCCTCAAATTGATTCGCCTTTGTGAAATGCAAATTCATTTCTTCTTGCTTGTATTCAACCAAATCCCCTCCCCCTCCGTTGAAATTTTCTAATCGGCGGCCATGTCGGACGGCACCGCCGACACCTGCTGCAGGTGCTGCAGCAGCTTTATACTGACGAGCGGCCTCACCGCCCTGTTCCTCTGGCTAAGCCTCCGCACCTCCACCCCGAAGCTCTTCCTCCAAAACATCTCCATCCCGTCCCTCAATCGCTCCCACCCAATCCCTCCTCCGGCGAACTCCTCCTCCTCCTCCGGCGCCCTCCTCTCGTTCGATCTGCGGCTGGAGAATCCCAACAAGGACAAAGGGGTTTTCTACGACGCCGTTAAGGTCTCCTTCTACTCTCTCGACGGCGGCAACAACAAGAGCATCCCCTTGGGTAATTTCACCATCCCGCCGTTCTACCAGGGTCACCAGAAGAAGGCCACCAAGAGCGGCTCCCTCAACGGCACCACGGGGGCGGCGGCGATTCTCCGGCGGGGCAACGATTCGTCGTCAGCGCCGCGTTCCTTCCGGGTGGATATCGCGACTCGGGTGAGGTACAAGATCATTTTCTTCAAGACCAAGCGGCATCGGATTGCCGTGGGAGCTGATTTCCAGGTCAACGACCAGGGGACCAAGGTCAACTCCAGGGATGTGAGGCTGAAAACGACGCCGTTCTGTTGGGAAATTGGTGTTCTTGTTCTCTCCGTTTTGGTTTTTTGAAGTCTTTTGGATGTTCTTTTGCTATGCAATTTCCAAGTTTTGTAATTTTTTAATCTATGGATAAATTTAGACAATGACCTTGACTTCTCAGTTGAACTTCACCTAATCCCAAGTCGAGAAATTTGTTGTAAAGCTGGGAGCTTTACTCCTTGCTGCAATCTTGCTTCAGGTTCTGGTTTCTCTGCTCTTTTCTCAGTCACATCTCCAGCTAGTTCAATCAAAACAAAACGCTGAGATCGAAATTCGATACCTTTTGTTACTCGGGTTTTCGACATATGGCAGTGATATCTCATTAACTCATAGCAACTGGTTTCGAAAGTTTCGTGGTTGAGGAGTCACTTTGTACATTAACACGACAGGTAGAATATATCTTGATCTCTTGCCATATGTAAGTTAGAAGGAAAAAAGAAAAAGGAGTGCAAACTATCATCTGTTCTCCCAAGTTACAAGTTACAATTGTACATCATAATAATCATAAAAAAAAGAATCAATCTTCCTCCATTTCTCTTCTTCTGACCCTGTTTTACGCGTGGGAAGCAGCTAATCTGGTGGGTATTCACACTGAGAGCCAGTACAACAAAGATAAAAACTTTTATAAAAGAAACCGATTTATAAAGAGAAACAAAAATATTGGTAGAAAAAACAAATCCATCTCCACCAGATGCCTTGTCTACCAAGGCATCATCAGGTGGTTGTAGGAGTAGTACTAGCCAGTGTACTAGAAGGGATGCTGATTCCAGCCCCTCTAACAGATACGTTGAAGATCTTGTTTCCCAAGCCACCATTGGTCGCCAAAGCCCGGCTCACGAGGTTTGAGTCGAGGAACAATACGATCACGGTGATGTCGTCGTGGAAATGGCGACGAACCCCGCGGTCTATCTTCTTCAAGTCTGAGTACCTCATTTCCCTCTTCTTTGCTGCTTCTTGTAGTGCAGTCTTCACCAGCCTCCTTGCAATCCCCTGCCACCATGAGAAACAAAGGTAAGTAACCAACCAAATGACTTGCATTCCAAGAACCCAATCACATAGTAATAACTAATAACTAATAACCCTACACATCCTCAGTGCACACAGTGCTTATGACAGCCTTCTGAAGAAAATGTTGTTGTGCTTTTAGTATCCCTACCCTCTAATCAAAATTCTAATAGGTCCCAAAACAAGGCAGTGGTGCTAATATGGTATAATAGAAGGCCAAGAACACTTGAGACTACCCCAAGACTTTGAATTCATCCTCTCAAGACAATCCAAGGAGAAGAATGAGATTGCTAGCAACAAGAAATGAAATTAGTGGATAGTGAAGATGTTGTACTTACACTTCGCGGATGATTCTGAACTATATCGACTGCCTCTTGATTGCTTAGATGCTCCCACAGGCCATCAGAAGCGAAAATGACAAATTGATCGACCGGTAGTAGTTTATGTACTGAAATGGAGGGATCGGCACTCAATATAGGTCTTTTGAATGGTTCCCGAAGCCTAAACTTCGCATATAGAGGCTCCCGGTTGAACTCAGCCTTCTTCAAGTATACATCACCTATGGATCTGGATATCTGCAAGTTCAGTAATTCCCATCATCACACAGAAACCCAACGGTCTCTTAATTCATATCATTGATCTAGAGCCTAAGCAGCTAGTGATGAAGCCTATAAGAAACCAACTGAGTACAACTGGAGTTCACAATTAAACCCACCTAGATGTCTCAGGATCTTAATATCAATTGCAAAGTTCAGCTTTCAACTGACCAGTTATACAAATAAGCCCATGATAGGGCTAGCATAGCATGTTGGAGCGATCTGATCTGTCAATGCTGTCTAACCAAAATTACTTTCCACTCCCACAAATTTCAATCCTAATTTTATTTCAAAGAGTAGAAATCCAGCAAGACAGAACACATGGAATTTTTAGTAAGAACACATCAATCTATGACTAAAGCAGAAGGAGAAAACTTTGTTTTACAAGTCAATCATGTTTGGAAACCCGAACTTTCACATTCTACAGGGATAGTCTCTGCACTAAGAAGAGAAGACTAAAAGGAGAGGGTTTGGTTCGTGTAGGCTCACCTGTATAAGGCCTTTCACACGCCATACGTTATGCTTCAAGACCACAATATTTGAGTCATCGGGATGCATAGAAAACAGCTCCTGCCTTACAGACTCATAGCTTGCATTGTGCTCAGCTGACAGCTGAATGGACAAAACTTCTCCAGTCGCCTTCACAGCTCTACCCAAAACAGCCCGGGAATCACCAAGGTTGGCTATGTAAAGGTTTTCATTGCAAACAACACCCACCAGGCAGCACGAACCAACTGCTGCAATCTGTGGCTTCATCGACCATTGTCTCGTCACAACCGATAGGAAGCCCTCCTCCGTTGCTTGAAATGCTTTTCGAATTACATCTGCTGACATAGACTGTTGCTCTGAAGTAAACCCTGTAAAAAGCCATCCCATCTTAAAGTTATCTCCACAGAAAGATATCCAAATACTACTACTGCCAAATATCCATTAACTTCACGGAAACATAGCAAGAATACACTTACTCTTGAGATGCTGAAACAGGTGATCATTGACATAGCGAGACGTCTCAGGGCCACCATGCCCATCATAAACACCAACAAAAGTACCAAATGGACCAGAGTCGTTCGAGCTCAGACTTCCTGACTCGAGCTGACTCTGGTCCTCAAGCAAATTGTTGGCCTGCACTACTGCCATAGAGAACTCGCCATTCACATGCTGCCCATGGTCTTTGTACCACAACAGCCCCTCCTGTCGACCACTGGTTTCAGGATTCGAGTGACCATATTGATCGGAACTCGGCCGAAAACAAGCCCTCAATAAGCTCATCAAGCCAGATAACATCCCTCATCTCAACCAAACAGCCATCCCAACTTTTTTTTGGCTAGTGACAAAGCACCTAATCATCAGCATTTAACAAAGCTCTTGACAGCAGAAATCTCAGTTTCTAAACCCTACCCTCTTCACCGCTCTTCAACCTTCACAGAACAAAACAGAAACACCAATAAGCCCTTCGAGTATACCCAATTCACCAACAAACAAAGTCCCTCAAAACTTCAGACGCAGGGGGGGAAATGTAAACAAGCACTACACACCTATAAACATTTGAATGCAGCCTAAACTTGGATAGCAAGAGTTCAACACAATAGACCTAAAACCCTTCCAACTAAACCAGTCAATTGTACAGGATCTAAAGCAGCCGCTTTTCACTTCTGCTGGTTTCAGATGTGAATTCGCAGCAGAACCATACACAATTGTCGACCTCTAGAAGAACCAAAGCCGCAAATGATGGAAAAATCAAAACACGAGACCCAAATTAGTAAGGAGCAAGTAAAGAGGAACACGGGAACTGGGTAAATTGGACTGTTGTTTGGTCACCACATTCAACAGAGAAAAGATATTGGTCAGTTTCAGGCCATTTAGAGGGCAAACAAAACACAAGGTTAGAAACTTCCTCCAGAAGGTCCAACCTTTCACATTGAAGACATAAAAAAATCCCATTTAGAGAGGACCAAATCCCAACTTGGTACGAACCAATCAACCACCAAAATTCAACTAAAACTTCAACAAAAACAAGCATCCTCTTTTCTTCCTCATTATCTACCCCCTAGGGACTTACCTCTGGACCAAAATTAATCAATCAATCAAAATCTGAATCAGCTCTCTCCTCCCCCTCTTTCCAAAGTCCCTACCTTTATTATCACCCAACAGTTGAGGAACAAACTTCATGTGAGTTAGATCTGTGGATCCTTCCTGCAGAGGTAAGGGCTGGGAAAATTTTAACAGAATCACAACAGGAAAACACAAAGTGGGCTTTTGGGAGGTTTTCCTTTTCTTTCTCGTTTCCCCACAACTGGTGTTGAGAAAGGAAGGAAGGAGAAAGAAGATGGAATTAGGAATGGGAAGTGAAAAAAATGGATGTGGGTTCTCGATAAAGGTCAAGCCTTTGTTAAATTAAGAAGATGAAGAAGCCCGTCGGCCCCCCTAACTTTCTCTCTCTATTCCCTCCTCTCTCTCTCTCTAAATTTTTCTTTTTTGCTTAGCAGACAAGCCCCATAAAAGACCAACAATGGAGAGCTAGGAAGCCAGCAAAGCAGAGGTCCAGTTTTGGGCTCCACAACCCCTCTCTCTCTCTGTAATACCAGAGCAGCTAGGCTGCTAGAGAGAGAATATCCGATGGGAAGATGAAAGAAAGAAACCACCAGGAAAGAGATAGAGAGAGGGAGTCAATGAAAATTGAAGAAGAAAAACCCCTTTGGATAATGATACCACGCACGGTAAACAATTTTTTTTTCTTCTTTTCTCTGGGGGTATTATGTATACTTTTTTAATTATGGGGATTAGCATGAAATTTGGAAATCACGTGAGTCCACGTGGGGTGCGCCCGCCACGTGTCGGTTCGTCAACGGTGGTGGCACGGTCGGAGCCGGTTCACGGGTTTTATTGGCCGGCGGGGGAGAAGCGGCGGTGTTCGGTAATTTTGGCGCTGGCCGGGTGAGGGAGTGAAACTTTTACGGTTGATGAGGTGGCGGATGGTGATTGGCTGATGGGAAATTTTTGCGTACGTGCACAAGATCTGAATCTGTCGTCACTCCTTTGAGTCAAAGTCAGAGCGATCCGGATGATCCAACGGCTGTGGGAATTTCTGGAAGAAAGGAAAATGGAAATGAAAGGTAGTAATGAGCTGTGAATTGTGATGGAACACTGAAACAGTAGCAGTAGAGGATCATAAATATGTTTAAAAAAAAATTTCTTCTTTTTATATATTTGGCCACCGAAAATAAGAATTTTGCAATGAAATTTTATATGGCAATTATAAAATTGTCACTTGGTTGTTGATTCTAGTTGAATTATATTGAAATCCTAACTCCTAGATCATCGATACATAAAAATTTGGTGCATTTTAAGCATACAATTTTCTAATTTTATGATAATGAAGTAAAGATTCAATCGTTTACCCTCGATCGGACTTTATAATAAACCCTAACGGATGAAGTTTTTAAATGTGGGTGATCTGATTAATGTAATTGTGTATGAGATAGTTTGCTTATGCACCAAACCAAAGCAAACCTCGAAATTTTTTTTTTTTGACAAAAGATATATATTAATAAAAAACACAAGGCAGTTACATCTTGGAATTCAGCCAGGGCTGAAAATCAAAATAACGATAGGTAGTCGGGTACAAAGAAAGAGCCTTTCTAGCCACCAAATGGGCTACCCTATTACTACTCTGACCTACAAATCGAATACTCAAGCTAAGATTGAGGGCAAACAAATATACCACCTCCTGAAGAACAGCCCCCATCCTACTATCACGACCATCCTCTTGGCGAATCTTGTCAATAATCACCTTTGCATCCCCTTCAAAACAGACCTCTCTGAATCCTCGAGCCAAACACCATAGCACAACCTCTCGCAACGCAAGCACCTCGACCACTAAACACCGAGGAAAAATTTCAGAGGATAAACACCGAGGAAAAATCATACCATGCCACCATTCAAATTTCAAAGGTTAATTGAACCAAACGATAGGCATAATTCCACCCACAAAAAAGAAAACGTTGATTATTGTCAATATGACATATATGCATGTATCACAAATGGGGTAATTGTCACTTTTTATTTTACTTTCTACTCATGGTGATAGTAATGTCCCTTCCTCCCAGTTTGGAACAGAAGAAACAAACAAAAAATGGTTAATAAAAAATAATTATATATATACTTATTCCAAAAAATAATTATTATTGAATTTTTCATCCCTCTTTTTCCCCTCTTATCGGGCTGCTGCCTCAAATTTCTGGACCACCCCACCCAACTTAGAATGGTGGCAAATCACGACAAAATTTAATAATGATATATAATGATCAATAAATTCAACCAAAAATAAAGAAAGGGATAAATTAAATTTGCTAGCTGGGAAATTGGGTGCAGAATGGCAGCTGGAACTTGGAAGCGTGACCTCATAAAAAGAGCCAACAATAAGCAGTTTTGGCTACTCGACAGAAGCATTTGGGCAGAAGCCTATTTTTGGGTTTGTTTTTCCCTCCTTTCATCCATTTTTCACGCGTTTTTTTTCTGTTCTTCCAAACCATTAAGAGGAAGAGAGGAAGCAATGTTCAGTTAGGGTTCATCGAGAGTGTGGTCGTGACCAAGTCTTAAGATGTGGACTCGTGATTCGAGGAGGGGAGAGCAACGAACCAGAAAACACACCCGTTACAAAGGGCTTATCGGAATTGAAATTATTAACGATGTAAATGAGAAATGAGATAGAGGCATATATAACTGGAGTAGAGGAACCCAACAAGCTCGCTACAAGGTTCGTTGAGATTGTAAGTGATGGTGATATCATGAAAGCTTAAAGATCAACGGAGAAAGTGGGAAAGGGGGTCGATGGTGCGAGTTAGATAACGGTTAAGAAGAATAAATGTAAGAAGAGCAATGATCAGCACAAGTTTTTGCATCCCAAGTTATTTCATCCGCGAAGCTTCATAAAAGTGATAATAACTATGTATAAGCGAGAGAAGTACTAAGTTAAAGAAGTAATCTTGCGCGAGTTAGGGGTGAAAAGAAGGGATGCCAGTGAAAAAGTATATATAGATACGTGTTTTGCAGGATCTCACACGTCGGCACGATTGGTGATTCGTGATATAGCAAAAAGGTACAGCATTGTTTACGCGTACAAACGCTTTCAAAACCCGTATGAATTTGTTGGATCATTTTATGAAGTGTCGTTTCAAGGGGATGTGAAAGTTTTCATTGACAAGGTGAGGCCGAGACAGGCATATGGCCAGGATGCGAGGGGGGGAGTGATTTTCGAAGTAATTTCTCGGTTCAGTCAGAAGCATCAGTTTCTTTCAATCCCGTAGACAGAACAACAACTTGGCGGCCTCATTGGGTTTTAATTTTCGTCTATGGGTATTATATTTTATAAACTTTTGTGTCTTCGTTTTCTCGGTAAAACAAGTGAGCTATTGGAGGAAAAAACGGGTTGTTGTCAACTGGAAACAGTTGTACATGGAATGGAGGTGCCCCGGCGTGACAATGACCATATGGAGAAGAAGAAAAAGAGACCCACCAACAGTGGTTAACGTTAGGTACATATATATACATACATGCAAACGCATATAACAAATTAACAGAAATAATAATGGATGGATATGGATCAGAGGTATATGTAAAAAAAAAAAATACTAGCTAGTGGAAAATGTTAGGTCTTCATCAAAAGACAGTCGCAAACGGATCTTCTTGTCTGCTTTTTTAAATTTTTGTGTCACCTGTTGCACGCTCTAACACTGTTGCAGATAGTCTGACCAGATGATGTAAATTCATGGTCTCCCCTTGACAACGAAATATGAGGACTAGCTAGTAATATAGATCGATCGATCTCCATCACCAATAATTAGCAAGCAAAAGATCGGTGATTGATTGGTTAAATTGATTGGCCATCTAATATATAACTTTTTTGAAACTCAAGTCAATTATTAGTACTAGTGCGGTAGATCGTGATACAGAGGAATGAAAACGACGTGTAGAGTTCATTTTGAGTTCGAAGTTTTGGTATCAACATTACTTTTTTTATGTTAGGTTTGTTTGAGTGACTCGTGCGTTGTTCTTCGGATAGCGAACACTTGTGGCGTAGGTTGGATTGTGAGATGGGTTAGACGATATACTACTAACTCATATAATTGATCAATTGTGTTTGGACTATAGTACTATAGGTTAGATCAATAGACTTCTATTATTTATGGTATATTAATATGGGAAGGAGAAAAGAAGCAGGGTTGTACGATTACGGATGTTGAAATTCGTGATCTTTGGGTTAAAATTAAATCTGACATCACAGCCACTTGATCAAACTCATTGACTCTTTTCGAATATCACGATTTAAATCCCGACTAGAGCCCATGTATAAACTCTAGCCAGGTGTAGTATAGAGTAAGTATTTTAATGTCAAACTTGGGCCGGTCCATGTACTCCTACTTCAACCGTTTGAAACATTATTTATTAATCAACTTTTGGTTATAACTATGGATTACAACTAAAAAGCAATTGGAAAGGTAAATGGTTTTGAATACTAATTGAGAAGACTTCACCCCGAGTGTTGCTCCCCCTAGCTAGTTATCAAGATCAGTAGAACCGAATGCAAGTGTGTGGTAAAAGTGGTTGTAAACCGTAGGGAGCGCAACTAGTGAAGAAGCTTGACTCTCTTGGTCGATAGGCCAAGGGATATCAAATCCAGCTACCAAAGTAGCTCTCTTGGCCAATCGACTAAGGGGTTGCCTAGGATTCTCCCTCGAACCATAGTCCAGACGACCAAAATACAACCTATCCAAGGTGCTAAAACATAGTATGAGGTTTGCCCTAATTAAGCCTAAGCAGGTGGCTCAATTTGGCCAAGGAATTCCGATTTTTGAAAGCCTCTTAGCAAGAAGGGGATTTCCCTCTACATAAGTAAAGTTGGCATAATAGTTGGAAATGAAAAACACAACACAACCTTCATAAAAATATCTCAATACTTGCATTAAAACACAAAGCACACACAAATCATTTAATTCATACAAACAATCACATGATTATAGGTAGGGTTCACAAACACCCAAGTGAAAGAAGTGAACTACTTTATGTTAAGACTAGAGAATACACAAAGGAGAAGAGAAAATACCATATTGAGATGTTTGCCTTCTTCCTTTGGTGTGGAGATCAATTTTGGAGGATGAGATTCCCAAATCTTGGAGTTTGGATGAAACCCTAATCTTCTTTTCCTCTCTTGTTCGTCACTCTCTTTCTCTCTAGAAATATGAGGAAGAAGAAGTTCTCTCACTAGGTGCTCCCTCCTTCTTTCAGTTCACTTCCCCTTTTATACTCAGATTGACGACTTTTCACGATCCTAGATCACAGCCGTGAACTCAAAGCTTTGATCGTGATCCTAGACAAAAGCACGCTGCTTCACTAAAGGACTTTACTTTCTGGAGCAAATTATCACGGTCGAGCTACCGTGATTTCTCGTAAGCCCGCGACGCCGAAAACTTCCCTGGTCGCCTTGCACTTCACAATCCTGACCTATTTATCACGGTCGGCCTGACCGTGAACTTCTGGCTTCCACCGTGATCTTCGGTTGTTTGCTCCCTTTGATCCGTTTTCTCCTCTTTTCGTCCAACTTTCGTTCCCGAGGTCGATTCCGCGGATTTGAAACACACTAGAAACAAGCACAACCTAGCGTAAAACTGAACCTCACGGAGTGAAAATGCCTCAAACATCTACAGAATATGGGGGTAAAATGTGTATAATTGAACCCGAATCACTCATATTAGTTAGACTTGTAATTTTTCGATCGATCAAATTAAGGAGAAACTTCTGCATGCGTACACATAATTAATTGCCACATGTTGGTTGGTTGAGACTAACAAATAATTCGGAGGAGATCACTAGAGGATCCATGGGCTCGGGTCACCTCTAAAATTTGGAAAAACGAATATCCAATCTAGGAAATAATTTGTATATGGATAAAAATACTATTTAAGTGGTAGCCTGCATGAATTGAAATTGGGACATTGCTACTATTAGTAAACATATTTTCCACTAGACTACAACTCATTTGTTGTTATGTTTTAAATCCAAATATAATGGCAAAAGGCTACTCCTTTATTCCCAATTGTTTTCAAAACCAAACGATTAAAACCAATTACGGACAGTGTAGACACCAAATTACGGGCTACCCTTGTCTAGCAAGATATATTGAGACAGATCTGTTGAGTATTGTAGACACCAAATATATTTTCTCATTTATTCATAGCTTTTGTTGTAACTTAGTCATATATTTTTATTTAATAATTATTTAATTTTTGGGAGGGGTACCTTATGGTAATAGGTTTGATCGGTAAGGTGATAGTTTTCCCCATTGAAAAATTGTGATTGGGTTAATAATATGAGTTAGACCAATAGACTTCTTGGTTTTTTTCTTTATGAGTGCCTTAATAGGAAATAGAGGAAAAGGAAATTAGAATCTTCGCATTTTTTTCGTATTTAAATCATATTTGATGTCACAAACTACTCGATTAATTAATTTGTATTCATGTGATTGATAAGGTAAAAATTTATACCTGCTTACACAAAATTAAGTGCACAACACGTTACACGTGCCACATGACCATTTGACATAAACTAATTGAGATATTTGCTTCTTAATAATTAAAGCAAGAAGCTTATGCATAAATAAATCTGTTAATTAACGAACCCCAACGGGTACCTAAAACGTGGGCAAATTAATGTGTGTACTTGCCTGCAACTGTGTATTCCTACAAATGTGGCGTTTCTTAATACATGATAAGTCGTTACATGCAACTAATAATCTCGAAGGACTTTGTTAGTTTTGCCCAGTACCCTTGTCCTATTTTCATAACTTAAATATATAAGTATCTAATAAAAGAATTATTTAATAAAAAAATAATTATATCCGAATAATTTATTCATAAATTAAAAATAACCGATTATACTATCATACTTTTCAGAAACAACTACGAAGGAATTTCATATAGTGAAAGAAGCGCAAAAACATTCGTTGTCTACACTATTATATAAGTCTCTTTCAATGTATCTTACTAAACAAGTATTAGCAAACTAGCCGCCAAATCGACTTGGAAACTTGTTCTTAATATAACTCAAAAACTGAAAATGCTCTTTTTACACTTGCAGTTGTAATTGGTAGATCAAAACTAGTGGGATTGCCGTTGTCGCTAGACAATTTCAGGGTTGTTGGGGGAAAGATCGAATAGGCATAAGGAGAAAAGAGACTCGATTAGTTCTTTATTGCAATTGGAATTTCGTTTATTGTATAATAAATTAATTTTATGTCAATTTTGGACAAGTAATGAGTTGTGTTGTAGTGACAAAGTACTCTAGTACTATCTATACGTGTTGTGTTCCATCACTAATATAAATATATACGGCGTATTTTTGTTCCACCGCAAATTTACCCCTGTCCCGGGACAAGGCCAAAAGGCCCTGCCTCCGCCACTGGTTTTGCCCCATATAAAACGACTCATTTCAATATCTCGAATTATTGACACTCGTTCTTAACATGTATAAGTGTTTTGGTTTTGACTAAAAACTAGCGACTCATTCTGAAGCAACTCTCAAACCCTAGGTTCAAAATACATGTATAATTAATTTGTAACAAACCCGAGAAACATAACAATTGGTATAAGGTTATGTACGGGCTACGCCTCCTAGCTCCTTGATGTGCCACGATGGTTGAAGTCCCTTCGGTTTCATTATTCCGCCTCGCTCCTCCTCACTATTAGTTTACGACTTCCGATGTTGAATCGAGCCGACTTTCATTTATACACGAGAACGAAAGAAATAAATCGACAAACCGATTCGATATATTAATTACATGCATGCATGAAGTCAATGTTCGGGAAGAAGAAAAAAATCGGTGTGTGCCTAAAAGAACCATAGACATGAACAGGATGGACCACGCTATGTTGCCATAGGAGCCTCTATATACGTATATACATGCACATATGTTACCCCCGTTACATCGTCATTTTTGGAAGCCCTTTTTGTGTTCATGTGCTATGCTTTTATGTAGCTGCATGCCCATCTTAAATATCTCTGTACTTTTGCCCTAACTTAGCTCTCTTAGCTTGCACAATCGGGAGAGGACTAGGGCTAGCTATGTGATTCAAAGAAAGAATGGAAATGGGGGAAAAAGAGTGATTGGTACGTGGTAGCTCGATGGGTGTGGATGATGAACTTAGCTGAAAGCAACTTTGTTGAACTTTTAATTCATTGCATTTGAATGTATGATTTGGAATGTGCAATTGTATGCTAAGATTGGGACCCATTATTGTGTGCTTGGTTCCCATTTGCTATGTTTTTTTTATAGGGGGTTTACATGGCTACAAATGTTGGGATCATATCAGTCACTTGAGTTTTGAATTTTAGCAGATTTGTCGCTTAACTTGATTTGGGATGTTGCGAACTCATTGGCAGAGTCGAGATGCAGAGTGGAGTGAACCTAGATCAGTCTCATCAGTCAGCCCCTTACGATGTTTTCTCTAGCATATAAGTATACGTGATCACTTCATATACCAAATAATTGTGAATGATTGGCTATAGTTATAGCCCTCTCGAACAACAGGTGGTTCCAGTTCCACCGACTAATATGACGGCAATCACGCGTCATCAGTCTTTTGAAAAATTTTATGTATGAATTGTTCAAATTAATGTTTGCTTACAAACTAATATCTAACAGAAGATATATATACACTAATTAAGTAATATATATGGCCCATTACGCATACTTGCTTTTGATTTTAGAATCGCAATAAGAACAAGCTTAGGTGCGTAAAACTTCATTTTGCATCCACAAAATAAGAAAAGTGTCCATCTTTGGTACTTTGAAATGGACATAAAGCAGTGTGTGATTTGTCCGTTTACCTAACATATGAACTAAATAAATAAATTGAGGGCGAAAAGGGCAAAGAAAAAAGAAACCAAAATGATTGTTTGGTCCTTTAACTTTTGAACCTTCCATGTCTCCAACCTCAATTTCACAAATGAGTCACTTTAAGTCCTTTAACCTTTGCAAGTTGTAACTAGGGCTGTGAGCCTGTGAGTTTGCCTACGATTTTTCAATTTTAATCGAAACCAAATTAATAAGAAGTTTAATGGTTTGAGTTTAAATTGCTACATCTTAATAATTTTGGTTTCGATAAAATTGAAAACCAATAAGAAATTGTTTATTAACATTCTAACTAACTCAATACTCGTCAACAACACGCGTTGCGAACAACTTATATGTAATATACTTTTTTTTCCCCTATCTCCATGTCTTATTGTCTTTCCTCACTCTATTTTTGGACTTTCCAAAGTATGGAATTGACTTTTGGTTTTTTCGTTTATCCAAACCAAACCGATAACCGATAAATCTTTTAACAGTGTTGGTTTTCAGAAATCTACCTAATTTGGTTTGATTTTTATGCTTTACTGTTTGATTAACCAAACCAAAGAGACAGCCCTAATTACAACCCACAAATACGGTTGCTAAAAGCAACAAAATGGTTACCAAAACTAATGGTGACCAATTGGCTGTATCATGTTTTGGTTGCAAGCTGTGATGGTTGGGCCATGCTACTTCGAAATAATGGGGTGTTTCTGGAAAGCTAGCTAGCCAACATTTATTCTGACCAGAAATTGCAGGTTTGGACAAGAGAGTTAGCCATTATTATTTAATGGGAAATAGGCAAAAAAAAAAATAATACATTTCTCTTCTGTATGTTTTTGAAGATACTGATAGAACAGCTTGCAGAAGATCTGGGATTCAGCTGTTCCCTCCCTCTTCCTAATGAACAAATATAGTCTAAGAGGACAAATTCACATAATGGCTGTGGGTCCATTTCCATATTATGGGAGGTATTTGTTGGTCTTATTCGTAATAAATTAAATCACTTCATCATGTGATTATTGGCCTTTAATTCGGAACCGTAATGGGTTGTAAAATGTTATCGTCGTTATCAATATTAACTAAGAAATTTTCATCAGTTTGTACATCAACCAGATAGGATGATCATGTATCTTAATTAATAAATTGCATAAAATTTATGCATGTATCAGTATTGGCGTGCTAGGTGATCCGCTACAAATTAAGTTACGTACCCTCATCACCTTAACTTTAGTTATGGTTCCATCTCCAAACTTAATTACGCGAAAACTTTACCCAATTGATCTTTCTCATCTCTGACAATACCGCCTACAAAAATCGTACTAAGTGAGCGTTGGTGGTAACAGGAAACCATGAGAAATAAGATGAAAAAGGGAATGCTGAATTGACCCTGAATGGCACCATGCACTGATTGATTCATTCGTGCCCTGTTTTTCTTTGCCTTATCTCACTCAACTACCATGCAAGCTAGCTATCGATATCCAGAGTTTGGATAATATATATTTCCCTCACACGAATATTTCGTAATTTTATAGAAAAAATAATACAAAGGGAAAGGAGAAATTCCATGCGATCAAATGAAGAAGAAAGAAAAAAAAACAATGCAGTTAGCATAGATTCCAGAGAACATCAAAATGAAGAGATATCCCATCAAAATTCATTACCGGCTGCCTTCGTTTACACATTTGGGAGAGAAATTAAAGAACCTATACCACAATTATCCACGAATCTTATATCATTTACTAACACATTTTCTCAAATGAAAACTAACTCATATGAGTTCGAAGTTCGCATTTGTATGAATATCATGTGCTTAATGAATGGAGATCGTCGAGATTCCAACACACAAGGCCTCTCGATTATTGAGGACTTTGATACCAGGTAAAAAACCCCAGTTGATTTCAATAACTTAACTTATTAGGAGAGATTCAATTACGAATCTGATATCATTTGCCTGACAACAATAATATCATCACTAAAATTGTATTAAGACTCAACCCTAGCTAGCTTGTTGTGCATTAATGAACAAATTATGGGCCAACCAATAAGTTGTGGCTTGGTTAAGTCCTTCCTCATATCATATGATTAGTTGACTCAATCAAGAATTATGAAAGTATATAATCAATTATTTGTCACATCACTTTCCAAACCTTAACCAAACTACATTCATCCAAAAATGCCCCTTTTGTGGAAATGATTTGGTTGGCCGGTCGAATTTTCCCGTTTCCACATTCTTGACCATCCCCAACTTGGAAGACAAGTGATTAAGCATATCAAGTCCTAATCAAGGAGCTAGGTCCCATTAATTAGTACTATAATAATAATATCCATCAGTATTAATCTCCTCTTTCTCTCTTACTTGGAAAAATTCATCCCCTAAAGCTCAAAGTAGTAAAGTCATGGCAGTCTCCTTAGCTATATGGTCGTTGGTCCAGTGATTTGAATACATTTCGACTGATCCATTTTTGGAAGACTAAGTCATAAAACTCCCCTCATTTTGTGGTCAAGGATAAAGAATATGAAAAATGTATGGTAGAATTTACATGAAATTCATGGATACGCGAAATGTCAGTACAGATATAGCGAGACTACATCGAATTCGGGTCTGTGTACCGATTGACCACGATGAGTTTGATTCTCGTAGCCTACGTACGTGGCTACATTGCCTAATGATATTTCAAACACACGAGACTACAATCTTCCCTATGATATGCCCGTCTTGACGATCCACATTCTAGTATTAAGTAATCTAAAATCTCAATTTCGGTAAAACTATAGATAAGATGGAGTTTTCAGGCTACCGCGAGAAGATAACAAAATAAGTTCATGGTGTATCCGTAAACGTTAAGAAGCGACAAACACTTTCGTGCTAGCTAAATATTGTGCATCGTTATCACACAATTAATTAATTAAGAGTGGTGCTTTCTGCATGCAACATTTTCCTGCTATCTACTATACAAACAAATAGGACGTATAAATTAAACCTATTAATTAGTAAAAATTGAAATAAAACTAATGAATTGCTTTCGCGTGACAAATTAGTATAGTATAATATGAAATTATTCCATCAATTCATCAATTGACAATGTAACCCATGAACTGATTTCGCTGTGGACTAGCATCTTTGGGGACGCCGGGCGGCTGATGTTTGATTTGTTCATCTTGGACTCACTACAAAAAATAAAAATTAATTGGACAATTTTAAATTCAGTCGAAGTGTCATTAACAAGTATAAAAATGTCACAATCGAGATGCACTGACATATTACACAAATGACGTACAACTGTCACTTAATCCAGTGTTCTTTGGCAACATTTGTTATAATTGCCAATATCATTTCTCTGTAGCGTTTATGTTGCATACTACGCCACTTATAATTGTAGCGTAACAACATTTTTTTGTAACATTTAAAATGTTATAGGTGATGCAGATAGTGATATTTATCGAGACAATCAAATTATCATTATTAAATTGTAAATATACAACATTCATAATATGGTATGACGATATATTCTTTCCTCTATGAACTTTGATTGAAGCACACACAACGATTTTAATTATTTCAACAAAATAATTAAGATAACCTAAAACTATGAGGCGGAATATGAATACTACTTTCGTCTTATCCCACCTCATACCACACCGTTCTATATCCATTTTACCTCTATTTATCTCAATATCTATTTTTATTTCTTGTTTTTACCTATCTTAACTCATATTCTCATCCCACGATATTTTAGATAAAGGCAAAACTTCATCTTTCAACTAACTGGACTCCATTAATCTATCTATCATCATGATTTTGCATTTATGAACTAGTTTCTCTTTGTTTTTATCGTTAAAAAAAAAATATTTTCTTCAAATAGTATATAAAAATGAGTCAACATGTCACTTCCCGTACTCGTGTGAATATTACCTGACTTGACTGTCGCTCAGTATGAAACGGGTATGAGTATTCAGGAACTCGCCCCCTTCCTATTTCCATCATTAAACCCAACCATTTTACCCTGAATCAATGTTTGTAAAAGCGCACCGACGGTCCGACCAGAAAAACCTCCTACCGAGGGCTAAACCGATAAACGAGTTTTTGCGGAACAAAAAATTTGAACTACGATTAAATCACGGTTTCCGTATAATTTTTTTTTTTTTTGCCATTCCGTATAAAATAGCTTTATCGCTATTTTTTCTAGTACAACCTCCGAAGTCCAAACGTGTGTTAATGGGCTGCCACATAACCGCATAGACTCTTTCTTGAAAAAAATCCAGCGGTGTACAGTGGCCAGGCCCATTTGAATTCTGCTGGGCTTGAAGTTGAAAGTTTCACTCTCCAGCCACTTGACTTGAAATAAAACTCCGGTCAGCCGTTACATGTGGGCAAGCAACACACCCAAAGTCTCTGCAGTCATTCCGAAGCCCAAACAACTGCACTCTCATCCCATCTTCTTCCTCAGGTGAATCGATTGGCGGTGAGCAATGGAGCCCGATCCTTCTTCTTCTTCCTCAATTCAAATTCCAGCAGGGGAGTATGAGGTCTTCTTGAGCTTCAGGGGCCCCGACGTCCGCAACACATTTGCCGACCACCTCTACAACTCCCTGTCGCGCTCCAAGATCAGGACGTTTAGGGACGAGGAAGAGCTCCGAAAGGGGGAAAGGATCTCGCCTTCTCTGGTCCGTGCCATCCTCGAATCCAAGATATACATCCCCATTCTAACCAAGCAGTACGCTTCCAGCAAATGGTGCCCGCAAGAATTGGCCCAAATGGTGGATTGCTGGAAGCAAGAGAAGGGGCACCTCATCCTCCCCATTTTCTACTTCCTGGACCCTAGGGACGCAAGGCATCAGCAGGGTCCTTATGAGGAGGCATTCGAACAGCACGCCCAGAAACACAGCATTCGAACTGTGGAGGAGTGGAAGGAAGCCCTACGAGAGGTTGGGCAGATGAAAGGATGGCACGTTACAGAATCCCATGGGTAAATTAGCTAGTAGATATGTTTGTTTCAAAGTTGGAATCCTGTTACTGTTTTCGCTAGAGTTTTCTTGCTTAGTTGATGACTGCTCGGTTGATTCCACAGACAGGGAGGTGTGGTAGAGGAGGTTTTGTCCAAGGTGGAGTTGCATTTGAGGAGTGTTTACACGTTGGTGACTGATGAGCTGGTGGGTATTGACGCTCATGTGGAAGAAGTGATGAAGTTGCTGAACTTAGGCTCGTCCGAAGGGACGGTCATCGTCGGCATTCATGGAATGGGCGGTATAGGTAAAACTACTCTATCGAAAGCTGTCTATAATAAGATCTGTAAGCAATTTGATCGTTGTTGTTTTCTGGAAGACGCGAGGGAGATATTGGCGGAGAGTGACGGAGCTGTATGTTTGCAAAATAAGGTTATCTCTAGCATTTTGAAGGACGATTGCCAGGTTAAAAATGTCAGTGAAGGAATCAACGTGATGAAAGAGAGGGTTGCCAAGCACAGAGTGCTTCTTGTTATCGATGATATTGATGACAAGTTTGAATTTGATCGAGTTTTAGGAAAACTTGGGGACTTTTCTTTAGGTAGTAGATTCATATGTACAACAAGAGACAAGAGGGTTTTGGATTTCCTTCAAGGATGCAAGTTGTACGAACCTGGAGAAATGAGTCATGATCATTCCCTTCGGCTTTTCAGCAAACATGCTTTTGGGATGGAGCATCCTCTGGAGGATGCTGCAACTCTGTGCGAGGAATTTGTAAAAGTTGCAGCTGGGCTTCCATTAGCTCTTAAGGTTATAGGTTCACTTTTATTCCGCAGAGATAGAAGATTTTGGGAAGAAAAGTTAATAGAGTTACAAGATATACCTTCTACTGAAAATAAAGTGCAGGAGAGATTGAAGATAAGTTACAAGGAGTTGAGCCGCACCGAGAAACAAATCTTTCTCGACATAGCTTGTCTTTTCATCGGAATGGACCAAGAGATACCTTACTACATGTGGTCAGGGTGCGATTTTCATCCAGAGAGTGGGATCAACACTCTCATTTTTAGATCCTTGCTAAAAATTGATGAAGAAAATGGATTCTGGATGCATGATCACATTAGGGATCTTGGGAGAGCCATTGTCATAGAGGAGGATATTCAACGTCCATATAGGCGCAGTAGGATATGGTCATCTGAAAATGGGTTGAACATGTTAATGAGTGGGGAGGTAATGATTTTGTCTTACAGTTTGGCGATCAGTTGCTTTGTCATTTTGGAATATGCTCAAATACAGGAAGTGTAGAAATTTACTTACTCTTCATCTTTGCAGGGAAATGATCGAGTGGAAGTTCTTAGGATCCAGTTGGACCATACAGATAGACAGCTTACAAACAAGGACTTCAAGGAACTGTCAGGATTAAGGTATCTTGAAGTGCAGCACGGTAGATTGAAAGGGGATTTCAGCGACATTCTCCCGAATTTGTCTGCCCTTCAATTGTATCGCTGTAAATCAATCCCCACCGATCTTAACACAAAGAAATTGGCAGTTCTCCATCTGGAAGCTTGCTATGTGACAGACGACTGGAGAGGGTGGAAGAAGGGAATGCAGGCAGCACACAAGCTGAAAGTCATTAACCTACCGAGCTGCTTCAAGTTGACAAGACCTCCCGACTTGTCGCCGTGTAAAAGCCTGGAGGTGATGAACGTCGAGGATTGTTCGAAGATGGAAGGAGAGTTAGATATTACTAACTTCAAGAATCTGAAGACACTGAGACTAGCCGGTACCAAACTAAGTAAGTTAGTTCCGAACAGTGGCGACAGCAGCATCGGAACGCTTCGACGCCTCAGGGAGATCGACGCGGCGGAGACCCAGTTGCAAGAACTCCCTGTTGAAATCGACAGGTTGCCGTCGCTTGAGATCCTGAACTTGATAGGCATATTCACAGCCACCCAGCTGCGGTTGAAGCTGCCTCCCAGACTTCCCACGAGCCTAAAGAGATTATCCCTCTCGTCTCGTGATGGGGTTCCGAATCTCATCGAGCTCAAGGAGCTAGAGTCTCTGAAGTTTCTCGGCTCGTGCAATCTTCGAATCCCAGGAGAGATTTGGCAGCTAACCAAATTGAAGGAATTGACTATACTGCAATCCCCGTGCGATACTCTGCTGACGACGACGATTCATCCTGCCACCCTCCCATCTTCTTTAACAACCCTCGACGTTCAGGATTGTGGGCCTTTGAAGAGCCTTCCCAGCCTGGCGAATCTGCACAAATTGACGTTTCTCAGCCTGAAAGACCTCGAGGCACCGGAGATTCTCGGCGTGGGGGAGCTGAGAGCTCTGGAGACATTGGTGATATCGGAAGCCCGGAACCTGAAGAACCTCGACGGGCTTCAGAATCTGCTCCATCTCACGTGCTTCAGGGCGCAAACCTGCGCCGCGCTGGAGAGACTGCCAAATGTAGCGAGCTTGACCAAGCTGGGGTTACTGATCATCGGTGGGTGTCCTGTTCTCGCTGAGATCCCGGGGCTGGAGTTCCTCACAGAATCCTTATACTTTCTAAAAATCACTGAATGTCCCAAGTTGCAGGACGTCGTGGACAGGATTCCATTCATGTCGGCCCTGGAGTTTCTGATTTTCGAAGAGCAACATTGCCTGATGGAACGATTCCCTGACGTGTCCCGTCTCGGCGACCTGATGTCGCTGGCGATCCACGGCTGTCGGAAGCTGACGGAGGTTGCAGGTCTGGGGAGCCTGTCCGGGTCGCTGATATCGCTGACCCTGGAGGGCTGCACCTGGATGCGGAAGCTGCCGGACGGTCTGTCCGGGCTCAGGAGCCTGCAGAATCTGCACATCAGTAGCTGCGTGCTCTTGATCGACGCGACGGGGATCGAGAGGCTGGAGTCGTTGCGCTACCTGACGATGTCGGATTGCTTTTCGATCAGGGAGCTGCCGGATCTGTCCGGGCTCGCTAGCTTGGCAGAATTGGTGTTGAAGGGATGCGTGGAGCTGAGGGAGGTGAAGGGGATCGAGGGACTGGAGTCGTTGCGCAAGCTGTTGGTGACTGGTTGCAGGTCGCTGCAGGAGGTCGGGGATCTTTCTGGGCTGAAGAACTTGAGTGAATTTGATGCGACGGGATGCGAGCTGCTGAGCCCGAGGGACGGTAATGGAGTCGAGGCGGGGAAGGGGGCAATGGTGAAGCGCTTGGTGGGTTCGGCGGCGAGATATGGGATGCTGCAGCTGACTCGATTTGTGGGGATCTCAGGCGGAGGACCTGGCGGTGGAAGTTCCTCTAGGCTGTTGCCAACCGAGGATCCAGGACATAAGAGAGCACTGGGCCGTATTTGAATAGAATATTAGATACCATAAACAAAAATATATAATAATATAGTTTCATTACGCCAATTGTACAAGAAGGTCTTTTAATTTAGCAAATTCATCAAAATAATATAATCTCCATCCATATTGATAATATACTATTTTTCAAAGAAAATAGCTAAGTAATCAACGACAAATTCATCGCTAATTTTGTTGCACAAATCAATGTTCATGTTCCATTGATGAAAATATTCTCTTCATGGTAGTTGTTGAAACGGCTAGGCCAACACTAGACAAATCAACCGACAAATCAATTTGTATTATGTGTCCATCCCTATTTCCTCCAGCTTATCTAATAATTTTGTAAGAGAAGAATTTTCATCTTCCTCACATGAGTAGTGCATTCTCCAAAGAATGCATCTCGTAGCCTTCAAAGTCTCGAGGCTAAACTCTTGAGCAAATTTGTAAATATTTTCTTCATCAAAACACCAGAAAGAACAGTTAGAATCTAGTGCCCCCACCCAATTGAGGCAATCTAAATGATGACTCAGTAAGTTTGTAAATATTTTCTTAATCAAAAGAATGGAAAGAAAACCAGCTCGACGGGCTGGCAGAGAAATCCATTTTGGGTCTGCTCCTCTCCTCGTTCTTGTTTTGTTTAGGGGGGATTGGGAAATTTTTTGAATTTTGCAAGGAAGGGTGTGCTTTAATTTAGAGTTTTTTATTTTATTTTAATGAAACTTTAAACTTTTAGGTTTTCATGTCATTTTTCAAATAAAATCATTGGGGCTATAGAAAATTTAGTATAAATTTAGAGTAATGGTTTGGATATGTTCATCTGAACCATTTTCCTAGTTACACAAAATCATATTATCAAATAAAACTAGACATAATTTTAAATAGCACTGGGCCAAATACCTAAATCGAAAATTTTTATAAGCACTAAACTAAGGGCTCGTTTGGAGAACAAGATTTGGATCATGGATTTATTGAATCAATAGATTTAGTAAAATGTTATGTTTTTTTGTTACTTTTTGTATCGTGGATTGTAGCTTCAGAGATTTTAAATCTCTAAATATAGAGATATCAAATCTCTCATAATTAGAGAGATTCTACATCTTGATTTTGAAGATTTTCTTTCTCCTACTATATCTCTTCTTTTTTTCATTTATCCCACTAAATACCCTCACCAATAAATTCTCAATAGTTTTCGAGCAATCTAATTATTTTAGTTAAGGATAAACATATCATTTAATAAAAAAATTGAATTTCTTTTTTCATTGGATGTTAGCAATCGTAGTTACCAAACAATGAACATTTTCAAATCTTTTTTCAACAATCCAGAGAGTTAAAATCATTGGATTGTCTAGAATCTATAGATTTAGACTCCAATTCTCCAAACGAGCCCTAACTCTAGATCCGGAGGACAGCTGGGCCGGGGCCTGGGTTGGCCCAGCCCTGGATCCGCCAATGGCTGTTGAAGACCTGTTAGATGTTTATGTTTTACGCTGTCCCTTGTCCTCTCTTTTGATTTCCTTCAAACTAGGGCTCCAAATGAGCCGAGCTGAGCCGAGTTTTACCCAAACTTAAGCTTGACTCGTTAACAAATGAGCTTAGCTCGAGCCCGAGGCATTTATTAACGAGCCGAGTCGAGTTCGAGCTAGACTTGTTTACTAAATTCTCAGATCGTATTTAATACATTCATTTTGTATGTCGTGTATGGTACATGTGATTGATGTAGCGATAAAAAAATGATCAAATGTTCAACATTAATTAATCTTATATTATAATTTTTAGGTGTCATATTGTTTAGTTAATAAATTTTAACTAGTTCAAATCATGTTATTTCATAGTATCGAAACAATTTTGTACATTATTTCTTTACAGAATTAAAAATAAGGCATATTTTCTTACATGTTCAACATGTTAAACTTCACATGACGTGAGATATATAATTTAACAATCCTATGAATTATGAAAGTCCAAATTAGATCGATTAGTCCATAAGTCAGTGATCAAGTTGGCCCTCAAAACCACAATGTTGAGACATCTCATGAGCTCTAAATGAGCCAACTCACGAGTTGAGCTCAACAAGCCACCGAGTCGAGCTAGCTCGCGAGCTTCACGAGATGAACAAAGCTAGGCTCAAGCTTGGCTCGTCAGTAAACGAATCGAGTTTCGAACGAGCTTTTCTCGATTCGAGCTTCGAGTTGCTCGCGAGTAGCTTGGCTCATTTGCAACCCTACTTCAAACATTTGTATTCATCTGCCTTGTTAATCTACCTTTAATCTCCCATTGTATTTAAGATTTAAGAATACAATGGAGATATATTAATTTGAAATTGTCTAGTTTTGCATTAAATTGATTTGACAGGAGTACGGTCAAGTATTTTGAAATGATGTATCAATTATGAGTTAAGACAGTCAAATTGTCTCGTTTTATAAATTCGTCATCTAAATGACCTCTTAGTAAATCTCTATACACCGAAGACTACTAAGTTAAAAAAACATGAGTTTTATTAAAAATGAATAGATTTTATAAATCTATCCTCCAAATCTCATTCTCTAGTTGGCTCCTTAATGTTAGTTTGGTTAATTTTTTTGTTTGCGTGCCAATTTAGAAATTGCGAGCATGTTTGGTTAGTGGTGAATCACTAGGGGGTGGTTTGGATGCAGGATTGTAGTGAGTGATTTATGAGAGATTTTAAAACAATTCCTCATTATGCAGGATTTTAAAACAATTCGGCGTTTGGAAAAGCTAAAGAATTGTATGATTAGTGATTTTAAAAACTCTCATTTGTGGGTTTTTGAAATAGCTGATAAGCATCAGCTATTTCACAATCTCTCGCTCCTATTTCTTAATTTCCAAACCTTGCCCTCAACTATCTCTTTCGTTATTCTTCCACCTACACCGCAGCTCGTCTTCAACGTCGACTTCTCCCTTCCGATCACCTGGTCGCATCACCCTCCTCTCCCACTCCGTTATGTCGCCGTAGATCTAGGTTTACGGTGTGGAGCTGATGTCGATTATAGGTTTGAAAACCCCAGTCATCATCCCCATAAAGGCCAGCGATGAACAATAATATTAAGGCTTATTCTGGGTTCCGGCGATGAAGAAAACAGAGGAGGAAAGAAGGCGATGAGTATGGCGACCGTCGATCTATTCTTCTTCGTCGCCCTCTACTCTCCGTCACAGAGTGCTCTTCGTCCATCACTCCTTCTCTGCCGCCTCTACTCCCTATCGCCCTAGACTGATCTTGAATTCCGAGGTTGAAACCCAGAAACACAGACCGCCACCGCCTAGCCTCCTCTGTTTCTCATCTTTCCTGGCTCCATTTCCCTGGCGCGATTCATCCCCAAATCAGGTTCTCTTCCCGAAATTAGAACTTTGGGATTAGGGGAAGAATGGTCTGAATTCGGGTTCCTTGATTTAGCATTTGGGTTCTACGATTTGGGGGTAGGAGAAGTCGAATATAGGTTTGGGAATTTGGGTTAAACGATTAAAAAGGGGTCTGGGATAAATACGATGATTGCTGAGCGATTTATTGGGTTTTGATTTGTTTTGGGTTTGGACTATTGTTGCGGTGTTGAATGTTTATGGTCTATGGATTAGAGGAGGAAGTCGGCGAGGAGAAGTGAGGAGGAAGCCTGCGATGATTAGTCCAAGAACAAGGTGAATGTAGAAGAAGATGGGCACTAAAGTAATTTGGCATTTTAGTTAAAAATTCTGTGTTTCATTCCAAACGAGTTATTTCAGACAAATCCCACATACAAATTCTTCAGTATTTTAAACGAGAGATTTAGACCAAAATCCCTCATTATTAAAATTCCTAATCCAAACGACCCCTAGGTGAAAACAGCTTATCTATAACTTAATCGGTATTTCTTATTAGTCAACCACTAATTATTGATTCTATTGACAAAGAGGGATGGATTTCGACTCTTCGAGACGTTTGAAACTTTGGATGAAGGATTGTTTTGTTATATTTGAGGTTTGGGATGTTAAGAATTAAGACATTATCATGTCTTGAATCCTGAAACCTTTTTACTTAATCAAAACAAAAAACAACATGATTATACTAGTGGGTAGCGATTCATTTACTTAGTAATTTATCACTAAATAAAACGACCTTGTCAAAATGAACCATTTAGAAATTGTCAGCTAAGATTAAACCGTTGATCGTCACTTCGTCAATCAAACCGACAATTGGCAAAACCGTCTACTACTTACTAGACCGGGTTAATTGATAATTTAAAAAATACCGGTTAATGGATTCATATGCCCCGACCGGTAATCATCCGGGGCTCCAACGAAAGCGAGAGTCGGGTCCTATAAATCAACCCGGCGCCACCAGCAATTGGAACTCCTTCAGCCCTAGCGCGAAACAACCAGTCCCTTCCATCGACACAATTTCTGCGGTTGTTTTCAAAGCTCGCCTTCTTCGGCGTCCGAATCTCCGCGTTCCTGCCCTCTTGCTTAGTCTCCATATCCAGTGCCGGCATTCCAAGGCAGGTTCGAAGCAATTGACTTCCTTCTTAGAGGTTTTGTATGGACTGGAGCGGACTCTCGTAGCGTTTCTGCTGGCATCGGTTTTTATTTACGTGCTGATACGCCTTACTCTGGTCGAGTGAAGTATACACCTAAGTGGCAGAAAGTTGTTCATTGTGGTATAGGGACTGGTGTATGGTGCAGTGTTAGCTAGGTTATGCTGTTGCAGAGAGCTGAAATGGGGATTAGGGTTTGCCTGTGTTGTGAATTTCTTTTTGAACCGGAATGTAGGGAATATTTGGTTATATGGGGTTGCTTCGGCATAGTTGAAGCTGAAGAGTGGAAGTTATTAATCTGTTATAGTATTTCATGTACTTCCTAATGTAGAAGAATTCTGGTTCACATAGTAAGTTGAGTTATATTGTGTGTATGCTGGGTGCATGAATATGCAATCTTAAGGTTCTAGTAATTCCTTGGTGAATGGTGATTCTATTGCTTTATTCGTCTTATAAGCAAAAGCTTTCCCGACTGTAGTTGATTAACTACTGGTTGCGTTTCATAATCTGAAACTGTTGTCAATTACTTCACGAATTGTGTTTTCTGTTGCTTTGCAGTTGTTGGCGGTTCATGCGCGAGGTCTCCTACTGAATTAGGAGGTTAAAGAAAATGGATTTTGACGAGTATGATTACTTGGAGAAGACTGTTGAAAACCCCGAGCCGGAAAAGGGGAACGAAACTGCTAATGGAAGTGAGACGGTCAAATCTAAAGAGAAGGATCGTAGTCGGGGTTCGAAGCACAAAAGTGATGAGAGGGAGGACGACGACGACGATGATGACGAAAACCATCGCTCAAAGCGATCAAAATCAAGAGATGATACACGCGTTCATGATCGTCACGGAGAAAGGGGTTCATCCCAACCCCGGTCTGGATCTGGAGATAGGGAGAGGGATCGCCACCGGAGTAGCCGTGAAAAAAGAGATAAGGAGAAGGGCAGGAATAGGGAGGAACGGAATGGGAAGGATAGGGACCGAGAACGTGAGAGGGATAGAGATCGTGACAGGAAGGAACGTGACAGGGAAAGGGAGAAGGAGAAGGAGAGTGAAAGGGAGCGATCGCATCGAAGTGGGAGTCAGTCAGGAAGAGAGAAGAGTAAGGACAGAGAGCCTATAGAAAGGGAAAGGGAGCGAGGTGGTTTTAAAGAACGAGAAAGAGAACCTAGGTAACTTTGGTTTTATGTTCTTTATGCATACATAATGGATTTTTTTTCTTTTTTATTCCCATTTATGCTACATTATAGTCATATTTGGTGGTTTATGAGTAAGTGCGCATACCTCCTTCGTTTCTAGGCCTGCTACTTATGCAGTCCATTTGGTTGTCCCAGGTAAGCTGTTCATCAGTTAGGTGGAAAATTGGCCAATGACATTTCTTTCCAGACCATCCTCCATTAACTGCAGCTTTTTAACGGTTATGTGCTTTTGGTGCCTTTCACGATGGAAATATTTGTATACTGCAACTTGATTTTGTACATTGCTAGTTATCATCTTTGAAGTTTAAAAGAAATCCTTGCTGTGTGTGATGGGAACCAACATCTCACTAGGATATGGCCATTAGTAGTTTTTGAATTGCCACATTATCTTCCATAGACTTTGGCTACAGCCCTCTTTGCGTATGCCCATTATTTCAATGGGTTGGAGGTTCTTAATAATCCTTTAAGATTTAGAGGACTGCAGGAAAATGGTTTGCATGTTGGATGCTGAAGAGGATCATTTGGAAACATAATTACTTCTGATGTCCTTGTACCTGCAAAATCGATAGGTCTACTCTTGAGAAGTAGATTATGCGCCAGGATAATGGCTTACCTTGCACTTGTCAGTCATTTTGTCGATTGCCCACTGTAAACGATTCCTGGGGCCTGCGCCTATTTCTTGGCCCAGCTAGATGTTGTATTGATGGGATGATGGTCTGTGTCAGGATTCTGTGTCTTTGTGTTAGGTGCTCTAAGTAATAAATATGTTTGTCTCTACATCTCTCACTAGCAACTCTCGTGTTTCTTGTGCTCTTAAGTGCTATGAAAATTCTGAATATTGAACTCTAGATTCTGGGAATCGCAGATATGCTAGAGCAATCTTCAGATGGTCATCCTGGCAATTGGGCCAGGCACAGGAACTCAGGGCATGTGTTTTAAATGTCACTCCTAGACTGTCTCGAAAGATTAAAAAGCTTGCATTGCAAGACTGAGAGTTATTGGAGGTTTCTACCAGGGTGATGATGCCATGTAATGTTTTCCATTATCATCCTTGTGGAAACTGAGATGCCTTACTATATTTGTTCTGTTGCAGAAATGCTGGTGAGGGAGTTATGGGCTTTGCTTAAGACAAACAATTCATCTTCTGATTCTTGTGGAAATTCTGTGTTGAGTGGGCTGCAAAAATGGCCTAAAACTTTCTTCTGCAGGATAGATAACAGAAAAAAATTAAGCTTTGTTGTTATAGGTTGTAGATGCCAATGGTCTTGCACGTGTTTCATGACTTCTAATTTCTTCATCTGTTCCCTACTCTCATGGTTTTGTACTGCTTGATACATCTTGCACTTACTCTCTTTGGTCTCATCTTTTTTCTCAGTCATCATTTGTTCATTTCTCGATCCCCTTTAAAACTTGATAATCCATTTAACGTGTAGGTGTTGTGTTTCTGTTGTACATCTCTGCACAGCAGGTTATACCTATGTACTGCCCTGGAAATGTTTCCAACTATTTTCATGCTGGTTCTGGACTTTATTTTTTCTTTTTTACAGTTTTGTTCGATCTCAGATTTTATGCACACATGATTTGCATGTGAACTGTTAGTTTGTTTACTATACCCTCTTTGTTCCTGTCTGAGTAATGGGTTTTTTTTTTGTTATTTCGATATCTCTACTACTCTCGATACAAGTTATTAACAGTTTTCAAACCAATGCAATTAGGTCCTTTGGTATGCCAATTTGCCATTGATACAACTTGATGGTGCTCTGTCCCTATAAGATTATGTTATTATAGAAGGTACAAATTTATTTATCCATCACTGGACAATGCACCTTGTAATGACTGCTTGATCCAAGATTACCGATTATTTCCCAGGTTGTTGTCACTAGATTGTAAAGTGGAAAATCTGGTATCAGTTGCCAGTTCTGTCATGTTTACCTCCCTTCCATCTGACTATCGTCTCCTGGAATTGACATATGATACAGTAAATAATCCTTCACCGGTTTCCAGTTACCAGTTGTTTCCTCTGTAATAAAAATGAGATTTGGGGTTACAATTTGCTGGCTGTTGGTTTCTTTTCCAGACAACCTAGTACCTTTGTTGATGTTTGCGCCTAACCTGTTAACATACTTTTCGTGCAGAAGGAAGAAGGAGGATGGTACTGAGCCGGAGGCTGATCCTGAGCGTGATCAAAGGACTGTATTTGCTTATCAGGTGAAATCTTTGTTCTCCAGTTTGTTATTTGTTTCATTAATACTCTCTTTTCTATCTATTCTTTATTGTTTTGTATCTGCTCCGAGCTTAATATTTGCATCTTTATTTTTGGCAGATATGTTTGAAGGCTGATGAAAGGGATGTGTATGAGTTCTTTTCAAGGGCTGGAAAGGTTAGTGTTGGCATCTCAGCAATTCTTTTTAAGCTGTTGATCTCCATTTTCTTTCAGGAGTTACATTTTGGATTCTGACCTTTTCAATCCTGCTGACTGCTTGTGCAGGTACGAGATGTTCGTCTCATCATGGATCGGAATTCAAGGCGGTCTAAGGGAGTCGGGTAATTCTCATTAACTTGCTTTTAAGCTTAGTTCCATTGATGTGTTTTGGTGTGGGAACTCCTAACCTTCCTCCGACTTTCAGGTACATTGAATTCTATGATGTGATGTCAGTTCCTATGGCAATTGCACTGTCCGGCCAGCCTCTTCGCGGTGTACCTGTAATGGTAAAACCCTCTGAAGCTGAAAAGAATCTTGTTCAGTCGACCGCAGCTGCTGTTGTCGGACCTGGTGGAGGGTTAGCTCCTTATTCAGGAGGGGCTAGAAGGTTGTATGTTGGCAACCTCCACTTCAACATAACAGAAGATCAACTTCGTCAGGTGAAGGCTTGCCTGTTGCAGTGCATTAATATGTCTTCTTCTTTGACTTAGTCTACATATTCAGAAAATCAGGATCACTTGCTGCTCTTTTTCGAGTTTGAATGTTATATATTATTAAGAGGAAGTTCTCATTTGGGTATTAAAGTATTAGGCACCGAGCATGTTTCTTTTTGCTCTTCTGTGTTGTGGGTATCTGTTTCCACTTTTCATCCCATTTCTTTGCTTTTTTTCAGGTTTTTGAACCATTTGGTGCTGTAGAGTTGGTTCAACTGCCCGTTGATGAAACTGGACATTGCAAAGGCTTTGGTTTTGTTCAGGCGAGTATACAAGACTTGTGTAATTTGATTGAGACATAGCAATAAAAAGTATTCCATTAACATTCAATATTAAATGAGAAGATGAAACTTACCTGCTAAATCTGAGGTGGTTGTTTACTTCCTATGGAGAAGCCATAGGCACAAAACTGACGTGGTTCACAATCCATGCTAATTATTCTTATGCATCTCTCAGTTTGCACGTCTTGAGGATGCTAGAAATGCCCTTAATTTGAACGGGCAAGTGGAGATTGCCGGTCGCCCTATAAAGGTTCGTTTTGTCTAGCTCTCTCTTTCCATAGTGGTTGTTGATGTCTGTGATTCTCTTTTAACTGTTTTTTTTTTTTTTTGTCGCGTCTTGCCCTGCTCTATGGTCAGGTGTCATCTGTCACTGATCAAACTGGTCAAGAGGGTGGGACAAATGCTGCTGATTTCGATGATGATGAGTGTGGTGGTTTGGTTAGTAATTCCATTGGCTCAAATAGAATATCGATTGTGCTGGTCCATATTGTCCTTTAATCCACTTAGTTTAGAAACATATCTAAAAATAAACCCTTTGGTTACGTTTTCAGGCACTAAATGCGCGTTCTCGGGTAATGTTGATGCAGAAGTTAGATAGGAGTGGCACTGCTACAAGGTTTATATTCTGTTCATCTCTCTATACTTGTTTTCTTTCTGGTTGTGGATGGTGTTCCTGATGCGACTTTCTTCGTATTACAGCATTGGTGGGAATCCAGCCGTCGGTACTGGGATGACATTACCTGCTGCGCCCGCATTGGGGCCTGGTGTGATCCCTCAGACTATTGCTTCTCTCCTACCACCTGGGCTATCTGGCGCGGGTCTTCAAATCCCTGGTGCTGGAATTCCTACAATCGATACAATTGGTGTTCCTAGTGAATGTTTGTTACTAAAGAATATGTTTGATCCCCAGTCGGAGGTTAGTTTTGCTTTGATAGTTTCTGTAAGTGTACTATCATAATCGTTTGCTGGTTTCACATTAACTAATGGGTTTCGTAAACTTTGCAGACGGAGCCAGACTTTGATTTAGATATCAAAGAAGATGTTCAAGAGGAATGCTCGAAGTTCGGAACCTTAAACCATATCTTTGTGGACAAGTGAGTTACAACACTGTCAACACTCCGGGTGCTAATACCGGGAATTTTTTCAAAAAATAAGCTACTTTTCAAGACATAGTTGTTTCTCTCTCTCTACATCTCGCTTGCTGTGCATTGCATTAAGGAGTCTGTCTTGTTGAAACAGGAATACCATGGGATTTGTGTATCTACGCTTTGACAACACACAGGCTGCAATGAATGCACAGCGTGCACTCCATGGAAGGTGGTTTGCTGGGAAGATGATCACTGCAACATATATGGTGTGCACACAAAAGATTCACCTCCTTTGTCCTGTATCCCCTGTTTCTTCGAAACTATCAGCGTAACATAATGTCCTGATCCATTTTGTGCTGTCAATGCAGGTGCCTCAGATGTACCAACAGAAGTTCCCTGACAGCAACAGGTAGGACATTGCGTCTTAGCCTGGCTTGTGGAACACCAACAAGGTAGCTTGAAGCTCATGGGTTCAATCTTAATGGTCACTGATCGACAGAATCCGCGGCACTGATATGCCCCAATATCGATCGGTGGTGCAGGATGGGTTGCTTGGGGTTGTTCGGTTTTGAGAACTGGGTGAGGGTTGATGATGGTTTTCGGGTTTATTATAGGAATTGCTGCATAGTGAAGAGGTGGTATGAAGCAATAGCTGCCTACTGCAACCAAAGATTTGTTTTAATGTTGTAGGATTTTATGTGTATTTGAGTTATTAGAATCCATCTTGTACAAGAGTATTCTTTTTGGCGTTGTCCCAGCTCCCAAGTTTACCTGTTACGAGCTGCTATCTTTCGTTTTGTAATGTTCAAGACTAACTAGATACAAACCAAAATCATCTTTTGTCTTCTGCAAATTTGTCAATCTTTCAATAGCGGCGTGTAACCTGAAATACACCTCTAATCTCCGGTTTCAACTACTCGAAACCGTGTTTCGTTAAATCGCCCGGCCGAGTAGGTGATCTAAATGGATTTTCTTATGAATTCTGCAGTCTACATCAGCAATTTTAAGGTTATATTATATGCCTGGCCTTCTGGTTACAGATTTGCAACCACGGATGGAATTCATACAATATGGTCTGATTGTTACAAATAAAACTGTCAATCATGACAAGCTAAGATGGTTACATAAACAGGTTCACCATTTTCAATACTTCTTAAATCTCATTCTTGAGTCCACACCCTACAACCATACACTAATTAAGCGTTACATTCACCACTACTTTTACATTCAGGCCAGCCACATCTTCTAAAACACATACCCTGCAACTTCAAAAATCACGCCGCCTCCCCATTTTCCCCTCAAACAAACAACAAAAGCAGCATTCCAACCAACAACGACAGCCCAGTGAACCCTGCCGTCGGGATCGAACGGTGAGCTCGGGCAAAGCTCCCGCCTGGAGTCCCGGTACTAAGCACAACCACCATCCAGTCGTCCTCCGAACCGAGCCCCGCGCCGACAAACCGCGTGTCGTTGATGTACCTCGCGAATTGGGTCTGAGTGTAGTTCGTCAGGACGAGGGTCGGCACCAGCTTACTGACACAGACCGGCAGCACAACACCCTCCCTAGTGTTGTTCATCCCAATGCCACACTTGTCCATCGAGTCGGCGTAGTTGCTGAGCTGGGCAACGGCAATACTTCTCCCAGCGGGGCAGGGCTGGTCCTCGAGTTTCTCGGCTATCTTGTCAGCCAAACACCCTGCCTTGTCGTTCTTTGCCAGGATCGGGAGGTTCTGAGACTGCCTGTAGCTGTTCAGCCCTTGGAGAAGATTGTTCTCGTCGTCTGCATATACATAAAATAATGTCATCTGATTGCAAGAATGGAAAGATCCAAACTTTGTTATGGAAGCAAAGGAAATTAATCAATCAATAAGTACCATCCTTAGATTGGACAACAGTGGAAGACAGCAAGAGGAAGGCTTGAAGGAGGAACCAGAATAAGAAGGTTGATCTTCTGTAACTAGCCATGGCTGAAAATGAGAAGATTCAGGATCCCAACAGGGTAATAATAAGCGTACATGCTCCACCTTATTATATTATCTCTTGAGGATGCAGGAAAAGCTTACAAGTGCCCTTAGTCTTTTGCCACTAAATTGACAGATGTACAAAAACCCAAGTAGCTTCCACCTGGCAACCATGCAAGCAGGATTTTGACTCCTTGTTAGCCCACGTCAGGAACTCCACCAAACATTCCAGATTTCTACACTAGAAAGAAGGGGGGGAAAAAAAAGAGATTATGCATTTCAGTATCCAACAGAAGAGTCCATCTTGATCTGATCTCAAACGAGAGAGAACATCTAAGAACATCGTCCTGTTTCCACAGACGTGTCGCTGAATGCGACCGTTTCACCACTTAGACACTCCAGCTTCCTGCCACCTACATCTCCACGTGTCGTCCCTGCCTTTCCCTTTAAAGAGAGAATGCCCTTCTTCCTCGCTTAATCAGCTACAAAAAGGGCATGTTGCTGTCTAGGAAGTTAACGTCGTTGATCTCCACGTCTCGATCTGTCATCCCATCGTTCAGAAGTTACCACAAACCAGCACTACTCCCGGCTCTATCATTCCCTTCGCAGAGAAGCTCCAACTCGTGTCAGACTGTGAGAATGGCTTCAGGTGGCAGCGATCGGACCTTCCCTCCTCAGCAGCAGAAGGATCAGCCTGGGAAAGAACATGTTATGGACCCCACCCCTCAGTTCTCCAGCACTGATTACAAGCCCTCCAATAAGCTTCAGGTTAATTCTACCCCTTCTTCCTAAAATGTTTGGAGATGGGGGAAAAGGAATCATCTGTAAAGCTCGTGTCTTTTCTAAACTAGTCAAGAACCCACAACTTTAACATGCCAATTGAGCTCCTCTAGTCTCCTACTATGCAAGCAATTGAACCAGAGTTTTGGGGTTAATGGTGGATCATGCTTACACTGCAGGGGAAAGTGGCCCTGGTGACGGGAGGAGACTCGGGAATCGGGCGAGCAGTCTGCCACTCCTTCGCCCTGGAAGGCGCCACAGTTGCCTTCACGTACGTGAAGGGCAAGGAAGACAAGGACGCCGCAGACGTCCTCCAGCTGCTGAAGAAGGCCAAAACCCCTGACGCCAAGGACCCCATCGCCATCCCCGGTGACTTGGGATTCGACGAGAACTGCAGGAGAGCCGTCGACCAGGTCGCCAACGCCTATGGCAGGATCGACATCCTTGTCAACAATGCCGCCGAGCAGTACGAGTCGAGCACCGTCGAGGAAATCGACGAGCCGAGGCTCGAACGAGTGTTCCGTACCAACATCTTCTCCTACTTCTTCATGACCCGGTAATAATAACTAATCAAAATCTCTGCCCTTCTCTCTGAGACATTTCGTCGAACATATTGTCGGCATGGTTCCCTGACCCCCTCTGTTAAATTTCCATTCCTCTCAGGCACGCTCTTCAGCACATGAAGGAAGGGAGCGCGATAATCAATACCACGTCGATCAACGCGTACAAGGGGAACGCCGAGCTGCTGGACTACACCGCCACAAAAGGCGCGATCGTGGCGTTCACCCGCGGGCTTGCGCTGCAGCTGGTGCAGAAGGGGATTAGGGTCAACGGCGTTGCCCCAGGTCCGATTTGGACGCCCTTGATCCCGGCGTCGTTTCGGGAGGAGAAAGTGACGAGCTTTGGGAAGCAGGTGCCGATGCAGAGAGCTGGACAGCCGGTGGAGGTGGCGCCGTCGTATGTTTTCCTCGCCTGCAACCATTGCTCGTCTTACATCACCGGCCAGGTCCTTCACCCCAATGGTACGTCCCAATTTCTTTTAGTTCTTCTTCTTACCACCGTCAAATCATGAGACGATTTGATGTGCTGTGATTTTCTGCAGGTGGTGTGGTGGTGAATGGTTGAACTGGTGAGATATCTCGCAATGGCGTGCACTGCTGTTTGCGTTTAAGATCTGGAAGACACCTCAGTCTGTATATGGTGAATAAGAGCATGATGTAAAATACTAAATGTAGAAGACAAATGTGATAAAAATGGAGAAGTGGTTTTAGTTTTAAATTACAGTTTTTGCTCGTCGGTATAAGCAGATTTAATCCAATTGGGGTCCAAATCCCACATGCCTAAACAAACAAGTTAATTGATCTAAATCACTCATTTAAATTACTAGGGTTTTTAAGTGAGTAATTGATCCAAACGACCCCATGATAAAATAGTTTTAGTTTCGGTCAATCGTTCATTCATTTAGAATAGTGTTCTTTGTTTAGAATCGTTTAGTTTCAATAACTTGAGTTATTAAGAGTACTTTGATTCGTTCTCTAACATCTTCAGTGATGTTAGTACTGCCCTCATCTAGCTAGCCACTCCATTGTTCCTTCTCTACGACCTAGTGAATGGGTTGGGTTAGTCTTACATCATTACTAAAAACCCTCAAAATTCTTAAGGACTTTCCTTTTTAACTTTTCATCTTAAAATTGTGGAAGTTATTACTTCCAACCTTTAGATGTACTTAGGATCCCCTCACTAAGTTTTTGTTACTCTCTTCAAATTGTGGAAGTTATTACTTCCAACCTTTAGATGTACTTAGGATCCCCTCACTAAGTTTTTGTTACTCGACGTCCTAAAAAACTAAACTTTAGACGTACTTAGAATCCCCTCATTAAGTTTTTGTTACTCGACGCCCTAAAAAACTCAACTTTTGACGTACTTAGGATCCCCTCACTAACTAGTCCATCCACCCAACTCATAATACGAGGGCCTTAAGAGCACTTTGCGATCTTCCTTTAGACTTTTATGGGGGAGGGGGACTGACGTTAGTGAACTACCATTTAACCTTAATTACATAGTGCCCCTTAATTACATAGTGCCGAAGTACTATTAATACTTTATCTTAAAGATCGTAAGCACTCTAATAGTACAACATAAATTTAACTGTAATACGACTCTGGGGTGTATTTTTATCAAAGTCACGCAGCAAACAAGCAATTCGAAGATTGGTTGAACTCGAATAAAAAACAACGCGTTCTTAATACGAAAATCGGATAAAACGTAAGCAACGGACAATTCCACACATGGGGAAAGCTCGTATGGTACAAAAGGGTGGCTGCTCGACCACGATTGAAGAGAATATTCAATCGATACAAAGCTCACAAGCTTGGAATCCACCAAACTTAAACAAGTCGCAACTTGCACAAAACCAAATGGTTTGTTTTTCGATTAATCAAAGTCTTATGTTTTTACAACGTAAATAGAACGATATTTAAAGGCAAATAAAACCTAATACAATCCTAATAGAACTATGAAACAATTAAGGTAAAAGTCTACACTAAAAAGGACACAAAATTCTGGTTTAAACTCCCTTTCTTGAAGCACAAGTAAGCTGCCAGCAAAGCAGTCAAAAGGCAGCTTTCGTACTAACTTCACACCTTTCGTTCGAGGCCTTCCAGAACTCAAATTATTCATCCAATTCCTTCCCTTTGTTCAAAAACATACCTAGTTTCATGTTGTGGAAGCCTTTTGACTTGAATCCAATCCATGCTCCTTGAATTGAGCTCCAAAGTAGACTTCACAAAATAGTTTTCTGCCTCAAGCCATTTTCTGGCAGTTTTCCAGTTTTGAGGTAGCAACTTTGAGGCTTTGGAAAACAACCTTAATGACATCTTCTGGATCCACAAAGAATACCATTAGAAACATGGCAACTTTATCTGTAAAACAAGCCCTTGAACTCCAATTTTCAGTGAGCCAATTGTGAGAACCATGCCTCCAAACTAGGCATCTCGAAACTATCCCAACACTTAACCAAATTCTGCCTTTCTTCTTCCCAACTTCGATTGCTTCTTTGTCAAGTAATTGTGACGTGAATGGTTGACAATTTGGGATCATATCAAACTGCTTAAAGGTAGATATTGAAATGCTCAAAACAATAACTTAAACGAAGGACATGCATTACCAAACACAAACATAGTCTCAAACATACATACTCAAACATTCATAACTTGAAATACCGGCATGCAACTTCAATTAAAACACACACCTTAGAATCTATCGGGGTAGGTAAGCATATGATCCGACCTAATCACCGAACACCTCTGCCATTATTTTCTGCTTTCCATGACATGGTTTCTTGTACCTGATAGTGTAGCCATGCCGATTCTTCATTTTTGAAATGACAACCTTTACAGTGTTCCCAGGTTGCACCTCAACAAGCTGCTTGATCGTTTGTGCAACTTTTCTTGCATACAACTACCTATGATCAAGAGAAAGAATTGACAAACTGCATGTATGGATGTTCTTTGCCTTGCGAATAAGCCAAACCCCATGTCTCACCTCATATGCAGCCCGAACTGTATGTTAATTATTATTTTATATGGAATTTTGTATTTTAATTAAACATGAATATGAATGGTATGTTAATGGTCTTCAAATGTGTTTTATATATGCTTAAATTAATTTGATGTCAAAGGGACATTCACATTTCTCTATATTTTGTTACACCATCATAAACTGATTGTACTACTTATCGAACAATTTCACTTGCTAAACTGGCGCAACGATATAAACTGGTTTTACAACAAAGCATTAACGACTTTTTGTCTAACAAAAAATTGAAAAAAATAAAATAAAATGAACATGAACATGAAATCATTGAACTACCTCTCAATTCCTAATCTTTCAAACATAATCCCAATTATGTCACTAATCTGCAATTTAACACCACAATATTTTTACTGAAGGGTTAAAGGTCGTCCTAAAAATTACTAATCGTCGTCCTAACTTAATACGTAAATTACTTAATTACCCTTTTTAAAATTAAAACACAAACCCTAGCCAAACACTCCCCTTCCTCCACTTCGCATACTTCCCCTTCCTCCACTTCCCTTCCCCCGTCCACCAACAGCCGCCGACCTCCCCGTCAGTCACTCGCCGCCGGTTTGACCATCGCCCAGCCGCAGAGAGACCACGGCGGGTCGTCGCCGTCAGTCACCCGCCGGCCCACCTCGCCCTTCCCCCGTCGCCGTGAGTCCTCGTCCGCCGTCGCCGTCGCAGCCCTCCTCCAGTGGCCTGCCGTCCCACGCCGCCACGCACTCGCCGTCGCCCAGCCGTCGCCGTCAGCCCTCCTCTCGCCTGCCGTCCGTGCTCGCCGGAGAAGAAGGTAAGCTCCGTTCGTTCCGCGGCGCCCTTCACCGAACGAAGACTTCGGTTGAGCCATGGTCAAACCGAAGTCAACATTCGGTTGAGCCATGGTCAAACCGAAGTCAACTTTCGGTTTGACCATGGCTCAACCGAATGTTGACTTCGGTTTGACCATGGCTCAACCGAATGTTGACTTCGGTTTGACCATGGACCAACCGAAAATCACATTCGGTCGAGATTTTTTTTTTTTTTTTTTTAAAACGAGATTTTTACCTCGTCGGAGTCGCTACTCATTGTTCGGACGTATGCTCGACGATTTCGGCTTCCAAATGTCGATGATGAATTCGAGAGTGTGGGAGAATGAATGTTTTTTGTTTTCTAAGTGAATGTGGTGTTTGTTTGCTAAAGGAAAGGTAAAGATGTCAAAAGGTTAAAAGTGTAACTTTGTTGTTTTTTAGGACGATCATTAGTAATTGTTAGGACGACCTTTATCAACTCCCTTTTTTAGCCCTACTTCCATTTTATTTTTCCCTAACCGATCTCGGCCCATACGTTATATCTTTTAGGCCCATGTCCTGCGCGCAAAAAGCCACCACCGGTTATCCGACGTCGTTTCACCGGCAATCCCCTCTTCTTTCCTCCCTCGTATTCGCAATATTCTGACTTGAAGCCAAAGAAAACATACAAGAAAAGCTCAGCTCGGAGAAGAGTACTGTTTTGCTCTTTCAATCGCTGTTCCTGTTCGTCGAAGGCAATTCTCGGTCAAGATGAGTACAGCGCCAGCTCAAGATGTCGAGATGAAGGAGACTCCGGATCCGGCGGAAGCTCCGTCCAATTCAGCTACCTCCGCCGCGCCGTCGGCTCTCCAACGTGAGTTCGCATTACTGATTTTGGTTTGTTCGAGATTTGGGGAGAGGAAGAAAAATTGGGGCTTTATGTTGTCTTGTGTTTGGGCTTTCGTCTAGATTTGAAGGAGATTGCTTCGTTGATTGAGACTGGGGCGTATGCTCGTGAGGTTCGGAGGATTGCGCGGGCCATTAGGCTGACGATGGCACTGCGGCGGAAATTGAAGACCTCGGTGGTGTCGGCTTTCCTCAACTTCGCGCTCACTCCTGGATCAGAGGCGCACTCGCGTTTGTCATCTTACCTTCCCAAGGTGATTTAATGGGGCTTGTTGTGAGTTCGTCGTGTTGACGATAGTCCAACTAGTGGCTCACTGTGTGGATTACCTGTGAATTGGGTTGATGGGTAGGGAAGAAGCTTTATGCCTTGTGGTTTGTTCTGTATACTTCGATCTCTTTATCACATTATCCCTACCAGTTATGAAGTTCAGTGAAACCAACTGCAAGATCTTGTTTTGGTAATTGGCATTACTGCGGATCACCCTTTCCTTGCTGTGTGCTTCTCCAGCTTTACTAGGCAATATTATCCAGATTGATTGGTTATATAGACGTAAAGTTACGTGATGAACTCTGGCTTCACCGTTCGAGGGGGGTTTAGCCGGGGTAGTAGTTTCTTTGTTGGTGAATTTGAAACTTAGCTGGTAGTTTTATTTTGGGTTGCAGGAGGATGACCATGAAATGGAGGTTGATACTGCAACGTCTGTAGTACAAGCTCCTGTGAAGCATTCCCTTCCCGAGCTGGAGATATTTTCTTACTTGCTGGTCTTGATTTTTCTGATTGATCAAAAGAGGTACAGTGAGGTAAGTCACCATATAACTGATTTCAGAAATAGAGTCCATTTCATTCAGCTTCTATTACTGATATACTCATCACGTGCTTTTGTGTTTCAGGCTAAAGCTTGTTCATCAGCAAGCATTGCAAGGCTTAAGAACATTAACAGAAGGACTGTTGATGTCTTAGCATCGAGGCTTTATTTCTACTACTCCCTCAGTTACGAGCACACTGGTGACCTTGCTGAAATAAGAGGGTGAGTTGCATATTCTTTTGAAATGTCAATTAGCCTAACTTTTGGGTGTCTTCTTTTTGGTTGTACTTACATTTAGATGCTGAGATTTTTCTTACGTTTTGCCTAACTTGCTTCTTTTCTTATTTGTAGTAACCTGCTTGCACTTCACCAGATTGCTACATTGCGCCATGATGAGCTGGGTCAGGTACATTTTCCAATGCCAGGAATCATGGTGTTTTGCCTTTCAGATTCCTGATTCACGTTTTCACAAAATAAATTCATTATGCAGGAGACACTTCTCAATCTGCTGCTACGCAATTACCTCCACTACAATCTGTATGATCAGGCAGAGAAGCTGAGGTCCAAGGCTCCCCGATTCGAAGCCCATTCAAATCAGCAGGCAAGCAATACTTTAAATTTATAAACTTTTGTTTTCTGTCTGATATCGAGGGTTTTATTGCATATAGTACCAGGTTCCTTTTGGTTGCGCCTTTGATTGTTTTTACCGTCCAACTCTGTTCCACATTTTGCAACATAACATCCACGAGGTCTGGAGGCAATATCAACAAAGTCCAGGTCACATTAAAACTTGGATAGGCTTAATTCAGATAGAAAACACACTCTTGATGCTTCTAATCTTTACGTAACCAGCAATACTCAAAGCCTCAGCCTTCTTCTCAATCAATGCAATCATCGAACCAGACTTCCACTAATTTATGAAACCAGTGGAAGCTGTGTTTTTGAATTGTTGGTAAAATAACATGAAGGAATGATACGAGCAACTGCACAGAGATTTGCTTGATATAGAATGCTACTAGTATAGTTTTCATATTGTAAACAGAATGAATTATATACTTCTACGCCTTTTTATTGATTAAATTAGTGAATAATGTCTACTGAAATTTTGTTGCAACATGAGTGAACGGGGACTCCAGGATGCGTTTTCATGATAGAGATGTCAGAAATGTGGGTTCCTCCATGTTTGCTCTACCATTCTCACTTCAGCCCTTCTTCTCTATGGCAGTTCTGTAGGTACCTATTTTACCTGGGGAAGATTAGGACGATTCAGTTGGAATACACAGATGCCAAGGAGTCCCTCCTACAAGCTGCTCGGAAAGCCCCCATTGCAGCCCTTTGCTTCCGCATTCAGTGCACTAAATGGGCTGTCATTGTCAGGTTGCTGCTAGGAGAAATCCCTGAAAGGACCGTCTTTATGCAGAAAGGCATGGAGACTGCTTTGAGGCCTTACTTTGAGTTGACAAATGTGAGTAACTTTCTTGTCTGAACTCAAGTTCTTGATTGACATGCATGATAGTGAAGCAAGAGAACTAATGAGGGTTCACTCTTGCGATTTCCCGATCTCACAGGCTGTCAGAATAGGCGACTTGGAGCTCTTCAAATCTGTGGCAGAGAAGTTCTCAGAGACCTTCAGCTTGGACAGGACCCAAAACCTGATTGTCAGGCTGCGCCACAACGTCATCAGAACTGGGCTCAGGAACATCAGCATCTCCTACTCTCGCATCTCGTTAACTGACGTTGCCAAGAAGCTGAGGCTTGACTCCCCAAACCCTGTGGCTGATGCAGAGAGCATCGTCTCCAAGGCAATCCGAGATGGAGCAATTGATGCGACGATCGATCACGCTAAGGGGTGGATGGTGTCGAAGGAGACGGGGGACATTTACTCAACAAACGAGCCACAGATGGCATTCAACTCGAGGATTGCCTTCTGCCTCAACATGCACAACGAAGCTGTCCGTGCACTCCGCTTCCCTCCCAACTCCCACAAGGAGAAGGAGATTGCTGAGAAGAGGAGGGAGAGACAGCAGCAGGAGCAGGAGCTCGCCAAGCACATTGCTGAGGAGGATGATGATGAGTTTTAAGAATTAGGAGGGATCTTAGGTCCATTTTCTCAGTTCCATTAATTTCTTGTACTAGTAGGTGCACAGACAGAATCACCTGCTCTTTGGAATTTGGTTTTACCTTCTCCATATCATTATCAACTCTCTCTTTGTACGAAAATTTCAGATTTCGAGCATCATTATCCGTTCCAGTTTGCAAATCAGTGAGATATTTACTTGTACTACATCGAGAGTTTTGGACTTTGTTTTGACGATGCCAAAGGGTAAAAAGTAAAAACATTGTCATGAAGTTGCTCCATATCATATATCAACTATTTCTTTGGTACAAAAATTCAGATTTCAAAAATTGTAGCAAAATCCAGGACAACGAAATGAAGGAGCAAGATTACACTTAAGTGTCAACTTGTTTCATCAAAGCTTCCTGAATATACAATCAACCAGTTGAGCTCAGCCCAAATGACTTGACAATGTTGCTAACTCTCTCTGCGAAAGTCCTCGATGTGATCTTTTTACCCGGTACGTGGAAGGGGTTTGAGACTGCGTCGACATATGCAGCATGGAACCTCCGGAAAAACTGCAACGCGATTTCATTGAACAGTCTAAAGTGAGAAGCTGTGACAAGTCATACCTAGCCAGTGGCCACTGGGGTAGATAGTACATTTATCAGCTTAATCATCTTCTAAGAATAATGCAGCAAGCCAGATACTCAAATTACAGCAGATCAATATACTCTGGGAACACGAAAAATGGATTCTAGTCCCTCTTCCATGCAACAAGTCTGAACTAGGGGGAGCAGAAATGCAATTGCCAAACCTTCATGTTCTCGCATGGAAAATCTAGACGCTTTTCGAGACAACAAGGAGAGGTTATCAGCTTAAGCAACCAATACCTCTCACAACAACAGAATCGCCTCCCTTGCAGAATAAACAACCCCAATACCTCAGCTATATACTTCACAATCTAGTACCACCGAAAGAATCGTGAAATGCCATTCACAGCAGAACTACAGAGGTAGAAATCTGTATGACCACCAGCATACTCCCTATAAACCATCCTTAGCAAGTCTATGTTCAAATTTTCATATCCCCAATTTGCAAGAAAAGAGATCGACACATGAAATCTTCAACTATTAACAGCAAGAACGCCCAAAATCCAATCTTTTGAGAAGGGTGTATGGCATTACTTACATTTCTCACATCCACATCTCTGACGTCTAAATCCGTCGTCACCAAGATGAACTTCACCTTTGTGTTAGTCAGATATCCATACCTGAAACACGAAAGCAAAATTCAATAAGCAAACTTTCCTAAATGGAACCAACCAGAAAAGCATTCGAAACAGGATGCTTACACTTTGTAATTCTCAGTTGGATACAGCAATCCTAGAAACGTTTCGTTCAGAGTCGGCCCCGATTTCTTCGGGTTATTCACTGGATTCAGTTCCAGATCCACGCATTAGGTAAGATAAAATTTCATGTGGAAAATGAAAAGAAGGGTATAATCTCTAGATCGGGATCGGGATTCCGGCGGCATTTTACCTCGCTCATCGACGACGTCGAGGGAGCAGTGGACGATGTGATGGAGCTTCAGCGCATCGTCGGCCTCCGTGAAGCTCTGGATGTACAGAGGATTGTTCTGATGGCCGACGACGGCGACGCAGACGATCATCTCCACCGATTGAGGGGGTTTTTTTTTTTTTTAATATCCTGAGTCTCTGCCGAGTTTTGGTTTTCAGTCGGAGTGACGCTGCTCTCCGATCAGGCTTTGGGGCGTGTATTGACTTGAGAGAAGGAATGTTGATGTGGTGCGGGCAAGCGTAGCGAACCTTACCGAGCACCCGCTTGCTTGTTAATTTCCACTCTTTTTATCCAACGGATGAAAAAAAAAAAAAAATTTGGGCTAAGCCTAAGAATCATTTGTCAAGTAAAAAGAAATTTTTTGTTCATCCAAAATGAAGAAAAAAAATTTGACTGGAAATGAGTTAATTTGATGATCGATTTTTTTTTTTTCTGGATATACATCATTGTTTTGCTTTAAGATAGTAATTATTTTCGTAATAAAAATTTGATAAATGTCAAAAGAAAACCGATTTTATCTTATAGAAATTTAACTACCTGCACCGTCTTCAAACAATAATCTCATAAGATTTTGCGTATTTTCATGTAAAGAAACTGAAGATTAATATTCAACTCTCGAAGGACATGGATGTTTAGGATGATGAGCAACAAATAAGGTATTGAGATTATCTGGTGAGTTGGTGTGTATGGTACATAGTTTCATATTAGATACTCGGGAGGTCATTCTCTAGACTAAAATTTCGGCATCCTCACAACTCACAGTCACAGGTTATGATAAAGATTGTTTTTCTTCAAATTCGCAATTCGTGTTATAAAACTTTCGCAATAAAATTTATTGGGTTCTCGGTGCAAACTCATGGGGATAAGTTAGTTGCTAATGTTCACTCCACCCCTCTCCAATCATTGGAGAATTTAAAAAATTGTGTGTTAGAATTCAATATATAATGCTTACTACACAAATATCGGATAAAGTGAATAAACCATAACATCTTGTCGAGAACGAATTATCATCTGTTTCGAATTGCTTGGAAGTCGTTATGAATTTGTGATTTTATCAAAATTACTCCTTATAAATTGTCAACTCTAAATTACCTTCATAGAGTTGGTCCTTAGCGTCTCAATTTTTTTTACATATTTCTTTCGTATTTCATATACTTTTTTCAGTCGCAGTGAAACGTAAACCCTGCAGTTAATGCATCCCTCTCAAATGTGTAGATTAAATTCTTGTTCCCAAACCAATAATACATCTTGATTTGACCAAGTTTGTACCATGCTTGTTTAACAAATGAAACAAATAGATGTTTTTCCATTAAAACACATTAATTTGATTATAATAAGTTTGAAATTTTCTCAAGGCACCACCAAAGAACTCTTTCTAGGTTTAGAATACCTTCTTCATCAAGTTTTTATGTGCACCATGAAAGAAACATATTTCCTTGGAACACATATGATTTTAGGGTTTTGTGTATTCCTTGTCCCCAATGTACTCCTCCCAATCCCTTTACTTAAACTCCATATTATGCCAAATAAGTACCTCTCCTACTCCTTAATCAACCCGGATTTCTCACAACCAAATCCAACGGTCAGGATCAGCTCGCCAGCAAAAGCGCTGAAATCGAGCTCTCCACCCTATGTTAAAAAAGAAAAAAAGCCCACAAAATAAAATAAATCGACAACACTACGGTTTACGAAATTACAATATCACCCCCAAGGCACCGCTTCTCTCTCAACCTCCCCCATTTTCATGATTCTTCTCCGCCTCCTCCTGCCTTTCTCCCTTTTCTCCATCTCCTCTCAGCGATCGGAATTTGTAGTCCGACGACGACGCGGAGAGTCGGCCGGTGAACTCCGTGCAATATATATATATATAGAGAAGGGAACCCAGCTCGTAATCGCGTGGAACAGGGAATCAAGCTTCGTTTTTTTTAATGATTTAATATTGTCTTCCACAATCTTTTGCTCCGTTTACTTCCATCGGGTTCTCGCAGACGATAAGGTAATGCGTTGTCTTTGTTGCTTGGCGATTGAGGGTTTGATCGGTTGAGCTGGTTCAATCGAGAGTTGGGTTGATGGTGGGGTTGCTTCTGTTTTTTCGTGCCAATGGGGTTCTCGGGAGCTGGTATATGATGGAAGAATCGGGGAGGAATATGCTTCGTGTTTATTGGATTTATTGTGTTGTGCGTCACTTTTTGATTTTGGTGGAGGTTGGTTTTTTAGGATGGTATTGCCGCATTTGTAATGCTTGTTTGGGCTTCTCTTTAGCTCGGTGGTATTTGTTAGTGATTCTCAGCTGAAATCTATTGGCATGAATTGTTTGATTGTTTCGAATTGAATCTGTAAGTTCATTTGTTTTGTGTTGCATAGAGTTGGAAGAGTTGTGGAACGTTTATGTATGGGGGGTTATGCTTGATTACAACTAAGTTTTGACTTGGATTTCTGGGGTATGTATCTTATATGAATTTGACCTAAAGGGTTTGTCTTGGAGGAGCTTTAGAGCATATTAATGATATTGGACGGATTCTTGAATGATCGGGACTTTCTAAGATAAAGGAGTAGTCTTTAGCTCTGAATGACTTTGTTTTTTCCTTTCTTTTCTTGATAAATTTCTCCTACTGTTCTCAACGTAGTTTGTATTTTGTTTTCAGATGGGTAGCAAACAAATTGATACTGCTACAAATGCTACTGATTTGAACTCCATTGTCGACAACAATGCCATAAATGATTGTGTTCCTACTAGTGATAACGAGAACAGTCAAGTTCACAAATCCAATGAGGCTGTCAGGACCTTGCACAAGGTGGCATACGTTTATAGGCAAGATGTGGTAAAGCACAGGAAAACTGGTTTAATAGGGATAGTAGATGAGGTGGCGGGTGACTCTGATTCAGACAGTAGCATCACTGATGACGATGACGACGATGATGATGAAGATGATGGTCTTGACGAGGAGGATGATGGTCAAGGTGATACTGCTGAAGGCTGTACCAACAATGACAATGAGAATAGTGACCGGAAGAAAACCGGAGGGAACCGTAAAAAAGAAGCGCTGCAGGCTGATCAGGTTCGAGTACTTTGGATGCACGAAATGGAACAAGTGCAGAGCATTAATGATGTAAAAGTCATCGATCGGGGTTTCTTGCACGGTGATTATTGTGCTTCTACTTCAGACCCAACTGGGCAAGTAGGAGTTGTGGTGGATATCAACGTCTCTGTTGATTTGTTAACTCCTGATGGTTCTGTAGTGAACAATGTATCATCCAAAGACTTGAAGCGGGTAAGGGAGTTTGCCATAGGTGATTATGTAATACTTGGCCCTTGGCTCGGTCGAGTTGATGATGTCATGGACAATGTGACTGTTTTAGTGGATGATGGTTCGGTCTGCAAAGTATTGGGTGCTGAACCACTCCGTCTCGAACCTATTTCCAAGAAGTTCTTCGATGAAGGTGATCATTTCCCTTACTACCCTGGGCAGCGTGTCAGGGCCAGCTCATCCTCGGTATTCAAGCATTCCCGGTGGTTATACGGTTTGTTTAAGCCTAATAGATTAGAAGGAACTGTTACCAAAGTCACAGCAGGATCTGTATTCGTCTATTGGATAGCTTCTGCTGGCTATGGTCCAGATTCTTCAACAGCACCTGCCGAAGAGCAGAACCCTAAAAATCTAAAACTGCTGTCTTGCTTTGCTCATGCCAATTGGCAAGTAGGAGATTGGTGTCTTGTCCCCCCAGCTGTTTTAAAATCATCCTCCATCACTACAGACAGCGAATTGTCCAATTTAGGACTCTGTGATTCGGCAAAAGGTAAATTGGTTTCTAGTCAACTAGGAAAAGATTGTGAGCCTGAAGAAGTTCGATTAGAGGAATTGGGTGACAATAAGGAAGCCATGAGCATCGATCCAGAGGTGCCTCCTAGTGCAGATACCACAGCTAAAACTGGAAGTAACAAAGAGTGTCAGGAATCAAGCTCCTGCAGTAGTTCTGCATCTGATTCAAAGGAGCCAGTGCATGAAACCTGGCCACTTCACCGCAAGAAGATACGTAAAGTTGTAGTTAGGAGGGAAAAGAAGCATCGAGCTAAGGAAGAAAAGTTTGAAAGTTCATTTCTTATTTTCAATACAAGGACAAGTGTTGATGTTGCTTGGCAGGATGGAAGTTTGGAACGTGGAATAGATTCCACCAAATTAATTCCGATCGATAGTCCTGGCGATCACGAATTCCTCTCCGAACAGTATGTGGTGGAGAAGGCACCTGATGATACTGAAGATAACAATTCTTCTGAAGTAAGACGAGTTGGGGTGGTGAAGAGTGTTAATGCAAAGGAAAGAACAGCACTTGTAAGATGGTTAAAACCAGTCGCTAGGGCTGAGGATCCTCGTGAGTTCGACACGGAGGAAATCGTGAGTGTGTATGAGCTTGAGGGGCATGCTGATTATGATTATTCTTATGGAGATGTTGTTGTGAGATTGTCTCCAGTTTCGGTTTCTTCACAAACTATCGTTGATCAGCAGCCCGCCTCTCACGAGCCAGAGCAACAAAATTTGATGGATGATGATGCTTTGTGTACTGAGGAAGGTGCAGAGAAATCAGAGTTTGTGATACCTGGGGAGGAAGCTAGTAACATGGACTGCTACTCAGATCTCTCTTGGGTTGGGAACATAACTGGTCTCCACAATGGCGATATTGAGGTGACATGGGCTGATGGAATGGTCTCTACGGTAAATTTTCCACCTTTGATCCTCATATCATTTCTTTCTTCTTTTTCTGTTGCTGTTAATTAACCCATCGTTTTATCATTAGGTTGGACCTCAAGCTGTTTTTGTGGTTGGCCGTGACGATGATGAGTCTGTTGCTGATGGTAGCGAAGTGAGTGATGATGGTGCTAGTTGGGAAACAGTTAATGATGATGAAGATGACGATGAAGATGAGATGGATGCCCTTGAGAATTTTGAAGAGGTTCGTTCAGTTTCCCAGCACACTTGTTATTGATAGTTAACAAGTGTGGATTAGTTAAAGCGAACTTAAATTGCTCATATTAATAATGTAACCTGTAATTGCTGGGATTATTGTCCTTGACTAAGTGAGGCTAGCTTTTTGGTTTCAGGAAGAACGGTTGCAAAATGCAACCAACATGAACTCTGACGCGGAGGACAAAGTGGAGAATAGCAGTACTGGGAAAAGTCCAGCAGTTTCACTGTCCTTGGCGGCATTTGGCTTTGTTACAAGATTGGCTACTGGACTATTTTCACGTGGGCGGAAAAGTTCAGATGCAGAGCTACTAGAGAACAGAAATGAATCTGAATCTCAGGGATTGATCTCTATTGTTGAAGAAAGAAATTCCAGTGATGCTTCTGGCTCCCAGAAGTCTAATGTGAGTGATTCTGAAAGTCCACATAGGGAGGACAAAGTAAACGGGCTTATGGAAGTTACTGCATCACCGCAACCTTTAGACGAATCGAAGGTTGAGCCCACAAATACAGCATTGAAACATGTTGAGGAGGATGCAAGCAAATTCAAACGGTTTGACACAGCAAAAGATCCTTCTGACCATTATTACGTGGGATCAGTTGGACAGGTATTACCCAGGTTATATAGAGCAATCCATATGTTAAATGGTGTCCTGAGTAAGCACCAAAATATGATATATGTGGCAAATTAAAACAGTTTTTAATGCAGTTAATGAGGTTTGGTTTACATAACTTGCAGTCTAGCAATAGCCGGAAGTGGTTGAAGAAGGTACAGCAGGATTGGAACATTCTTCAGAACAACCTTCCAGGTAAGCATTGTGGTGGTAGGCTTCTTTCCTGCTCATGATTGCACAAGTTCGACTATGTCCTAATGTTGCTTTAAAAATGTGGCAGATACTATCTTTGTACGGGTATACGAAGATCGAATGGATCTTTTGAGGGCAGTAATAGTTGGTGCATATGGAACCCCTTACCAAGATGGGTTGTTCTTTTTCGATTTCCACCTTCCGCCAGAGTACCCTGATGTTCCACCGGTAAAAAAGCTCGACTTTTCTTTAATACTGTCATCTCGATTGCAGTAGACCAACCTGTTCTTTTTTAGTGTTAATGGATTAGTATATAACTTGTGTTCGGTCTTGCAGTCAGCATACTATCATTCTGGTGGTTTGAGAATAAACCCGAATCTTTATGAAGAAGGCAAGGTCTGCCTTAGTCTTTTGAATACTTGGACCGGCAGAGGGAATGAAGTTTGGGATCCGAATTCTTCTAGTATCCTGCAAGTCCTCGTTTCACTTCAAGGGCTAGTGCTGAATTCTCGGCCTTATTTCAATGAAGCTGGATATGACAAGCAAGTTGGGACTGCTGAAGGAGAAAAGAATTCACTTTCCTATAACGAGAACACGTTCTTACTGAGCTGCAAGTCCATGATGTATCTCATGCGAAGGCCTCCGAAGGTAACAATTCCTTATGACCATTTTTGTGTTAGTGGTCGTTGATTTGATTTCTAGTGTGGTTCCTGATTCTGTTGCAAAAATATTCCACTTTCAGGATTTTGAGGAGCTTGTGAAAGAGCATTTCAGGAATCGCGGTCAATACATTCTCAAGGCGTGTGATGCATACATGAAAGGGAGTCTGATTGGGTCTCTTAAGATGGATGCGTCTGTAAGCAACGATGCTAGTTCCAATTCAAGCTCAGTTGGTTTCAAGATAATGCTCGCTAAGATCGTCCCCAGACTATATTCATCACTGAGTGAAATGGGAGCCGATTGTGAAGAGTACAAGCATTTGCTACAGTTGTAGCAGGCTGCTAGGAGCATGATCTGATTTTTTGGCCTTCAATCTTCGTTCCAACATTTGTGGAAGCCAAAAGTCGAACAAAAGAAGGGGAGAAGGTTTTTCTCTCTCTGGATTGAATGATTGTGTTTTCAAAATCACAGATAACTTGTAAATTCAGATTGGCTTTCTCGACGAGCCTCTGATAGTTTTAGGATCATGCCTGGGTCAAGCTTTGGCTGTGTTTCTTTTTTGTCATCACATTCACATGATTGGGAATGAACAATTCTATTTTATACAATTTGTTTCATTCCTTCTCTACTTGAATTGGGAACATTGCTCTGCTTGACTGCGTTGTTTGAAGTCTCTTCTCTGGGATCTTGAAGACCAAAAGGACTTTGGTTTCTTCTATGTTATGGACTTACGGTATTTTAGTTTAAGGGAAAAGTATTCCCTCACCACTTGAATTGTAATCTAGGATATTTACGTGTAAGAAATGAGAGTCAAGAACGGCTTCTTCCTTTGTAAGGTTACTGCAGTATTCATAAGAAAATGCTCAAAATGACAAAATGTAATTTACTAATTTTTCTTCCCTTCAGTCTTCCATGTGCTAATTAGCCAATTGATGGCAGCAAACAACTTTCTGGAAATTACGTCAACTGCAATATTCGACAGATTTACTTATCTAGAAACCGGAAAGGCAGAAGCTAATCACTTCTTTGCCGCAGAGCACCACAGGCTGTGAACAGAACCCGAAGAATGCGAATGCAAATGCAATGCGTTAGGTCTACAGAGAAATTTCTGCAGGTTTTAGGGATCTGCACGGCTAGCATTTCTTAGACGAGTGAAAATACAGAGGCTGAAACGACTAAAGAACAGTTGCAGTTCTAATGATGAGGGTAAATACGACGTGATCCCAGAAGGCGATAACCATCCGATAGTAGACCCCATATGGAGCGAACAGACACATTGTATAGTGTACAAGTCCACAAACTCCTAGTCTAGGTGCTGTGTACTCGCAGAAGGCAATGCTCATGTAAACAGCAAATGATCTCCAGTTATCAAACAATACCAGCAGCGCCCTCAATATCAGAAGTAGGCAACTTGTATGCATTGCCAATCGTAAATGCTTAAAATGTACATAATGAACAATGATCACTATCAGCTGTGAGATTCGGGATCATCAAACGAATTGCTCTGCAGACTGCTGAAAACAACCCACATGCATCCATCCATCTATTCTGCGAACCAGACCTACACCTTGTTCGGTAAGTACTCCTAGGGTTACTCGTAAGCATCTTGACACTTCTAGGACCCTATCCCGCTTTGCAAATCCCAATTACTATCGAAAGTGAACCGGGCAAATCAAGATGCATTCAGTTCAGCATATGGAATTATTGATCAATATGTTAGCTTCAAAGAACACCCGAGATGCATAAATTATGCCTGTTCATGAACTCCTAGGGCACAAAGGCAAATCAATTGGATCATATAGCAACACGAACCACGAAAGACAGAAAGATATAATCTTTCACTGTTATTCATAAATCCAGTAAAGGGCACAACAAAGTATGCACAGCAAAACCGCATATGGATATTGCTATTGCCGCAAATTCTGAAATCACTACTCAAAGAACCATTATCAGTAATTCCCCCTTCATCTCTTGTCTTTCTAAAAGCTACCCAAAATCATTGGAAGCAGCACGAAGTGAATAAAATAGAAAAGAAGTACAATTTGAAGCTCATACAGTGTTCTTGATCATTCCTCTCCTGGCCAAAGCCCTGGCAATGGGAGGCGTCAGCGCGAGGGTAATCGGGACCCGAATCGGGAACAACGCCTTGTTGAACAGCAACGCCAGAGCGAGCGCGCCGCCGCTCGAAGCAGCGAGCTCCGCCACCCGACTCCTCCCCTTCGTCTCCTCCTCGCCAGTCACCACCACCGTCGTCGATTCCGCCGGCGGCCGATGATGCGCCTCCAATTCGATTGGGCTGCCGCTGGGCCGTGCTTGCTGCTCCTGGATTTGCTCGGCGGTGGAGGATTCTTTGCTCGAGAGCCCCGGGAGATGGAGCTTGTCGAAGACCGACTCGACGTCGACGTTGTTCCTCACGGCGACGTAGAGTCCCGTGATGGAAGCGGCGGAGACGGAGAAGTGAACCCCTAGTGCCACTTTGCCGTACTTCTTCAGTAGCTCTCTGAATCGCCCGCCCGCCATTGATGTGGAATCCCTTTTCCCGTCCGCTTTTTGTGCTTGAGAAGAGAGACTCGAATAAAAGCAAGGGTTTTTCGCAGGGCTTTTCACTGTGTGAGCAATGTATTGAAGTTGAAATTTGAGAAACGTTTCCCCGACTTTTGGCAGAGGAGAAGCATAGAAGATGAGAACTTGTACGAAGGGTCAAGAAAAACATCCCAAACGGCGGCGTATTTCGATGTTTTGGTCTTTACTTTTTTTTCATTGTCCATGAAATCGTATCGAACCGGCGGTTCAACCACAAAATACCAGTATCGGAGGCTAAATCGATAGGCGATATTTAACGATACTAATGGTTGAACTACGGTTGAACTACGGTTTTACCATAAAATATTCTACCAATGACTTTCCCGATACGGTTTCCTGGACCATGTTTATTTTTAACATAGATAGTGTAACATTCAAAATAGGTAACTCAGAGCACATTGCGTAACCAGACATAGAAGTTGACAAATAGCCAATTGTCGATGAGAGGGCCGCTCGGTACAATTCGGTTCAAGTGACATTGACAAAAATATGCCGGCAAAACTACCGATACGAAACGATAGTCAAAATCGTAAAAAATAGTCAAAATTGAGAAAAGAGTGATGCAACTGGAGAATGGTCTCTAAATAAAAAGATACGTTTTGGTGGAATTAAACAACAAAAAGAAGGAATTTTGTCGGATTCAAGTAGAACATTAAAATGTTGATGTTATATATTGGGTTAAAGTATAACCATTTGGATGTTAATGTTAAATGTGGCATTTAAATGTGATGATTTGTCATTTTATTTGTAATGTAGTATTTTACTTAAACATCAAATTAGATTATAGGTAGATTGTTTTAAGATAGATTATATCAATTTATTTGGTGTTAATGGTTTCCTACTTCTTTGTATGTTTAGTTAAAGCCAACATAAACTAAAATATAAACCAATTGTAATCTGATTAGACCATACCACTAACTAAACCAACGTAACGACATAAACCCATTTGACATCCAAATTAGCCTCCTCCTTAAATGATCCACAATGGGATTGTATTCTGAATTGCATTATGACAATGTCATTTATTAGCAATTGCATTAGTGTAGATGATAATTGCATCATTGCAACTAGCACAGAGGCCGGCCAAGTTGTTGTTATTGTAGTACTTTTTATTTTTTCTTAGTTTTATGAAAGTTTTTAGCAGCATAGAGTTAGTGGGATTAATTCACAACTATTTCCAATCACTGACAACTGGCAAAAAGAAGTCGAGGATACATAATTTCTAAATAAATTGCAGCTCTTGAGCTTGCTCGGTTGTTCAGTGGTAGTAGTTTGGATTATTGATGTAGGAAAACAGACAAAGCAATACAGGGGATGCAATACAAAATAGATAGGGCAACGCCTGCAAGATAAAAGCCTTTTATCCAACCTTTTAGAGGATTAATATCCTTTAATCATCATACGCTGAAATCACTTGCTTCTTGCCTTCATATTAGGTTGTGTAGTTGCAATAAATTTGCAACTTCACCTATGTCACCTTGTTGTGATACATGAGAAGCTATCTCTGATATCTCAATGCCACAACGAATATATTGGGAGGAGCTGTCTTTTGTAGAGGGGGAGTCATTTCCTGAGACAGATAAGGCAAAAAGAATCAATAGCAACATAGGTCAAAGGCAAAGACATAGAAGCATCGAAATTGTTGTATCGTGACAGATCCAACAAACCTCCATCATTCCCTAGCACGGGGACCGGCCCATTGGCCGGGAGAGGTTAGACCGAGAACATGGTATATAATAATGCATATGTTAGATGCTCATATATGCATGTAACGTTTGTGTATGCATAATAAGAAAAGGAGAATATGATCTAAGAATAATTATTCGATGAAACAGAATACAAATAATTAATTGTCTTTCAATACTTAAATAGACTTTATAATTGAATATTAGAGGTGCTTCTTATAATAAATATGTAGTCGCAAATATGATCGGCAACAATGTAATAATTTCCATGCAACAAATACTTTTTTGATGAAATAAAAAAAATTATGAATATAATATTGCATTGAAGGTAGGTCTATGCGACGAATGAAGATTTGCAAACCTCTTATTATGGAAGAAGGGGATAATCGAAATGAAGTTAACCGGTTAGGTCTACAATTGAAGAAATGTTAGTATGTTGTTTGGCAATTTTGTATGAGTCCTCGTTAATAGTGTTTTTTCATTTCGCTCAGTCTGACATAAGCAATGCCATATATCAAAGTTATATACATATGGTTTAGGCTAGCATACGCCTTACCGTATGATTATCGAGTTTTGTTATTTAGACCATTATTTAACTGGAATTTGAGACATGATACTATGACCTAACCTCTAATGGGTGAATCCAAGTCCCCAATTTTTCTAACCCAAAACATAAGATTCATTCTATCTTAAAATGAAAATCAACGATTCTGATTCGCCGAAATCACCAAAGTACAATAATAAGTGTGAACGCAAGCGTATAGCGTATGTCTGACATACGCTAGCTTCTGTCATATATATACACACAGACACATACACACACTACCAATTTAGTAAAGGGAGCGACGATAAAGGATGATTCAAGTTGAATTATATTTAGATGTTAGCGATGCATCAAAGTAATACTTTCCTAGGAATGATAAAGCAATTTAGTAATAGGATTATGCTAATTGTAAGTGGGAATGGGAATATAATTGTGCAATAGTAAACAAAATTTCAGAAATTACATGCCTCTTGTTTGTTCCACATATACTGAAGTAGGTACACAAACCACAATTGATTGAGGTTCATTGTGTATTACAACTTTAAATTCATAAATTAAGGAGTATTTTAGTACCATAACGATCAAATGTCTCCTAATGTGTAGAAAGTGAATTGGACATAACATCTAAAACATTAAAGAAGACTTCAAATGACATTAGTAGTGAAAAACTAACTCTAATAGTTTTAGGTGTACACTTTTGCCATTTCATGGAAAGTTGCCTAAATGAGTATCTGGAAGTGCAAGAAGATAGATCTGATCAAGAACCCAACAATCTAGTGCAGGGAGCCATCCGAGTGGGCGGATTTCAAAATAACTGTCGACGATACATGTCTGTCGGGTCGGGGAACATGCTTTGGCGTGGTGATCATGGAAAGAAGTAGAAGATTCCGAGCCACGACGGTCAGGAGAACACACTGGCAATGGGAACCCCCTGTCCTGTGGCAGAGGCTTTCGCATTGTAGGTCGGTATGGAAATGGTTGAACGACTTTAGATCTAGTCGGCAGAGATACATACGGACTGCCAGGTGGTGGCAAGGTGCATCACAGGCCGAACGACCTCAACAATGGAATTGGGCCAAATCTGCAAAGAAATTAAGGACTCGGCCCATTCTTTTGGTTGGATTGGCTAGAGTTATGTGGGACGAAGTGCAAATAAATCTGCTCACTGTGCGGCCCATAATAATTGTAATTGGGAGGAAGATGAGCATTGGGTGGATAGACCACCAATTTTCTTAGTCTTTCTTCTTAGAGATTAGGACCAAATGTTGATTTCGCATCATTAAGAATATAATCAGAAGTACTATTAAAAGATTACATGACATGGTTTGTATTTAATTAATGAATTGAAAGAAGAAACGAAGGTCACATAAAGGTTAAAGGGACCTAGTTCCGAATATGAGCTCTAGTATGCTTTTGGTTACCACGTCAATTAGGATTTTTTTTCTTCTGGTTGTTAGTATTCTAAAACACTATCTGTCATCCAATTTAAAAATATATAATTAATTAGTTGTTTCTTCATTTTCTTTATCTAACCGCGATTACATATTCTGCATGCCCTCAATGCTCAAATTTCTTACTTACCCCTAATATTCATATGCCAAAGATAGGAATACCTTCCGGAGATGATGAACTATCGTCATGGTAAGAACAAATAAAATTCAAATTAATTTCCGTAGTCTCCAAACATATGACCAAAACTCATGAACCTCAATATGCTGAAGTTGTGTGTTAAAAGTATCAATCCCTCTGCATTCAAAGATTATTCATCTCAAATTAAATAAACTAAAAATCAACAAATTTAAGTAGATTAGTGTACGAAACATTAGACTAAGAAGTACTTTGGTTAAGGTGGTCCCTTTCAATATTATTTTGATGTTTGAACGGTGCTTAGGCTGCATGAAAATGGCTCTCATCAACTCCGAGGAAGAACAAACAATCGCAAATATGTTATGCATTGGAAAAGTAATGAACATAAGCATAAGTATAAAAAAATTAACAAATTGCGCCCGTTGTGAAAGTACGTTGGTCCCTTAAGGGTCGAACACGAAGACTAATTGTTATAGAGGATGAGAGCTTGATAGTAGATTGATTATGAACCACAGAACCTAGCCAACACGGCGTAGGTAGGGGTGGGCATTCGGTTGGTTCGGTTCAAACTGAACCGAACATATGGATACCGGGAGCCTCATTCTCAATGTTGTCAGAACCGAACCGGAGTATCAACCGATATAATGAACGGTTCGCATTTTAATGGTTTAACCGCTATTAAACCGTTAAAAATCCGTTAATAAACTGGTACTTAATAATAAAAACATTATAATTACTACACACTTCTTAAGTATAATAAACCACACGTGCATTACTATTAGTTAACAAATTTAAAACATCTACAAAGAAACACCCAATTTTGAAAGTTGCTCCATTGTAGACATGAAATCCATAATTCAAAATTCTACTTATAAATGGCATTTCATATGTTTTTTTTTTGGGTAAACCATTTCATATGTTCAATCAAAGTGTAGATGAACATTTGACCGAAATAAAAGAAATTAGTTCTCAAATATAATCTGTCAATTTAGTTTTTAGAATAAACAAAAGTTAACAAATCTAAAAAAGTCACCTAATTAATAGAAACCGCATTTCTTAAATTGTTTCCAAATCCCAAGACTAAAATAGGCTTCCAACAAAGAAAATCGAAAAAAAAAAGTTGTTTTTGATCTTTCTAGTTTCTTCTGTTTTCGGAGGAAACAAAAAGGGAAAATCATAAATGATATTCCAATTCCCAAAGACCCGGCGAATAATCCGACGCGTATCTCCATCTTCTGAATGGGCTGTTAGAGGGATTCAAACCGGCTGCCCGGTTTTAACGGTTCGAATGGTTAAGCGTTCAAACCGTTAACCGGCCGGTCAGTTCAACCGAAGCGTTTTTATAGCTGTTCCGAGCTGGATTGGTGGTCGGGTTCCGGTTTTGCCCGTTTTTAACAACACTGCTATTTCCAGCTATAACCCAAACCAATCCCGAACCGAATCATAACTCGGTTCGGTTCTTTCTCCAAACCCGACGATGGAAGCTGCTTGCATTTTGGCCACTTGACTCCTGCGTTTTGTGGACACCTATTTGGAAAAAAACGACAACTCTCTAGGCCTATCTTCTTATTTCTCCCCTTGACTCCTCAGATGCACTCTCTCTCTCTTTCTCTCTCTCTCTCCAACCAACAAACGATGTAGCGACGGCGAGCACAAGGTAGAGCTCGAAGCAGAGCACAACAGAGCTGCACGACGACGGATGGTAGAGATCTCTCCTCCTTCTCCGGTCTCGAAGCAGCGTAGATCATTAAGGGTTCAAAAAGGAAGAAAGTAAATCGGCGGACGACGGCAGTCGGCAACGGCGATTGAAGAAAGCGATGGTGACAACTTCGGCGGACGACGATGAAGGTTCGTATAGCTTTAGATCTAAGCATGCATGTCATTTTTTGGCATACTTTCTCTCTTTCGAGGCTCCAGCTTCAAATCTTCAATAGCATCATCTTAGTCTCTGTTTCTGTTTTCAATTCAGGACTTCAGGTGGAGAAGAGGGCGCTGCGGCGGGGAAGAGAAAGCGACGAAGAAAGGTAGATATCGGCGGACGACGGCGAAGGACGGCGGTGAAAGGTTGATGTTGTCGATCGTTCGAATTGCAAGGATGATGGATAGCTGGTGTGTGGTGGCTGCCCGCTGCGCTGCCTGTGAGAGATGAGAAGAGAGCTGCAGTTGCTGCCTCTCTCGTTCAATTCATTAGGTTTAGGGTTGGGCTTTGGACTTCATTTGGGCTGGGGGGTGAGTTTTGAGTGTTTGGATTTTATTTGGGCTGGGGTGAGTTGAGTTTATTTGGGCTTTGAGTTAAAACGCAAAGCAGCATTTAAATGAGATGGAATTGTCAGAATTACCCTTCCGTGAAGCTCTCTACGGGCAGCAAATTCAAAATGCTGCAATTTGGAGTGGTGAATCTGCTTCATATATTTTATAGATTTGCAAACTTGCATATAATGCAATCATGAAAAACAAGCCACAACATCCTTCTCTATTAAATTATTTATATGTTTGTTATTTAAGTATTTATATTATTATAATTAAATTTAAAAATTCAATTGTAAGTGCAAGATAATTGCATTAATGTGGATGTAATGAAAGGAATATGAATTAGGATTGAAAAAAATTGAGGTGACGATACAAAACACAAATACAATTGCACATGTGATTGGTGGTATTAGTTAACAAGTACACTTGAAGCATCAACACAATTCCACATGAACAGAACATATGCATTGTATGAGACAACCAAGTACAACACTTTTGCCACACAAGCACCAAGCTTTCATGAAAGCAATCCAATTAGTATAGGAACTACTCAAATCTTGATGAGTTCCCCACAATCAAAATCAGCCCTACTCAGAAGCAATTTCCCCAGCACAGGAGAAAGAAACTTGTCCTTCACAAACTTCATAACCCACCAGTTGCTCTGCTGAATATACCCAATCACATAAGCTGTTGTGATCATCCCAAAGCTTCTCCATCTCCTCTCTTCCCCAAACTTGCTCAACCCACTTCTGATCCTCTCAAACTCGCCTTCCTCGTCGGCTTTCCTCGGCAGGAGAGCCTCAGCAAGACGTCTAGCAAGAATGACACCATCTTCCAAAGCCATGTTGGCACCTTGTCCAACATCTGAGGTCATGGGATGCAGAGCATCCCCTGCAATGCAGACATTGTCTTTGCTTATGTTACACCAAAGCAGCTCCCATGGATACCTGAACCTCATAGGGGAAGCATATGTTCTTGGCCCGGTTTTCGCTATCACGTCTAGCAACTGGTCTGGTACATTCCCAATTGTGCTTAGCACAAACTCCTTGGCCTTCTCTGGATCATTGCCTATAACCTTGTCTGTTGGGAAGAAAAATAAATCACCATGTTTTAAGTTAGTAAGAAGGAGAAGAGGAAGGTTGAATGATGGGAAAAGTTTCATGATGGTACCTTCATTAGAGGGAGTCCAGGTGAAGAACCAGTAACAAGTTTGTTCATCACAAGGGTTGTAACCAACTCTGATCCCATTCCCATGGAACTGAAACCCTTTGTGCACGAAACCATGGCCCGATTCGAAGTGTGCATAGCCTCTAATGGAAGATCTTCTTGCAAAAGCTGGCTTCCCAAATCCTAGCCACTTGGCCACCACTGAGTTCACTCCATCACAACCAATCAACACCTTCCCACAATTGAAAATGGACTTGTAATTTCAGGACCAGATCTGGGTTCATGCTAAAACAAATGAAAATGAAGAAAAGGTCACATCTTTTTTTGTTTTTGTTTTGTTTTACCTTGGCTTTGATTGTGGTACCATCAGCAAGATGGAGAAGCTTGAGATGCCCTGATTCTTGAATTGAAACCAGCTTGGATGAGAATCTGATAGTTCCATTGGGTAGATCTCCTGAGAGTGCCTCCACAAGCTCTTTCCTCTTCATGCATCTCACTTCATGATATCCACTGCAGAAAAATCACAGCATCCCTTGTGAAATTTGGAGCCATCTCTTGAAAACAATGTGACACAAAAGCTATGTTTACTTACTTTGGTCTATCCTTGTCCTTGTATGACTTCTCAGAAACCAGTTCCCCTGTAACATTTGACCCAGCCACAATTCTGCAGTCCAGTTTCAGAAAGTTGCAGACTTTCATCAGTAAACAACAACTTATAGTCAGCATGAGGATGAATGGATGACAGGATGGCTACCCTTGAAGCCGAATATGTGTCCCTCGGAGCGTATCACCAATACCAAGAGCATCCAAGGCCTTCCAGGCATTAGGCCATGCCATGAATCCGAATCCGCTCGACCTCAAGCTGTCAGCTGATTCCAGCACCAAGCTTCTTATCCCCATCCTGCAGCAAATTCTCCATGAGATCATGCTGAATTCTGTGCTTACTTAACACAATAAGCAGATTTTTGGATGTTGGGGACAAGTTAACAAACCAGTTACCTGTGAAGTGCCAAAGCTGTAGCAAGGCCAGCAATCCCAGCTCCTACAATCACAATTCCTTCTTCCATGCTTCAGATTTTCTTCTTTTTTTCTTTGTTTGTTAGAAAGCTTCAGATTTTCTTTACTCACATAAACAATGAATGGTTTGGCCTTTAAAGTTGGAGAAGGTCGCACTGGTGGAGAAAGGGAAGGATATGGTTAAATAATGCCTGATGACAGAAACAACTTTGGCCTAATAAAGTTGGTCTCTTGTCCTTTTCCCCTGAGCACATGCCTCATGGGGAACAGGAATTACCAGATCAATCACCTGGAGATGTTTATTCCAAGTACAGATCTAAATCCTACCTAGCCCTGGTGTCATTTAGGTTGCAGACAAATTCAAATGACATCAAACTAGACAATAATTGCACCTTAACCATAATCTAAAGCAGTAATTTTTGAAGATAGATGTGTTAAGGAAGTTCATGATTTGACTCATCACTTTGTTCATCTGCTCTATAATCTATTCAGTACATCACATGGCATAAAAGCTGTTCCAGTGAGCTCAAGATTCTCCAGTCATCAGCTCATTGCCCGTTTTGTTCTTCATCTATTCCTTTCCCCACCAGGATTCTGTCTTTCAAGGACTCAGAAAGGCGACCGCTGCTGAAGATTCTTTCAAGAAACTGAATGTTGATAAGTAAATTTAATAAAACTTTGTGCACATCAATCCGTTGTAGTCTAGTTGGTCAGGATATTCGGCTCTCACCCGAAAGACCCGGGTTCAAGTCCCGGCAACGGAAATTCTATTTTTTACCGGCCATCAAAAATTGCTCGAGTCCTCTCTTTCTTGTACCTAAAGGCCTCATTTTTTGGGGTAAAGTTGAAGATTCCATACATACAAGATACAACCAAAAGAACACACAGTGGCACTCAAGCATTACTGATAATTCTATCGCCGTAGAAATCCAAAATCGCAGGCTGCATCTTCGTCGATCTCTCAGCCAAGCCGATCTCCTTATCCCCAGCGAAACCTTATCAGATCCAGCTATAGCGGTTCAACCCGCTCGAAATTCAGTGATGACAGATGATTCATCAAACTCGCTCTCCTTCAACTGTCCAAAAAGCTTGACAATCTTGCCTCCTCGGATTATACATCTGCAGAAGAGGAAAATCAAATCAAACCAAAGAGCGAGATTTGAATAATCATCGGGATTCTGGCTTTGATCACGGCCGTTGCACTTTAATCCAAACAAGATAAGAGCAAAAAAATCCTTTGACATCAGTAAGGATCCAGCTCGCATCAAAGGGAACGAGTAAAGAGTGCAAATTCGTTGGCGAAGGAAAATGTTGCGATTGGTAACCTGCCATGAATATCAATAGTGAGTGCATGCATCCAGATCCAGTTTATAGCAGGAAATTATATTTGCAATTTCTATCTTTGGACCTTTTCTCCTTTAAATCGTGAGAGGGATAGATCACATTGAGTAGTCATTTGCAGTTTTCCTGGACGCCATTGTTGTTGTTGAGGTGGGGCATTTTACAAAGCAGAGTGAGACGGAGAGACGGCGAGAGATTGGGTGGGGTTTTAGCTCATTGGTTAGCATTGCATATTATGATGGGTGGATTGATTGAGCAACTCAAATCCCACGTGGAATGGCTGATGTGGCCAAAAAATTATTCTTTATATCCACCGTTAGTTGTATGGATGGAATTTTGGACGGATGCACTAATTACTAAGTTAAGTGGTAGCCGACACCTTATTCTAAGTTAAGTGGTATAACTCCACCAATTCTCAAAGTTAAATGGTACTTGAGGTATTTTACCTTATGAAGTAAAATACCCATACATATTTTATACGTAACTTTCTCGTACCGTATTTTACTAACTATGTCTGTTAGCGATGTAACTGATAATCCAACCAAAATTGGTGGTTAACGGTTACATCGGTAATTGATTAAATATTAAACGATCGGCTCTCGGCAGTCATATTTTTCTAATACTGATCTACGGTTTAACGATTTAGTAACCGGCGATTAAACCATTAACCGACTAATCGTATACGTCTATTCTCATAATTAGGATGGAACATAATAGGTTTCGATGAGCCGTATGCATAAACAAAAAAAAAAGATGTTTGAAAGCATGAAAGTTCAAATGAGAATAATTTCAAAGAAGAGCTTTAGAAGGATCACAATAGAAAGTTGGACTTACGAACAGTAGCTCCACAACAATCACTAACATTTAAATTTCAACGTAATTTGGTAGAATTTGTGAGTGGAGTACTTATTGTTAGGTATCTTATTCTTGTCTGCTTCTTTAATCAAATTTGACGGTAAAATGGTTATTGTGTACTTGTGTTGGATTAAGTTGATTATGTATTGATATTTATGTTAAATTATTTTTTATTTAGTGACACAACTTAAAAAAACAACACATACTTGTGCACAAAAACAAATTCTACAAAATTTCACAATTGAAAAAATGAGGAGATCTTCTATTGGTTAGGTTACCGATCCCTTGTTTTGGTATAAACTTTCTGAATCACTTACTTAATAATTATCCGATTAACCGACAATATAGTTGAGAACCGACTATACAATTATGGTTTACCAACTGATATAAATGTTACGATTAGTAGTAAGCACAAAAGTAATTAACGAAGAACCAACTAAACGATCCAATTATAACTGGACCGAACCGATAACCAACCCTTCCTAATCCCCATTGATGCTTCCTCTCTACCAACTGGGGGCTAAAAGTTAATGGACTCCTGTAACAGACTGTCATCATCGGCCCAAGCATATTCCACGCGGCCGCCATTAACAAATGAAGGGATGGGCCAAACGTGGCACCAAAGTAAAAGCCCAAACTCGTAGAATACAATAAATGGGCCTTTCTCGTTTCTTGCCCATTCCACCAGTCTTCTGTCTTCTCTATAAAATCTTCCCTAACTTCCACATTAGTTTTTGCACCTTCCAAGAAACAAAAATGTCGAGACTAGCCATGCTCATCATCCTCATCTTCATTTCCATGTCGGTCCTCTCATCAAGCGCCCAACAACCACCACTCAATTGGGCCAGAAGGCTCGACTCCGGCGACGGCCCGGAGACGGTCACCAACCTCCAGTTCTACTTCCAGGACCTTCCCGGCGGGAAGAACCCGACCGCGGTCCAGATCGTCAAGCCGGCCTCCTCGGGGACCTCCATCAACAGCTTCTTCGGGTCGGTCACGATGGCCGACGACGCGCTGACCGAGTCCGCCGACGCGGGGTCCAAGATCGTCGGCCGGGCGCAGGGGCTGTACGGCTTCGACAGCCAGAACGACCTCACGCTGGTACGAGAATTCGGTGGAAACTGTTGAGTTATTTTATTACTGAAATTTACATTCACCTCGTTAATACAAAAATTACATAACTTCTATAACTCTTACAAAAAAAAATATAATTATATTCAATTACGTAACAATATTTGCAATATGACGCACTCGTACTATTCATACTCTAATAGATGATGTCGATGAGCTACGTGTTCACGGACGGGCCCTACAGCGGCAGCTCCCTCAGCGTCATGGGCCGGAACCCGACCATGGACACGAACCGGGAGCTGCCCGTGTTGGGCGGGACGGGGCTGTTCAGGATGGCGCGTGGCTACGCGCTCTTGAGGACGCTGTCGATCGATGCCTCGGGGGACGCTGTTGTGTACTATAACGTCACGGTCCATGCGCCGGCTTCCAATTATGCCAATGCACAAATAATCTCTCCCGCCGGCGGCGGTGGAGGGGCACCGGCGCTGCTAAGGCGTTGAGTAGTAGTGGTTGTTCTTCTCCGATGATGGTGGCCGGCAACCGGTGGATGGTTACTTTCATATTCCGGTTGTTTGTCGTGGCTTGTGGGTGTCGTCACATCATATTCCGGTTGTTTTTACTTTCCCCGCAATTAATTAGAAATGTTGTCTTGTACGTTGTTAAAAAGCATTACAATAGACATGGCAAATTACACTCGAACCATTGACTCCACCTCAACTCGTACAAAGAGTAGAAGTTTTTATAACTCGAATGACCTGAATCTGATAACTCGTGATTTTTTGGGTCGGGTTGGGTGGGTTAGCAAGTCGATTCGTTGAAGCGGTTCCATTTTATATATCACTCCCAAAATGATAAAATCACTCATAAATTGGTGAGATGTCTAAAAAAAATTCACATGAATTTGTATGACATGTTTGGAATTCAAGGATAATCAAATATCATGAGCTTCTTGTAGGAGCATTACTCTTGGGATTGTTTTTTGACGGTTTGCGCAATATATATTTCATTTCATTAGCATGGGAGGATTTGATCATATGTTAATTGACATGTGTTAAGTAAACTATTGTCATACATATGTGAAAATTTGTGTTCTTTAAGAAAATATGAAGCATGTTTGATATTGTTTATGAGAGCGCTCATAACCCGAAAAGTCCTGTAACCCGACCTGACCGAATGGGTTGGGTCAATATTTGACTTGAAATCAACCAACCGAACATGACTCGGCTCGTAACCGGAGGCCCCAACCCGACCCGATTGTCAGGTCTACATTACACTCTTTGTTTTGTTTGATCGTTAATAATAATGGTCTTTTTTTCTTTCTAGCTGTGGTAAATGACATTTCTTAATGATCTATGTTTTGTGTTTGTGATGGTACTCTATCAAGTATCAATTTTTAACGGTTTAGATTTATTCGAAAAGATCAAGTCATCTATGAAATCTAAAAATATATCCATAATAATAGGAGGTTCCAAAAACATACACAATCTCCTAACGAGAATCAGCCAAAGTAATTAAAAACTTGGAGGAGTTTGGCCACAAGTGGCCGGAAACCAATTAAGATGTAAGACAAAAATCTCCATGGAGATGGCAAAGATGTAGTTGGAGAGAAGGTCCCATTCTTTAGTCTTTTCTTTGCTTCAAAGGTTTCCACTAATCCTCCATTTAAGTAAACGGTGTCGGTGAATGAAGCACTAGAGAGACGCATTTCCGCCCATTAAATCAAATGAATTGTTTTGTAAATTACATAGCCCTCGTCACAATCCTCCAATAATATATGGTAGAGTTTTGTGAACTTTTCTCCATTTCAAATTTCCTGCAATGAGAGTGAAAGTAGGAAGGACATTTTTGTCTTTACAATTAAATATTTATCTCATATAAAATAATTCTCCATTTCAAATTTCCTGCAATGAGAGTGAAAGTAGGAAGGACATTTTTGTCTTTACAATTAAATATTTATCTCATATAAAATAATATCAATACGAGGATTCGAACCCGGGTCTCTTAAAACAAAGACAACAATCACAACCAATTACACTAAACAAATTTGTTGTATCTTTTTTAGTACAAAGCATACACAAAGTTAGACTCTGAAAATTGGATGAATTTTTCATCATGATTACCAAGCCTACTAAGTCTACCGTATATATTTTTATGGTGCTTGATACTTTAGTTTTCATAGTAGCTAGAGTTTCATGTATTTTCTCAATTTTAATTTTTTTGCACTCGCCTTAATTTTTTTGCTAAAGGTAGATTGGTAATTGGCTACCATAGAAGAAACTAATTATGTTACTGCGTGTTGTATCCTTGAAATTTTCAATTTAAATTTAAATTTAGTGCTTTTTTTAATCTTTGTTCTTATGTCTTTTAAGTTCCTCCAAAATTCCCTCTATTGTGCAATAGTTTACGCCCCTTTCACTTTTCAATACAAGGCCGCCTTTGAAATCAATCTTTTGGTATCTCTTGGCACTACGATTTTATTATTGGGGATTTAAGCTAGGCAAGTAGAAGATTTCAACTCCGATATCAATCCATGACAATAGAATGGAGTTCAATAAATGGAGTTGTAGAAGGAGGATTAGAGATTGAATTTTTTATTGAAACATATGTCTCTTGAGATAAAAATTTGGTTCTACAACAGAGAGTGGTGACTATTGGACCTTTAGGTTTATGGTTTTTGCAGCTAGGTCGATTCTTTATTCAACCTACTAGAACTGATAGATACGGAGTGTCTAATTTTGTGCCTTATTACGTAGATCGAGTTTATTAGCATATTGGAGGTAACCCTAATTTTGTCGTTTGCTCTCAAGTTTTATTGGTCCCCTCTTAATTGAGTTGTTAGTATATAGTTGACTTGAATCAACAACTCTTCATTTCTTTTTGATTAGTGGCATATTGTTGCTAAGGAGAGCATTGAACCCTTTATGTAGGATTGTGAGGTTTAAAATTGTGTTTCAATTTTCAAACTATCTATGACGTGTGGGAATTCCAATGAGCTTTTGTACTCCATCTTTCTTGACAATCAACTAACCAATAGCATTTTAATTGGGGCTTAGTTATCATTATAAAAATGAGATCAATCATTTTTATATTTTATATTCTTATTTCTCCAAAAGTTCGACCTATACATTCTTTATTTATATATCATCTAGATCGAAGAATTGTCAATAAAATTAAACGGGTTGATAGAATTAAATGTAACATAAAAATACAAATAATCAAATATGAACATTCCGGCCAACGGGCCGGGTTATAAGCTAGTAGTAAGAAAATTCCTTTTATGATCACCCTACTTTCACTACTGCCTGGAAGAATTTTGTATTTAAGTCACTACTTAGAATCCACATTTGCATAGATTCCTATCTTGTGAAAAGCTCTCCCGCCTTTGTAACTGTAGAAGTTGGACCAAACATTTTTTTTTTTTTTTTACAAAAACTTCGTTACAAGGTGCTTCGAGACTTCTATTTATGCTATTGCTAAGGTTGCTTGAGCTTATGTTATTTCGATATTTTCACCCTTTCATGTAAGTCAGAGTAATGAGTCATGTTTGAATCTCCTCCACATTACCTGCTTTAGCTTCTACTTCACATTCTTTTACCAATTGGCAATAGCAATTAACAAGGGTAACTTTTCGAAAAACCAGGGATCATTTAGTATTTGTTATTCTAAATGGTGTATTGACTGAATTTATGTAGTGTATAAAATGCATCGTTTTTTTGGTCTAAAATGATGTACAGTGCATGCATTGGTTTTTTATATTTGACATATCAAATCTTCATTTTGAATGGTTTAGAATCTCAACAAAAAAGATAAAGATTGTTGAGATAGTTAGCTTGAGATTGTGATCTTGTTTTTCTTTGCTTTTGTATTCCTAGCAACGAAATACCTCAAATTTTCCATTCACTCACCAGCTCAAAATATGGGTAAATATGACTTTTCTCAAAAAGGTTACTTTCCCTCTTGAATCTACAACACCATAATTACACAACCAAACATGGTAATCTTAAAATTCACCCATTTAAACAATACAAACATTTATAATGCATACATTTATAAAAATACATCAATTTTCAGAATCACAAATACCAAATGACCTCTAAAGTATTTAAAAGGCGTTAACAGACTTTTTAATCTTGAATCGGTGTGTAGAAACAAATCATAGTGATCATATAGACACGAGGAAGAGCTTTGATACAACTGCGGGATACTTAGTCAACCATACTAGGTTAATTATAGTTTGTTTGAGGGATCTACTGATGGAATTAATGATATTGTCTTATTGTTAAGGAGCATTACACTCTTCTTATATAAAAGCGTGCAAAGCATCGCAACCTCAAATTTAAATATAGTGGGGCAACGCGATTGTACATGGCCTAATACATAACGTTAGATCGGGGAAAAAAATCGGAACATAACGTTAGCGAGTGTTATGCCTTGTTAGCTAGTTAATCTCCTAAGTAGTTACCTTCTTTATAAATGTGCATGGATGACACGCACAACCCAAGCACTCTCCAAAAGGGTGTGAAGTGAAAGTGAAGAATAAGGGAAGCGTGTTGGTGTGTCGTGTAATTTGGGTTCTGGAGTAGGGCCACCACAGAAGATGAATCAAGTTGTGCTTCGACCTTTCGATGTCCTAGGCGTCAGGCCATCTCGAGTCTCTCAATGACGCTTCGTAGTTTGGCTCGGTAATGTGATAGATCTCCAGGTTCATGGCGGAGCTGACTTAATTATTCAAACAAGTTGAATGAAGCTTATGGTGCATTGTATTTGTTTATAATTTTTTTTTAGTAAAGTGAGTAGGTCTTCTTTGTTCTTCTAACAGTTGTAGATGACAATATTTAATGATCTATGATTATGTCAATATTTTGCTATTTTGAACGGCTTAGATTCGTTGGAAAAGACCTCAAGTCACCTAACTTGAAAAAATATATGAAAATTTTGAAGGAGGTCCCAATAATGTAACACAATCTCTTAACGTGAATGTAACCCAAATTCGAGTAAAACCAATATGAGATAACTTTTCGTTGGACAGAAATCACGAATTTCTTATCGATACGACGGACACTCGCGCCGAAGAGATGCACTGCTCCATTCGAAAAATGGGTTTCCCTTAAAAGCGATCAAGATGATAAGAAGAAGAGAGAGAAAAAACCCGCCCTGAACTATGAGACTCTTATCTCTGGGTTTCATGGAAAACCTATATGGGATACTTTTTTTTTGCATGGAAGTTTAACCTTTGTATTTATCTCGTTACTCGTTTATACTTGGAAGCAAGTATCTTTTCAAAAGCTTGTCGTGCAACTGTTCATGATTCTAATGAAACAAGGACTTATCAGTTTCGATGAATTGGACATTGTGTGGTCTGAGCTTCTTACCTGGATTCGTTGATTTAACTTTTAGTCCAAGTTATGCAGGCTTGGTTATTATTCTTTTGCATATAATATAATGTCTCACTCAAACCCGATCAAACAAACAAAAGATAGAACATATATTAGAGTTTTGTTTCGAATCCGGCCAATGAAACACAGTAATGCAGTTGTGGCGTTGAGTTCAACCAAACCGTATGGTATTATACTAGTCTACAACAGACCGAATCTCCAACAAAAATTATAATCTCCAGAATTAATTAATGTGATTAATTAAGCAAGTTGGCATAAGAAGTACGGGCCGGCTTCTTATTCGACCCGGCCATCTACTAATTACTTAAGCAAGTTTGTGGGAAAGGAAGTGGTTAAGTATCATACATAGGCCTGTATAAAATTCAGCATAATCTTCTCACAACAATTCTGAGTTATTGGGATTAACTGGTTTATGAAACTTACCATAGTCACTTAACGATGTGATTAGGTCGCGGGTTCAATTTTGACGAATAGTTAGTGATGACAATTTGAATCGGTTTCGTTAAGTGATAATATATATAACCCAATTCGTATCAGCGTGAGGTTGGATATAAATACTATTTATATCATGTCCCGCTTCGTTATTGACCTGTTCTACCTTAATTCATCTCAATATTCAATTGCAATGCTCTTATTTTAAATAATATATTTCACCCAATATTATTTTAGATAAGTGCAAGACTTCATATTACAATTAATTTCACTCAATTAATCTACCTAGCTACTATATTTATTCTCTATTTATGAACTATTTTTTCTAGGGGTGTGCAACGGGGGTTGGCTCGTACCGTACCGCACCGATCACCGGACCAAACTGACACTTGGACCGGAACACACCGAACTGAATGTAATATGGTTAGGTCCTTGGTACCCATGAATTTTATAAATACCGAATAAAAATAAACCGAGTTGACATTTGGACCGGACCAAATTAGCGGGCCGAGGACACTGTTGATCGGGTTATCCTTTGGTCCTAAAATGTCTTTCACTATTTGACAACGGTTCTCCCCGAGTTTGGTCTGGTCCGGACCAAACCATTGCACACCCCTAAACTTTTTGCTTTGCTTTTATCGTTAAGAAATAAATGTTTTCTCCAAATTATATATTAAAATAGGTCGATCTATCATGACCCGTACCCTCATCATACATTACCCAACCCTGATCTACACTTAATACAAAACACATATATGTATATTGAGATACTCGCCTCGTCTGTCCATCACCGTCACTAATTTAGCGAGAATGACTGCCGTCTGTTTGGTCAGCTGAGCAAAACCTCCTCTTTGACTGCCCAGAATTGCTCCACTCGGGCAAAAAAAGCCAAACCCAACCTGCCTGCCTATAAATCGCCCCCTAAAAAACCCATCGTCCTCACACACCATCACAGGGAAAAAAATCAAACACCAAAACCAAATCATGGCAAGTCATCATCATCGATTCTATTCTCTGCTCCTCACGGTCATTTCCCTAACCACGTCCAGATCCTGGGCCCAGGCGTCGGCCCGCTCCGTCAACTGGGCCAAAAGGCTGGACTCCGGCTCCGGCCCGGACACCATCACCAACATCCAGTTCTACTTCCACGACATCTTCACCGGGAACCACCCGACCGCGACCCGGGTGGTCCACCCGGTCCCGGGTTTCTCCCACACGACCTTCTTCGGGGCGGTCGTGATGGCCGACGACCCGCTGACCGAGTCGGCCGACCCGAGCTCCAAGGTCGTCGGGCGGGCGCAGGGGATGTACGCCGCCGCGGGGCGGAGCGAGGTCTCGCTGCTGATGTCCATGAGCTACGGGTTCACGGACGGGGACTACGACGGGAGCTCGCTCAGCATCGTGGGCCGGAATCGGGCCTTGGACCCGACCCGGGAGCTGCCCGTTTTGGGCGGGACGGGGGTTTTCAGGATGGCGCGTGGCTACGCGGTTATAAATACGGTGACGGCGAATGCGAGGGGAGACGCTGTGGTTCATTATAACGTCACGGTCTACGCTCCCCGGCTTTAAATGGTCAGTGAGTGAGTCTTCGCCGGTTGCTGGCGCCGTCGGTGGAGGCGGCAGCGAGCAGCTAATTTGTTTGTGTTGTGTCTCTGAGGGAGATGTTTCTTGTTTCATTGTGGTATAAATATAATAATACAAAAAATTGTCTTATCGTTCTCCTACAAAATGTGGTTTAAGAGTTTACAATTAAAATGAGAAATTATAGATTTTTTTATATATGAATTATTATTATATAAATGATATGAACCGGTTAAACACAAGGAATTAAAGAGTATGGCCCCAATGAAGTACTAGTTAGCTAGGCAGCTACTGATTATCGTCTTGGTAAAGCATTATCTCATAAACTAGTTAATCATACGCGAATTCCTTTTCGAACGGATTTCTTTGCTCCTTAACCTACGGGGTATTAGCAGTCGTTTCTAGTTGTTGTTTCCCTCGTAAGGGCAGGATTTCTTACGCGTTACTCACACACCCGCCACTGGAAACACCATTTCTCGTCCGACTTGCATGTGTTGTGATCGTGTTAAAATTTTGAATATATTTAATGGGAATTTTTGGACTATTATTTTTTTTTCTCCGTTGAACTCGTGAGCTTATTGATGAGACTGAGTTTCAGTAAATGCATTTTTTCTTATTAACGAACCGAATTTTAGTCGAAGTTTTAACATAAAATAATATTTCACAGTCCATTTTAGAATAATTTATTTTAGAAGCTTATTTCGTAAGCTTATTTGAAACCATATAATAACCTACAAAAAAAAAACATATAATCATAATTTACTTTAGAATAAAATAGTATTTTACAATTCATCCATCGGAAATTCCCGCCCAAGTTTCCCGTTTCATTCTGCGGCCAACGGTAACTCCCTCGCTTCTCGCTTCGCGCGGGAACCAAACCCACCCAAACGGTGTCGTGCAATCACATCGCCGGCGATGACCCGATTCGCCGCCTCCGTGTAGTGATGATCGTCCCACTTGACATAAGATCCCGGCCTCTCACAAGCCACCGCCCCGGCCTCCCCGCAACCCGCCGACGGTTCATAATTGTACGGCCCTCCGGATCCGCAGCAAGCCCTGTTGATCGTCGCCCTCTCGAACCCGAATTCCTCCGGGTTCTCGTGGATCCGAATCGCCGACTCGAAATAACCCGCGTAGTGAATGCTCGCGCTCGGGTGGAGCTTCCCGACCCGCTCGATTTCATCTCGGAGCATCCGGTTGTGGCGGTCGGAGAATCGGTTGTGGTAGACGAGGCAGCCGGTGACCGGGTCGTAATCGCTCCGGCTAGAGCTCCGAAACCGGGTGAGGATCCAGGGGAAGCAGCCGGTCGGGTAATCCCCCGGGACCAGGAAGCTGACCGCCCCCAATTCGATGAGCTCTTCGACGGCGGACCCGATCCGGTCCACGACGAATGGAATCAGATCCTCGATCTCACCGGAGGGCAGACCGGCGCGGTTGGAGCCCAGGTAATCGACGCCGCCGATTTCCCCAACGAGAAACAGTGAGTGTCTGAGTTTGTCTCTGCAATTCCAAGGATCGGAACAGAGTGAATTGAGTAGGGTCTTGAATCGATGCAATTGAACGCTCAGCGAGCAGTTCTGGCAGGTGGAGCTTCCCCTGGCTTCGAGGAACTCGTGGTCGAGGGCGGTGGCGGAAGCTACGGCGAGATTGGCTCCGCGAGAAAGAGTAGTGATGTTGTTGATCGGATCTCCGGAGTATGCTGGAAGCAGAGGGAGGCCCAGGAGGTGCTGAGCGATGAAGTCGGCGATGACTCTGCCGTCGCTGCAACGGCCGGTGGGATGGTGGAAGTAGGTCTCGCCGTATGGAGGGAATAGGCAATTGGAAACGAAGTTTCCCGGAGCGAAATCCACTCCGGCGGCGGCGGCAGAGTCGCCGAAGATGAAGAGGGAAGTGTAGTAGCTGGGTTCGATTGGGTCGTCGGGAGATCCGAAACCGTAATTATTGGATAGAATCACGACGAAGAAAAGGATCGTTGGCAGAGGATGCAGTTTCATCTTTTTGGGTTTTTGGGTTTCCCCTTAGCTGCAAAAGGATAATAAATTTTACACCACAGTCTGTATTGATCTATCAATGGCGGGGAAAATCCCAAAATACGAGGTTGATAAACAAATTGTCACAAAAACAATTTGCAACAAATTTTCTAAAATGCAAGAGTTTGGAGCGTATTAAAGTGTGATTTGACAAAGGCAAGCGATGGACCTTTTACGGACCATTTTTTGGCCTAACATATCTCACTCAGGTTTCTATCACACTTATTGAGTTATTATACAACGATAACCATGTTTTTCACTCTGTGCTTTGAAAACGTGCTCGCAACGGGCATTAGTTGTTAGATTGCTTGTTGGAAGATTTATTGTCGTTTATTTATGAGCGGTGCACAATGCGCGATCTGATGGTACCATTTGGTACCACTGCCATCTGGTACATGGTAATGGTAGCGTACCACTATCTACCAGGCTATCACTACCAGGTACCAAATGGTACTAGTACCAAATGATAGTGGTAAGCCACTACTACCACCTACAAGATGGTAGTGGTAACGTATCACTCCATCTAGTACCAGTGTCAGAAGAAAATCAGTACCACTAGAAGAAAAAAAACATATATGAAAATCCAAAAACCACAGATCTAAAAAACGAAAAAGGAGAGGAAGGGTATAGTGAAAGAGGGACTCACACCGAAAGAGGCGAGTAAATGAGCCGACAACGGCGTTAGTGGATGAGGGTGGCGGAGGGCGCGGCTGGGGGTGAAGGGAGGCGGAGGAGCGATGCGGCACGGTTAGGAAGGTGGCGGCGGTGGAGGGAGGTAGGGGGAGGGGTCGGCAGCGGCTGTCACGGCTGTTGAGGGAGCGGCAGCCGACGACGAGGGGTAGAGGGAGGTGTTGTCTGCAGGAGAGAGGGAGGAGTTAGGGTTATTTTATTTTATTTATATAGGAGGGAGTATGATTGAGCGTGGTAAGTTTTTTCACTTTCAAAAATACCATTCATTTAATCTCAACCATCGATTTGAAAAGAAAAAAAAAAGAGACAAGAGAGAGAATAAATCCAATAGTTATAAAATGAGTTGTCAATCTTACAACCCCCTTAACCCCCTAAGAGGGTTGGGATGACCATCCCACAGGCTCATAGTGAAAGCCTGAAAGGGAGAAAAGGAAGACGTTGTGTATGGTCCAACGTTAACTGACTTAAAGGAGGCAGGTCTCTATTTAAATTCAACCACCCAATTAATTGGGTGCAATTGTGACTTGTAACTTGTAAATTGTATACTCTAAAAAACTTGTAAATTGTACAATCATGCTAATTATTTTTATTATCGACTAAAAGAGCAAAAAATATGACTCCAAGTTATGATTTTGTTGGATTAGCAGTCATATGATTACAACGGCAGAAACAGTCACTACAATTATAAATGTATTACAACAACTCATAGTTAGTATGGTGCTAACTCCTTATCGATCCCAAATTTTCCCTCTCTCCAACACAAGGAGAATTGGAGAACGCAACTTCATGAAAAAACCGCCCCGACCTACATTAACCACTTCAAATGGTAGGGCTAACGGGACCTGGTAACATGTACATTATGTCAAGAAATCAGTTGATCCAAATAACTCGATTTGTTGGAAGAGATCCATGTATAGATCTTAACCACTTCCTTACATAATCACTCAAACGAAAAGCCAAATTATGGGCTTGAGTGAACAATTAATACTGGAGTCATGAGGATTTGAAGATGTGACCTCACGATCAAACCAGAATCGAAAACCACGTCAAGAACCAATTCATCCCAATAAATGGAGTTCTTTTTGGAAGATGTTAAATAATGGATCTTATGCCACACACTAACACAATCCCTAACAAGAGGACCATTTATATGAGTTTGAAAGTTGCACCGAAATACCATGTTTTTAACAAATGTGGTCGCCGAAATTTGAACAAAGCATCTCTTGGTTAATATTTAGGGTATGCCTATGGTGACATGCATGTCACCGTAACTTGCACTTTTAGGTCGACCTTATATAGATTAGGTCGACCTAATATGCACTTTTAGGTTGACCTTATATAGGATTAGGTCGACGTAATATGCACTTTTAGGTCGACCTTACACAGGATTAGGTCGACCTAATTGGCGTTTCAGTTTTGTGAGGTTCAACGACGCGGTTGACCTTTTATATCAAATGGTCGACCTCTTGGGAAGCGCATGGATGACATGTATGACTACATGGGTGAGATTTCCACCTAGATGACTGGCATGTACGACTACGTGGGGCAAATGACCACCTAGATGAGCACACTACATGTGACCGTGAATGAGATGTGAGATGAGTTTCGATCTTTCAGTGAAAGATGCATGCATGTCACCGTAACTTCCGACTACCATAATGCTAGCAACACCAATGAAGAGAATGTGGATGAGGGTGAGAGGGGACAAGAGTAGGAACTCGACGATTTTAGATTGTGTGTTTTTATTGTTAATTGTTAAAAACAATTAAGGATTGATATTATGTGGTTTTAGATTTTAGTTATGTGTGAACAATTATGATTTGTGTTTTATTGTATTTCTTGTTAGTTTGTTTAGTTGTTATGTTATGAAGTTATGAGTCATTGTTATCATTATTTATGACTGATTCTGTTGATTTGAAACGTAATTTGTACGAGCAAAAGAACCACCCACATAGCTTCCCAAAGAGGTTGACCATTTGCTATAAAAGGTCAACCGCGTCGTTAAACCTCACAAAACTGAAACGACACATTAGGTCGACCTAAAAGTGCAAGTTACGGCGACATGCATGTCACCGTATCAAAATCCTAATATTTAATACATCAAATATGATAATCACTTCAATTAGTCCTAATATTTAATACATCAAGTATGATAATCACTTCAATTCTCTTAATTTCGAGTTTTAAACTTTTATTTGTTAAAAAGAAAGCGGCAAATTTATTCTTTTCCTGATTTTGGGTTCATCCAATGGGCCTTTTATTTAGAAGCCCTAGCCAGCGGATGGGCTTTACCATAATTGTTAATGGGATCAAGTAGATTTATTTTCTATTTTCTTAATTATATATTAAAATAGAGTTTATCGGTTTTATCTGGCTGGGTAACTTTATTTCGATGTTGTGTCGTTTCCGACTCGATCATTCGGCTACCAAATTACTAATAAACCCTTCTACCCGCCTTCACACCTCCATCAAAATAAGAATATAAAGGTCATTACACTCCTCGTCCCCTTCTTTTCCCTCTTCCAATTTTAAACCCAAAACAGAAAGTAGGAAGGAGAAGAAAGGGAAGAGAGCAAAGAGAAGAAGAAGGGCGACGAAGGGAAAAAAAAGAAGAAGGTTATAGCTAGTTCGCCGGCGGCGAGCACAAACAAGGGAGGGGAAGATGTTTAGAATGTTTAAGGGACGGGAGAACTCCGACGAAGGTTCTCCACAAACCCCGATGGTTTCTTCCTCGCCCTCGATGTCGCATCAGTCTCCGGTGACGGGACCAGCGAGGCCGATACGCCTCGTCTACTGCGACGATAAGGGAAAGTTCCGCATGGACCCGGAAGCAGTCGCCACGCTCCAGCTTGTCAAAGGGCCGATCGGCGTGGTTTCCGTTTGTGGCCGCGCTCGCCAGGGGAAAAGCTTCATCTTGAATCAGGTTAGTTCGTTCGGTCGAGTTCTCGATTTCTTTTTTAATAATTTGAAGCGGAATGCTGCCGGTTTCGGGGTTCTGGTTGATGTGGGGGGTGGAGTTTTTCTAGGAGTGCTGCCTGTTGTAGTTTGAGAAGAGAAATAGTTGCTAGTTGTGGCATTTGGGCGCTAATTTTGTTTTCTAGGGTTTGAGAATTGATATTGTATTTGGATTATCAGTGGTATGTAAAGAATGGAACTTGGTTGAACCTCTTATTTGCATCATTGTAGCTAAATAGGTGTCAGTATGCAAACTATCAGTTCCTAATCCAATATAGGCTGCAAGCGTTTCAGATTTTCAGTTAGAACAATGCAATAACATTTCAAACACTCCCCTGATCGTTTTCTAGTTTTCAACTGGTCTAGATATTTGATCCCTGAAGCACGTTTCTAATGTGATTATGTATCTAGTGCTCCTAACCACTGACTAATTGTGTCTGTATCTATAGCGCCCTTGTATCACACTGTATAGGAGTAGTGAGAATCACTTTTCGATTAGATTCATACGCGATGGTTTGTCAAAAATGAAGTCAATGGCGGTCTTTTTGACCAATTTACTATAACGATCAAGATTTGAGTCGAAGGTTTGTTACGAGTGTCTGCTCTAATATATTTCTTTGATTCTGTTTTATGTAGCTCCTTGGGAGGAGTAGTGGATTTCAAGTAGCTTCGACCCATCGGCCATGTACTAAAGGGCTCTGGTTGTGGAGTGCTCCGTTAAAGAGAACTGCTCTTGATGGGACAGAGTATAATCTATTACTCCTAGATAGTGAAGGAATTGATGCTTATGATCAAACGGTACGTTTCCTTCTCTTTCACTCAAATAATATCTATGGCTGTCACCTGATCCATTGTATACAACATGTCTCGTGGATCTGATTTCATTATTCTATACCCTTTTCTTTAAATTCATTCCTTTCTGCTACTCACCTGGATGATGCTTTCTTTCTGCTGTTTCTGATTGCATATCTTTTTGGTATTGTTGGCAGGGAACATACAGTACCCAGATATTCTCCTTGGCTGTACTCTTATCTAGCATGTTCATCTATAATCAGGTGGGGCATCTTTCTACTGGGGTGTTTGTTCTTTGATATGGTGTATTTGCTAATAGGTTGTACTGTTTAGTGGCTAGAATATGTATTCACTTCTGACAGTTCATTTGCTTCTTTGTCTGATTGTTCATAGATGGGTGGCATAGATGAAGCTGCACTTGATCGTCTCTCTCTTGTCACTCAAATGACGAAACACATTCGCGTGAGAGCTTCTGGTGGAAAAACCACTGCTTCAGAGATTGGACAATTTTCCCCAATATTCGTTTGGCTACTAAGGGTAATTGTGTTTAATGTTTCTGGTCTCTGAGTAAATAAGTATTCAGATGTTTTCCTCAGTGTGATAGTTTTCATCCATTATTTTCTGTTTTTCTGCAGGATTTCTATCTTGATTTAACAGAGGATAATCGGAAAATAACTCCACGTGACTACTTGGAGCTTGCTCTGAGACCTGTTCAGGGCAGCAAAAGAGATATAGGTGCTAAAAATGAGGTAATTAAAAAGTTCAGCTCAGTTTCTTTACATATCACATTACCATATTTTCCCCACAACTTTTATCAATACCATGTTGTAATAAGCTGCCGATTGTGTAACACAATCTTAGACATATGTGCATCTTGCATGATAGCTTAATATCTCTGTGAAAATATCCAACTCCTAAATATTTGTGATGATAATGACCAACAGATTCGAGATGCCATTCGAGCGTTGTTCCCAGATAGAGAATGCTTCACACTTGTGAGGCCGCTGAACAACGAAACTGATCTCCAGCGGTTGGATCAAATATCGGTTAGTGGGATAGGTCTTTCATGCATGTTCTTGTGCTCTTGCCTGCTTCTTTCTCTTCTGTAAACCAGCAATGTATAAAAAAATAAATCAGCAAATGTATAGCTCCTCTTCCTCGCACGTCATATGTAAAATTGTTTTATATTCCTTGCAGTTGGAAAGGTTAAGGCCTGAATTTAGATCTGGGCTGGATGCATTAACCAAGTTTGTGTTTGAGAAAACCAGGCCCAAGCAAGTTGGGGCTACTGTGATGACGGGGCCTATACTTGTTGGTGTCACGGAATCTTATTTGGAGGCCCTGAATAACGGTGCAGTTCCTACAATCGCTTCTTCATGGCAGGTCGGTTTCTCATCCCCAGTTTATTTTTAGGTTAATTTTAGCGCATCAGCTTCGGGCTTATTTTTTATAAGTGAGATCAAGCTTCGCTTCTATAGCCTGCTCAATTACGATATGCTAAATTGAACTATTGAATGGTAAAAGTATAGAAAGCAAGCTCTCATGAACACTTCAGGTTCCTGTGAAACCTAACGATGTCGAATTTGTGATGCAAGCATTAGTGCTAAAGTGGCCTTTTGTCAGTTTCAACCACATATGCTCCTTAGTATATATTTTATGACAAACTTTGTGGTTTCAGAGCGTAGAAGAAGCTGAGTGTCGAAGAGCATACGATGCGGCCACAGAAACTTATATGTCCTCCTTTGACCGCTCAAAGCCACCCGAGGAAGTAAGTAAGAACGTTACTCTTCATTCTTTTTACCCGTGTTCCTTTTTCTAATTCCACTTGCTGTAGGGTTCTTTGAGAGAAGCCCATGAGGTAGCAGTGCAGAAGGCGCTGGCTGTGTTCAATGGTGCTGCTGTAGGGATTGGGACTGTTAGAAAGAAATACGAAGAGCTTCTTCAGAAATTCTTCAGAAAGGCATTTGAGGTAATGTTGCTTTCTATATCACAGACTACTGACTGAACTTTGATGCTTCATGCTTTGATGAATACTGGAGACAAGATGCTATGCTTCTGTAAATTTATCGCTGGCTTTGGCTAGCATAACTAGCATCTTACCTTTAGCGCCAACTTTCATGACAGGATTATAAGAGGAATGCATTCATGGAGGCAGATATGCGTTGTTCAAGTACCATCCAGAGCATGGAAAAGAGGCTGAGGGCAGCTTGCCATTCTTCTGATGCAAATTTAGATAAAGTTGTGAAGGTATGCGTTTTTTTGAAACTGATTATTCAATTTCCATTTCTGCTCCATCATTTGATCATTCGACTTACTGACTTTATAATGTTCCTAGGTTCTTGATGTTCTCCTCTCCGAATACGAAGCATCATGCCATGGCCCTGGAAAATGGCAGAAGTTAGCATTGTTCCTTCAACAAATGTTGGTCCTCATCTGCTCCTTTCTTTCCCTTTCTTGATAATTCAGTTAGAAATTCTTCGTTTGAACATTTTCTTGTAACACTTTGCAGTTTGGCAGGGCCGATACACGACCTTGCAAAAAGGCTTGTTGATCAAATGGGCACCGAGAGGACTTCCCTTATGCTGAAATGTCGCTCAATTGAGGACAAGATGGCATTGCTGAACAAACAGCTGGAAGCTAGTGAGAGTCATAAATCCGAATATATGAGGCGATATAATGAAGCTATCAGTGAAAAGAGGCAGCTTGCGGATGATTATTCAAAACGGATAGCCGACCTGCAGAGTGGTCGCAGCTCACTCGAAGAAAGGTGTTCTAGCCTAAGAAAGGCATTGGAATCTGCCAAGGAAGAGACAACAGAATGGAAAAGAAAACACGATATGGTTTTGTCTAAGCAAAAAGCTATTGAGGATCAAATTAAATCTGAAGTTGCAGTTCTGAAGTCGAGAAGCAGTGCTGCAGAAGCAAGAATGGCTGCTGCTCATGAACAGATGAGATCAGCTCAAGAAGAGGCTGCTGAATGGAAACGGAAATATGATATAACAGTAAGAGAAACCAAAGCTGCTCTGGAGAAAGCTGCTGTGGCTCAAGAACGATCAAGTAAAGACACTCAGTTGAGAGAAGATGCTTTGAGGGAAGAGTTTACAGGAGTTCTTGCTGACAAGGTATACTACCTAGGCCAATTAAACTTGCATGTATAGGCAGTCTTATACTGAGAAATGGAATTTCTTCTTCTTTTCACGAGTAAAGTGTTTGCTAATTCGAAATGCAGGACGAGGAAATCAAGGAGAAGAGTTCAAAGATAGAATATGCTGAGCAGCGCATAACTACATTGAACCTGGAATTGAAGGTATGCTCTTTAGTTCACAAATATTTTATTGCAATACTTTCGAAAAGACACTTTTATACTAACTACTATTTTTCCAGCTCTGTATCTCTTTAAAGATAACAGGGTATGTTTGTTTATCCAACTAAACAACCATTTGCTCTAATTGCCATAAATAATTAGAATCTGAAAGCTACCTCATAAATAAGTTTTTATTTCCAAAACTTTTCCTTTTGAGATCAAAATATATGGTTAAAATTATACCATTTCTTTTGTATGAAATAAACTGGTGTGAGATGTGTGTTTACATGTCAAACCTTTGAATGGATTTCAATCTGTCTGCTAGCTCTGTTCTAGAATTTATAGGCACAAAATGTTGACTCGAAATCTGTCATTTGGCAGGCTGCGGAGTCAAGGATAGAGAGTTACGATGCAGATGTCTCAACTCTCAAACTTGAAATCAAGACACTGGCTGAGAGACTAGAGTCTGCAATGGCCAATGCCCAATCTTATGAAAAAGAAGCTAGGATGTTGGAACAGGAGAAGATACATATAGAGGAAAGGTACCGTTCTGAGTTTGAGAGATTTGCAGAAGTCCAAGAAAGGTGCACTCGGGCTGAAACAGAATCCAAGAGGGCAGTCGAAGTTGCTGACAGAGCACGGACTGATGCAGTCAATGCACAAAGGGAGAAGAACGAGTTCCAGAAACTGGCAATGGAGAGGCTGGCTCAAATTGAGAGGGCCCAGAGACAAATCGAGAATTTGGAGAGGGAAAGAGCCTATCTGACAAAGGAACTCAATACGGTTCGTAATTCGGAGATGAAGGCCGTATCGACAGTTTCACAGCTAGAAGGCAGAGTCGACGAACGGGAGAGAGAAATCGAGATATTGCTGAAGTCGAACAATGAAGAGAGGTCAACTAATGTGAAAGCCCTTAAAGATCTTCTTGAAGATGAAAGGAAAGCCCACAGTGCTGCTAGCAAGAGGGCGGAAGAGCTCTCTCTTCAGTTGGAAGAGGCACGGGCAGAATTGGACTCGCTCCAACAGGAGTTGACTTCAGTCCGGCTGAACGAGTCAGCATTGGATAGTAAGCTGAAGGCGGTTTCTCGTGGTAAGCGTGCTAGAAATGAGGATGTGGAAATGGGGTCGGTTCAAGACATGGGTGGGACAGGGAGAAGAGCGAGTAAGAGGGCCAGGAGCACCACTAGTCCCATGGATTACAGTGCACCGCCTCCAGCTGCAGCAGAAGATGGTGGTTCAGTGTTCATGGGGGAAGAAGAAGAAGAAGATGATACACAGAGTCAGCAGTCCGGTCAAGAGAACTACATGAAGTTCACCATTCAGAAACTGAAGGCTGAACTCACTAAGCACAATTTTGGTGACCAGCTGCTTCAGTTGAAGAATCCTAACAAGAAGGATATCGTTGCATTGTATGAGAAGTGCGTCCTGCAGAAGTCGTGATCGTTGTAGTTTGAGGTCTTGTACATGGAAGGCTTGGTTTAGGGTGCGGTCGATATAGTCGGTAAGAGAAGTGTGTGCTTAGGGAAGGTAAGTAAGTAGGGCTTGGTTGATTGATATCTAATTTATGGTTTGAGTGAGATGTGCCTTGTGAAAAGGGTTTGTGTGTTTGCTTTAGTATTTTGATTCTCCTGCAGGTATGTATGCTTACACTCATGGCGGATTACGGTTTAAACTTGATTGTCTAACACGACCTTATTCCTTTGGTAACTGATTATGTGAAGTTTGGATTTTTCGGATCATGTTCCAGTTCATTGATTCGGTTGATTTTCACTCTTTACATTTTTTTTTCTGGAGAAATTTTACAATGCTATATAGTATTGATGCTATAGGTTTTTGCTTTTATGGTACAACTTAAAATTGTACATTTGGTACAACTTCAGATTGTACCTATACTTTTTATGCAAATTCTTTTACGGTACAACTTGAACTTGTACTTTTATGTGATGGTACAACTTCAAGTTGTAAAGTTGTACCATAACATAATGATACAAATTATTTTATGGTACAACCTAAACTTATACATTTAATGTTGTGGTACAACTTTGAGTTGTACATTAAAGCATCAATGCTATATAGCATAGTAGAAGAGCTTTTTTTCTGGGATTGTATTTCATTTTGACTAGAAAGTGGTTTGGTTGGATGTAATTGAGATTTTGGTTGGATGTAATTGAGATTTTGGTTGGATGTAATTGCTATAATCTAAATCGTCTTTTGCATTTTATAGAGGCACAAGGTTGCCTAATGAGAGGCAGCGGGTGGAGAGGCGGCCGCCGGCGCGTGGACCTGCATGGGCATCGAGGCGGCCGTGGGGCAGATGATGTATTTACCTTCTTATTATTAATACAGAAAAAAATTAAAACTCATTCTATGATAACATAAATTATAACAGAGTCACTAAATTATAATAGTTAAACTCATCACTAATTACATAGGATACATATTTCTTTAAAAAGGTTTTGGGTCAACTTGGTTGAATCCGATTCGACCGGTTAACCATAAGTCAGTTACTTATGGTAATGGTAATCTCAAAAGCATTGATGTAACGGAATCAAAAGAGCATTCCGTTATCTAACAAGAAATGGAATTAATTTTCCAACAGAATTATATCCAAACAAGCTGTAAGAGATTCATTCCCTAAATCATAGTTTATACCAAAGCAGTTCAATAGTTTCCCTTTTATGTAATGTATAATCAACGGTAGTACAGCAAATAGAATAAACCGAAAATAAATACTTACATGAAAAATACTTAAGCAAATAGAATAAACCGAAAATAAATACTTACATGAAAAATACTTAATTTTTAAATGATGTTAGTGAAATAATTAATGGGGGATTTGAACATGATTATTAATTGGTTGAACCTCGAATCGATAGGGCAAAATAGCAAACTCCTACTCCCTTATCCTCTTCCTCCTCTTCGTTTCATATTGTTACTAGTAAAATGGAAGTATAGTCCATCCTCATGATTTCTGTTGCATTTATGCAAAACTCATGTTCTTTCCATTCTTTCAAATTGCACCTTCGCTTGTCTTCGACAAAAAAAAAAAAAAAAAAAAAGAAATTCAGATATCCTTCATCATAATTGTTAGGACTTTGCTACGGTGACATGCACTTTTCGGTCGACCTCATATAGGATTAGGTCGACCTAATCTGTTGCTTCAGTGTAAAAACAGTTTCATGATGCCTACTTTGGAGATTCATATCTTACAATTGGCTAGATGGAAATTGGAGATTAAAGGCTTGTTTTGAAGCTGAAGTGTCCCTCTACACATTAAAGTACTTGAGAGCTCAATAGAAAGTCCAAAAGACCACTTTTGTACCTGACCAAAAGGCTATGCCAAAACTGAGAAACTACCTGAAAATGGCTAAGTCTGGCAACGTGTTTGTCAATCCTACTTTGGAGCTCAATTTGAGAAGCATGGATGCGAGTCAAGTCCAGGGGCCTCTACCACAGTAAATTACGTATTTTATTATACAAAGGCAAGGCACTGGATGAAAGATTGAATATCTTTAAGGCTTAAAAAAAGGCTCGAAGTTGCTACGAAGGCTGTTTTTCTGGCAGCTTGCTTGTGCTCGAAGTCTGCCAGAAAAACAGCCTTCGTAGCAACTTCGACCCTTTTGTTTGAAGCCTTACATATATCCAATCTTTCATCCAATGCCTTGAATTTATATAAAAACATACCTAATTTAACGTGGTAGAGACTCTTGGACTCGACTCGCATTCATGCTTCTCGAATTAGCTCCAAAATAGGCTTCACAAACACGTTTCCAGACTTAGCCATTTCCAGGCAGTTTCCCAGTTTTGGCATAGCTTTTTGACGAGGTTCAAAAATGGTCTTCTAGACTTCCTATCGAGCTCTCTTCCACTTCAATATGTAGAGGGACACTCCAGCTTCAAAACAAGTCATTAGTCTTCAATTTCCATCTAGCCAATTGTATGATATGAATATCCAAAGTAGGCACCATGAACTGTTTTTACACTGAAACAACAAATTAGGTCGACCTGATCCTAAATGAGGTCGACCAGATCCTATATGAGGTCGACCGAATTTTAAATGAGGTCGACCTAATCCTAACTGAGGTCGACCGGAAAGTGCAAGTCATCGTGACATGCATGTCACCGTAGGCACACCCTAATTGTTAACAATCACATAAACCGTTGTATAGATGATTAGATGATACAATGAATGTCCAACACATGTTTTTGGGTCATCAACTACCTACTTCTTAAAATTGTTTTGGAAAAAAATGACAATAAAGAATTATCATATATTTGCGATTTTCAACTTATTTCCTTGATAACAAAGTTTCAACCCCTAATGTTACATAAAACAATATAATAATAGCTACTATACATTCCAACCAATTCTTTCTTGGGGGTTTCCACTCCAATATGATATTTCTCTAATTTATTAAAAAATATTTAAAATAGAATAAAACATTTTTTAAAAAATATATGAAAGCCAAAGGAAAAGTAACTACCTTGCTCTATGATCAAGAAACCCTAATCTTCCTTTCCCAAACAATCGCTATACTATAAGTTAGAAGAAATTAGAACAAATATGTTGCATATATAATTGACAAGCTGCTTTTGAATATTTACATATGAGTGGAATTTATTCCAAGCAAGAAAGCTTATTATTATTTTTATTATTATTATTATTATTATTGTACAATAATGTCAAATTACAACTCTACCCATGCCATTGCTCCATAATCAAGAAACCCTATTCTTTCCCTTTCCCAAACAATCACTATACTAAATACGTACAGTATAATTTAACCAATCACAGAAGAATAAAGCCAAAGGTGTCAAATGTTTCTTCTATAACCTATAAGTTAATGAAATATACCTAGCTCTCCCTGTACTACTTCTTCCCACCAAAAGAAAAGGGAATCCCATAGTGATTCTTGAAATCCTTTCTTTTGAGCTTTTCCCCCCTCTTACCAACAGATTCTCAAATACCCACATTACCCCACAAATACCCACCAAACAAAACCCCCCCCTCCAAATTCTGTCCTTAACTCCTACTCTACCTCCAACAACAACAAAAGAGACCTGTTCATGAGAATGAGATCTCCTCTGTATCTCACCCTCACCTCATTTCCTTTTGAACCTTCCCTTTGCTTGCATCAGCAGCAAGTCGAATATAGGAAGACCCATCACCTTGATCATGAACTACCAGATTCGGAATCAACGACTGATGACTAACATTATGCTCTTGGTCATAACCCATGAAAGTTGGGCTATAGTAATCAACTAGAGAGCTACTGTTACCTTGAATGTTACTGTTCCCACTTGGATTATTGTTCTTGTCAAAGGAATCCTTGATGGAGCTGGATCCACTTCCACTTCCACCACCACATTGTCTAGGCTGTGTTTGGTAGAACACTTTCGACACGACCAGCTCGCCATCCTTCTCCTCTTCATTGTTGCCTAGGTGGTACTGGTGCATTACCCAGTTGGTCTTCTCCGGCTTCCTCTGCCTGCCGTAGTTCGTGTACAGTACTAGTATCTTCTTGAACCCTTTCACCGTGCCGCCGACGAGAACCGCCCTGGTTTTCCCTGTCTTGTGCCACCTCGTCTCGCTCCCGTCTTCTTCTGTGTGCACCTTTCTCCGCTTCCTTGTCCCCGTCGTGTACGCCTTGGACGGCCTGTGGAAGAAGTGTCGGACTTGGCCGTCGTTTGTCACTCCTGTTCATCATCATCCATCCAAAACCCAATTTCTATCCATGAGTTCGTTTGCATACCAAATCTAGATCAGACGAACATGTTATTTAATACGAAGATATCAACGACTAAAGTTTTCTTAATAAATTGGCATGACGATTTGATTAAAATATGGGATAGATACATGAATACACATCAATCATTAATGGTGGGGAATTAAATGAAGGGATGGAAACTTGGTTGAAAAACATTTTGAAGGGTTTATTGTCAAACTTTGATGTCTGTGTTGTGGGTTTTCTTGTAAGTGAAGAAAACGAGACAGCCCACCAAATTAGGGCGGCAAAATCCCTAATATTAGTTAAAAATGTATTAAAAGGGAATTTCACTGCTAACAGTTGTAGCCTACCTAGTAGTTACTTGTACCATCCTATACCCGAAAACAAAAAAAAAGTTGGTTTAAGAGAATGTAATTAATCACGTCATTAACCCCATTTACGCTACTCCATGTGCCCTCCTCCCTCCCTTTTCTCGTCTGGACATTTTCACAAACACCCTTCGCGCATGGACTAGAAATGCAAATTGCAGAACGCAAAATTCGAAAAAAAACAACCTGGTAGCTTCTCAGGGTGCGTGTAGCAGATCCCGTTCTCGCCATCGATGGTGGGGATGAACTCGTCGATGAGCGGGTGGATTTTGCGGGAATCGGACGTGACCTTGGCCTCCAAATGCACCAGTATCTCTTGGTCGGTCGGGTCGAACTTCATCCCCGCCGGCAGCCCCGGCAAATCCTGTATCCCGCCCCCGCCGCCTCCGCCCTGTATATTTCCAAAAAAACCACCGGCCGGAACACAAAATTCATCAAATCTCCGAATACAGCTAGCTAGCTAGCTAAGTAAGGAATCAAACGTGGTTACCTGATCCTGGAAAGACGATTCCATGCCGTGGCCGCATGAGGGGCACTTGTTCCCGCCAAATTCCTCACCGAACCGGGAAATTACTCCATCGGCGCCGCCGGCGGGGAAAACTCTTTCAGCTTGCTCCCGATCTGCTGCGACTGCTGCCAGTACAGACGATGGATTATCGCTGCACCATGTCATTTCTCTCTCTCTCTCTATATATATATATATATACTCTAACAAAGACCTCGTAGCTATACAGATTACTCTCCCAGTACTGTATTCACAGTGATCGAATTCGCTGCTTCCTTTTTACTGTTTGGTTCCCGGGAAAAAATCGGGAGAGAAAATGGCTGAAGAGAGAGAGAGAGAGGGAAAGGAAGAAGAGGCAAGGAGATTAATACGTGGAAGCAAATAAAAAATGGGGAACGCAAAAAAGAAAAAGAAAAACAAAACTGTGGCTTTCGCGGCACGTTTTGCGTGGTTTTTGTGAGGGTTAAGACATTCGACCCGACCCGATTTTCCGCTTCGGGAATTTCTCTTTCTTCTCTGTGTAGGAGACGTGGAGCTGTTTTGGTTTGGGATTAAGGTTTTTTTTTTGGGATTATGCTGATTAGATACTAATTAAGGTTAGGAGGGTGAAAGAGAAGGGTTGGGCGGGCTGATTGTGGGTTAGCTTGTTTGATTAGCTCGCTAATCACTATGCCCACAGGAAGGAAAGAGGAAGGGGATAGAAATCCTCCATTCTCCAGCTATATAAGAAGACACGCAAAGGAGAGAGAATGATAAGGTTGTAGACAAAGGATGGGGAAACGGGAGGATTGCTTGGACGTCAAGTTTGGTTATGATCATGTGCAGCCGGCTGCACCGTAGGAGGGGGTGGGGGGTGGGGTGGGGTGGGGTGGGGGACTTGAGCCCAGCCTGACATATCTGATATCCCCATTATTTTCATCGTTGAACTTGATATTACTCATTTCCGTTTCATTCACAGTCAATACGAGAATTCTCCTTGGGGTGGCGTTCCTCGGTTAGCTGGATGGATAAGCAGAGTTGGATTAGAGTTTGGGAGGCAAAAATCACCCCGAAGTTGAAGGTATTTGTTTGGCAAATTCTTAATCGGGCTCTGCCGACTATGGAGGCGCTTATTGAGAAAAAGGTCCAGGTGCTACCTCGGTGTCCAGTTTGTTGGGATGAACTTGAGACAATGGAACACTTGTTTCTGTACTGTCCAGTGGCGCGTGCTCTTTGGGATTGTTCTGGCCTGGAGTACGTGGGAGAGGGTCTACCTCGGCAGACTTTTCCGTTGTTTCTCAAGCGTCTGTTGGGTTTGATCCATCACCCGTCGATGGTTATTGCTGTTGTTGCCATCCTTTGGAGGATCTGGCGATCTCGGAATTGGGTGGTCTTTGAAGGCAAGAAATTTGGGATCCCAGCTCTTATGCGCCAGTTTAATCAACAGTATGAGAAATGGGTGGGGCTACCAGTGGACCAGGTGCCTAGGGCACAAGCCCCGACAATGCGATCTGCAACACAATTGGATGGTTCCCAGTTTGTGTGCATGTGGGACGGGGCTACCAGGGGTGGGTCTCATTCGGCTGGTGGGATGGTTCTTTTTGGCCCTGGGAGGACACTCCTAATGGCTAGGGGGATTCAGTTTGCTCAAATGGATGATCCTGCAGTGGTAGAATTGCTTGTGCTTCGTGAGGCTATTATTTGGTGTATGGAGCAAGGTTTGTCGGCAGTCCGATTTGAGGGCGATGCGAATGTTATAATTGACAAGATCAATCAGGCCGACACAAGAGATAGCCGGTTGGGTGCTGTGCTTGAAGAGATTGTTCTTTATCTTCGTGCTCAGTCTGGCTTTAGTGTGCGTTTTGTAGGTCGGAAGAACAATAGGGTAGCTCATTTGGTAGCTAGGAAAGCCCTCTCTTTGTATCTGACTATGAGTCGCTTCTTTGATTTCCAGACATGACTGGTTTCCAGGGTGTAACTATCTTCTGCTTTTATCAATATATGATATCTTTTGACAAAAAAAAATACGAGAATTCTCCTTGAGTTGGAGAGGGTAGAGTGTCTACGACTGCGGATAAAGGGTTCGTTTGGTTTTGGTGATTGTTTGGTTGAGATAGTTACAATACATACATTGTTCACGATGCATCGTTTTTCTGAATTTTTTGCACAAGCAATACATGCATTGTTTGTTTGATGTGACACAAACTATCACTCAAAATGAGTGATAGTTAAATCTCAAGTTTTTGGTGAGATTGTTTGATTGAGATTGTTGTGTGTTTTTTTCTTCCACCTTTGTCTCTACCTTTTTATGTGTCTTGCTTTTTGTATTACAAAAAAGGGTAAAAAGTGACATTTCACCCAAAAAGTAAGATAACTTATTTAAACAACACAATAACTATCACATAAACCAAACGATGTAAACTACAATACACCGATTTTCTTATATACATGTATATTATTATTCATGCATTAATGACAATGCATTATTTATTGGAAAAAAAAATCTATTTAAGTATCACCAAAACCAAACGAACCCTAAATTGTCATCTCTATACACCTCTAGACGAATCCAAGATTGAAGAAAAGTTGGGTAGCAAAAATTATTTCTGTTTTTTTTTAATAAAAGAAAACTTGTTTCTATATGACGTATTATTAATGTACACAATTAGATCAGTTACCATATACCTGTCACATATAGCATGATACAAACATGTATTTATGTATATATTTCTTTGCGTACACTTGTGACCATAAGAACAAGCCAAATGTACCCATCTCTTCCATTTACATTCTGATCCTGACTTGCCCGACATTCGTAATTCCTTTATTTCAATTTCGGCCGGACATGACATCGAGTCGGGTTGGATAATTTTAGGTTGGGGTCTCAGTTTACAGGTAGGGTTATTTTTGGTTTGGCTAATTTCAGATTAAATATTGACCAATCCAATATATGTATGCAAATAATTTGTCTAACACATGTCAACTTGCATATTTTCAAATTTTTATATGCTATAAAAGGAATACAAATCGCGGGACTAAGATATAAAACGGGTGAAATGGGTCGACCAGCTGAACCACCCAACCAAACCCAAAAAATTGTGCGTTAATCGAGTTGGATCATTCGGGTTATAAGAATTTCAACCCAATTTAAATTTCTCTAGCGGGTTCGAGTTTGGTCAACGAGTCGGATCATCATTTGCCATGTCTAATTTCGTCCGTTTGTTTTCATGACGGTTTTACCTATTGGGGTCTAGTGTTGGATATTATTTCATGTTTAAAATGAAACCGAACTTATAAGAAACTAAACGCTTTCGTGTTTTTGGTTCCAAATCATGATATATCTTAATGGTTTCGATTTTGGTTTAAATCAATGAATCCAAATTCAATCTTTGGTAGGGGTGATGTCTGGCTTGTAAGTTTTACCTATTTTGTGCACTCTCCCTCGATTTGGTATTTTCTGATATCCTCAACTGAAATCGTACTGTTAAGAGGCGTATCGATTTCCATAAACCAAAAATCGAGAAGCCCCTTAACGGTTCAGATTCAATCTTTATAGAATTAATCATTATTTTTATTTTTGTCTTAACAATTCTGATAACCGAACCGACAACCCTAGGGTAGACTCATTCATTTTACCTCTATATGCATGAACCTTTGTCACTATACGTTGTCCCTCTTGTGATCACTACTACCCGATAGGGGTGGGCATACGGTTCGGTAAAACCGAACCGAACCAAATTCAAATCGAACCGAAACCGAATAACATTATTTCGGTTCGGAATTCGGAAGAGAAAAGGGTATATTTCAGAAACCAAGGTTCTTTCGACCGAACCGAATTTCCAAATTCCGAACCGATTTTCCGAATTACTATAATTGCAAGTTCCTAATGGTGAATTTTTATGTTTGTACTTATTATGAGACTTAAATATTTGAATTATGTTAGTGTTTTATGAGTTATGTGTTGAAATGTTTGATTTTATCATTGATGATGCATTTAATTGCATATTTATTGTTTACATTAGGGGTGAAAAATAATTTGAAAGAGAAAAAATACAAGCTAACCTCACAATTTCGGGTTTTCATACAAAACCAAACCGAACCGAATTATAATTCGGTTTGAACCGACCGAACCGAATTATAATTCGGTTCGAATTCGGTTTGAGGTTTGATGGAACTCGGAAATCCGGTATACATTATTTCGGTTCGGTTTGAACCGAACCGACCGAATGCCCACCCCTACTACCCGATCAATGTACAATTCTAACATGATGATCTGTACTACTTTTTTCCGAGCACTATGTAGTCACACATAATACGGCTAGGGATGGCAACAAAATCCGAACCTATGGGTACTCATCCGACCCAACCCGGTCAACGTGGGTAAAATCCGTGTTGACAGGTTTTGGGCCGAATTTAGGTTTAAACACATTCACTATTCACCGGGTTGGGTTTGGGTTTAGGTAAACCAGGCCTATGGGTACCCGCCCACACTCATATAATTAATTTTCTCGATATATTTAATATTCTAAACAACTAATCTTATTTATGTTTGTGGAGACATGTCTAATATTTATCTTTCTAATTGTGTAGAATGAAGTTGATGTTATCGAGTGGGGAGTGAAGAAACTTAATTGAAAGGAAGAAGCTTTCAATTAATCATGTTATTTATGGATAATTTGTGATTTGCTTCAATTTTCTTGAGTTATCTAGATTGGTGTTGAACAATTTGTATAGTTAATTTGTGATTGAATTTTCTAGAATGGTGTTTTATATATGGATAATTTGTATTAAGAGATTGATATTTGACTTTAATTTTGATAGGAACTTGTTATTGTAAATTTCTTGCGATAAAGACCCGTGGGTAAGTTGGGTTTGAGTTTTTCAAACCTAGTGGGTTTTACCTCGGGTTTTTTTCACGGATAAACCCATGAGTTTGGGTTTGGATTTGACAAAACCCGACCCAACCCGACCCATTGCCATCCAGAAATACGGCGCCACAATAGGTTACTTTCGTTACAAGTAATCCCCACTCAGCAAGCAACAAACCCTAGCTAGGTATGCAAATGGAGACAGGTTGGCGGCTTTAGGGGAACTGTGTAATGTATATGCAAGAAAATTGCACCCGCCGCCAGCCGCTTTTTTCAGTGTTGTTTATAAGTCGTATTTTATACGTATTTCAGTATTTGTATTATTGGGAGTCGGGACCCAGAGGTTTGATTGGCCTGGCCGACGTCGTATGGCCCACTGCAATTGGTCATGGATATGGGTCCCTTTGATTTTGGATGATGCCTTGATAAGTAAGCTACCGCAGATAAAAACCCTCCTCGACGCTTTTCATCATTTCCATTCAACTTTGACGTACACATTAGGGTTTTGAAAAAGAAGAAAGAAAAGCTTCCCAATTTGGATTTCTTTAAACATAAAAACGAAACACTTGGTACATATTTGCCTTCATATCTATTTGCCCTTTTCTCCGCCATCTGTCTTCTGGTCTAATAAGCGTCGTTCATTTTACACATAAACTAATCACAAAGAATAAACAAAAACAAAAAAACTAATCGCAAAGAGTGTAATATGAAATAAAAATGGTAACGGGAATTAGGGTACGGAGATGCAATATAAGTATCGAAATGCGAAATTAAAGAAGTCATTAGGGTTGTGTTCTTTTGGAACTTTGGATGGTGATGGGCCATGCTGGGACACCTAATTAAAGATTCTCAAGCATTGAGATGACTCAAGAGTTGATATTCATACAATAAGTTATCTCTGTACATGATATGTTAATCGTCAGAGTGTAGATAACGAGGATCATCCCAGTCATTCCACACAACTACCACAAAAAGATCGAACAATCGAAGCCCAAATAAGAATCCCCAGAGTATTTTGGCTGAAATAAAATCCATGTAATTAATTAAGCATATACACTATCGTAATGTACAAGTTTGGAATGTGGATTTCATATGGCCCTTTTACGTACATTCTACAGACAGATTTATACCTATTTTTATCAAATAGAGCATTAGATCTATCACAATGATTGTGTAGTTAGTGTTCCCACTGTCAGAGTACTCTTTCCTAATGAAGAAAGTGGGAAATAAAATAAGTCAAGACGTTTGCGTAAAGGGATCAATTACGCGAACAGGGGAAACTAATTAAAAAGCAAATTAACATATAGGAAAACAGGGATACCATTCGTTGAGTGAGTGAAAAAAGAAGGAACTTTGGTACTGGAAAATAGGGTGTGCAACTAGTTGGTTTGTACAGACTGTATCAAATCATTATTGAATTGAATATCATAGTTAGTAAAATATGGTACTGGAAAGTTACGTATAAAATATATACGAATATTTTACTTTATTTTTATTAATGTTATGTTTAATAGTACGTTATTAATTATAAATATATAAAATTAATTATTACAAAATATAAAAAGAAATATAAAAATACTAAATTTAATAATTTAATTCATTAAATATGGATATTAAACGTTTTATACGGGTTTTATACATGTTTAATACATGATCCATCAAATGAACGGTAAAAACTGAAACAACTTGACATTAATACGAATACAGAATTTTTTTACGAATAAAATACGTATGGGTGCATATACGTGTATTAAAACGAAGTATTTACTATCTATGTTGAATATAACGTGATCCAATCCTTAGTTGTATGAATTTTATAAATATTAAAGAGAAATTAACCAAAGTAATATTTGGACCGTGCAAGGTCATTGACAAGTGTTTTATTCAATTTTCGGAGTTTGCACAACCAGGAATTCGCGAACGGGCCTTGGTCCATGAAAGCAAAGCCCAAATAGTTGGAGGCCCAATTTTTCATTGGTTAGGTTTATTTTGATCTTATATATGGTTTCAAGACCTAGAAGCAGTGGCGGACCCAGAAAATTTACATTGGGGTATTTTCTTTCAAAAAATAAAGTAAAATAAGAATTATATTATTCTTAAATAAGAAAATACCCAACTCGTACAAGTTAAAAAAGTCAATGATGTATTTTCATATTCTAAAAATTTTATAGAATACACTTATTGTCTACACTGCTCAACAAATTTGTCTCGATATATCCTACTACACAATCATTCATGAACTGACGCATATTTGACTTCTAAATTTGTTCATGATGTTACTTAAAGTTGAAAAACCACTTTCAACACTTGTTGTACAACCATAAGGGTAGCTTGTAATTAGATCAATTGTTAGATTTTAAAAATAATTAAAGATAGAGAATAGGGTTTTGCTATTACACAACATAACAACAAAAAAGTTGTAGGCTAATGGAAATTATATTTATTAGTAATACTAGTGTCACGGGTTTGAATTACCCAAACTACCACTTATATTCCCATAAGCAAACTACAAACGAGAGTAGTATAATCGTTCTTTCAAATTTTAGGGTGTCCCAGACTATTAGTTATACTTTTTTTTTGGTTTATAAGTAAATTACCATCAGAGGTTAGATAATCGATCTTCCAAAATTTAGAGATCTCCTTGGACACCCCGAAATGCCCCTGAGCCCGTCCTTGCCTAGAGGCGGCATTTAATGGAGGTATCGGGAGCCGTGTCTGTGAAATATTGAAATCGTTCTATATTTGCGGTCCGATCACCGGTTTCATTCTTCTATGTGCCCATCGATCGGTCTTACAAGACATTGTCGAAACTCGAAAGTGAGGTTTTGGATGCCCATTTACAACGTGTTAAGAGAAAGCGAGATGAGACTTGAGAGGGACACCACATGCAAGTCGCCCAAAAATATTATCTTGTCACAATTTTCATTGAATCCTATAACAACTTTCTCAATGTTGATTGATATCTGAATTTAGATAATGTACACGGATATTTAATCTTTTTTTAGCTACTTGATTTAATTAGCGGTTTGGTTGACATCTCATGTATAGTACGATTTTACGGCTTTTAGAATATATAGAGATGGACAATTTTGCGATTCTCACATACCTTTTTTTTTTACTTATTTGGATGACAGGGGATGTGCTTCTTCTGTTATGCGCATAGAATAAGGATATAAGAATGTCGTTTTGTACACAACAACATGTATAAGGTCAGACTAATCGTATACAAAAATTGTTTGGAAGGAAATATAACTGTGTAGTCTATAATTGGTTGAATAGTCGTACTTTCATCGAGAAAGTTTAGATTCAATTCCTCGCCCAAATAGTAGTAAAACGTGTTATATTCAACATGGTTTTTTGGTTTACGGATATTTTTCATTGAGCTATGACCAAACTCTAAGGCTTTATTTAGTATCCATGTCATTCCATTTTTGCCATTCTAGAATCCAAACTCCAACTTTTTTTTAATGAAATCAAAATCATTGCAACTTTTGAAGAAAAAAAGAACCAAAATCATCAAACAAAGCCACTTAAAATGGTCTAAAATTATGAAGTTTGATGACTTGAGGCAACTGGCTCATCTGGGCCAACAGTAATGTAGTTGGAATAGCGTGGGCCTATCGAAAGAGGGCCTTTCATCCACTTTAAAAATATCCGAGAGATTCAGGACCAGCCCTTTTCTCCTGGCCCACCATCATTTATGGACTGTTGGCCCACTCACGCCCCAGTAAATAAATTCTAGCAAGCAGACAGCCAGCAGCCGACGCAACAAACAGGCTACACCAGTACAGAATCTACTTGCTAGTTGCTATCAGGGCCATTTTCATCTCACCCTGCTGCTCACGGCATCCTCCCAACTCTTTTCATCTTCTATAACACGTTGTGTGGGTCGCGAAATGTTACAATCCACGTTGCGAATCTGATCCTCTATCGACGATTTAGGAGTTACGACATAACGAATTATCAAAATTACGTTAGTGTAGTGCTGCATTACCACTCCCGTTTCCATCGTTACTAGGCGGTACGACTTACTCGTGAATATACATTACTAGTTGAAACCTAGAAAATACTGTTTACAACCAAAGCAGGAATTTACCCCACACCTGAAATCATAGGATGGACACTCATTGAAACTAACCTGACAAAGCTGCAGGCTTGGTGGGTTCTCAACTCTTTTTTTAAACTAGAACACTGTACAATGCAGAATCCATTCCTATAGAATCAATCACTATCCCAACGCCAAACCCACAGTGCAAAAAAACAAACTAGGGTTCTCAAAATCCCACCTCCAGTAATCATCTCTGTTCCAAAAATCATACTACACTCCCTTGATCCGAGGCATCCTCGTAGTAATACGGTGTCAGTTTGCCATCTTTCGTCGTCTTCGATTGAGCTTCTCCCCCAATCTCCTGCAGCTGCTTCACCACCCTCCTCATGGAGGGCCGGTTGATCGGGAGATGGCTCGTGCAGAGGATCCCGATGTTGAGTACCCTGCATATCTCTTCCTTGAAACAAGAATCCAGCTTCGAGTCCAGAACGTGGTCGACCCCTTTCTGGTCGATCGTGGTTCGCACCCACCTCGCCAAATCTTTCTCCCCAAACTCGGGGTCCACCGGTAGCCTTCCTGTCACCAGCTCCAGGACCACGACCCCGAAACTGTATATGTCGCTCTTCTCGTTCACACGTAATGTGTAAGCATACTCTGAATGCAAAATGAACAACCCATCAGAACACAAATGTGAATAGTGAAATACTAAACGGCAAATGTAGTGATCAAAGGTTTAACCAACCTGGAGCAATGTAGCCACAGGAACCTGCAATGACAGACATAGACTTGGGTCTGCCCATGGGGGAATCCACAACCTTGGCTACTCCGAAATCGGCTACCCTAGCTCCGAACTCGCTGTCGAGCAGAATGTTGTTCGACTTGACATCCCTGTGAACAATCGGTGGCACACAATCGTGATGCAAGTACGAAATGCCCTCCGCCGCGTCCAAGATGATCTTGAACCTCGTCGGCCAATCCAGCAACCCTCGCTTGCTGCTGTGCAGCAGGTCGCCCAAGCTGCCATTCGGCATGTACTCGTACACCAGAAGCTTGCAGTCCCTAGTGACGCAACAGCACCACAGCTTCACAATGTTCTTATGCCGAATCTTGCCTAACGTCTTCACTTCCGCATCGAACCCATCATCGTCCTTGTCATCACTAACTCCTTTCTCCACATCGCCGCCGCTTTCCTTCTTCGCTCCACCACCCCAGAGCTTCTTCACGGCAACGGCTTCGCCGTTGCTGAGTACAACCTTATAAACCCGACCCGACGACCCGCTTCCAATCACATTGTCGTCGTCTAGCGCGTCGAGGATTTCGTACTCGCTGAACCCTAGCTTGTGGAACGACATTAGGGTCCATTTCGATTTGTCGATTGACCGGCCGCCGCCGCCGGGGGATTTGATGTTCCTGTACCTGAAGTAGAACCAGACGACTCCGACGAGGAAGATTATCACGGCGAGGATGAAAATCGACCTCAGCAGCCAGGCGTAATCCTGGTTATTCCTTTTCCCCTGACACAATCCAGCTATTTCGCTGCACAATCCGGGATTCCCTAAAAAGCTGCTCTTGTAAATTTCTTTGGCGTACAGCGGCGGGATCTCTCCGGAGAGCTTGTTGTTCGAGAAGTTGAGCTGGTTGAGCTTCAGGTTCTGGAGATTGGATGGGATTTCGCCGGAGAGCTGGTTGCCGGATAAATCAAGGTAGTTGAGAACAGAGAGCTTACTGACGGAGTCGGGGATTTCGCCGCAGAAGTGGTTCCGGGCGAGATTCAACTCGTTTATCTTCTTCCACGAATCAATTTCAGAGGGCAGCTCGCCGGAGAGAAGATTATCGTGAAGATCCAGTTTCCCCAATTGTTTGAGATTGAGTATACTTCCGGGGAGCGGGCCGGTGAACCGATTCTCACTAGCCGAAAACTCGACCAAACCACCGACCCAACCGATTTCCTCCGGAATCGAGCCGGTGAACCCGTTCTTATCCAGAATCAGCATCGACAAATTCGCCGCGCTGGCGATGGTTTTCGCGATTTGTCCCGAGAACGAGTTGTTGACGAGATCGACGAGATAAACTCGGGGCAAGCCCCAGAACCCGGCGGGTATCTCGCCGGATAACTCGTTGTTCCCCAATCGGACTCGGGCCAAGCTCCGGCACGCGGTCAAGCTCGCCGGAATTTGACCAGAGAGCGAATTGGACAAGGCGAGGAGCTCCTCGAGCTCCCCCTTCTCGCACAGCGTCGCCGGGAGAGGACCGGTGAACTGATTATTCGACAGGTCCAGCCATCTCAACGGCGAGTTTTTGCCGAGATTTTGAGGCAGGTCACCGGTCAGCCTGTTGCCGAACAGCCGGAGCTCGAACAAATTTGGGGAAAAGGAAATGCTTGCCGGTAAGTTGCCTTCGAATCCATTCTCGTAGAGATTGAGACTCTCCAACGGCAACCGACACAAATCTTCCGGAATCGAACCGGTCAGCCGGTTCATCGACGCGTCGAGGAGCCGTAACTCAGTCATATTCCCCATCCCCGCCGGCAACTCTCCGGTAAGCGAGTTGTTGTAGAGCTCCATCTGAACCAAGCTGATTAGTTCCCCGACCGAAGTCGGAATCCCGCCGACCAAATCGTTAATCGCAAGGTCCAAATCGGTCAGCTTCTTCAACCCACCGAGAGAAGAAGGAATTTCCCCAATCAAATTACATTCCGTCATCCAGAGTATCTCCAAATTCGTCAAGTTCCCGAGCTCCGCCGGGATCCGACCGGGAGAAAACGGGTTGTAGGACAGATTCAGCATCTTCAGAGTCGAAACGTTCCCCAAAAAGGGGGGGACGACACCATCTAAGAGATTATACACGACGGAGAAAACCTCGAGTTTCTGAAACCTGCCATAGGAGGCCGGAATCTTCCCGGAGAAATTATTCCCGGTGAGGTCGAGGTACTTGAGATTGGGAATGTCCGGTAGAGTCTCCGGGAGGGTTCCGGTGAGGAAGTTCTGTGCGAGATCGAGGTGGACAAGGGACCGGCAGGAGGAAATGTCGAGGGGCAGAGTGTCGTTGATGGAGTTGTTGTAGAAGGAGATGGAAGTGAGGTTGCGGAGGCGGCAGAGGACGGAAGGGAAAGGGCCGGCGAGGTTGGAGTCGGAGAGGTCGACGGAGGTGACGGAGCGGGTTGTCGGGTCGCAGGCGACCCGGGGCCAGGAGCATGGGTTTTCGTCGCGGTCGGACCAGGAGGCGAGATTGGAGTCCGGGTCGGAGAGGGAGAGCTTGAGCTGGTAGAGGTATAGTCCCTCCTGGTTCAGGGAGGAGGAGAAGGAAGGGAGGAAGAGGAGGAAGACGAAGAGAAGCATTTTTGCCGGGTCGGTGAAAGGTTGGAAGAGGGTTTGGATTTTTGGAGTAGTTGAGGAGTTACCACTGAGTCACGCCATTGGAGAGGTATGGGGAAGAAGAGAATGAGAAATGGTGTGCTGGTGGAGATGGCGGTGGTTCAAATATGAGAAGGGAAGGGAAGGGAAGGGGAGAGTGACAGTTGGGGAGATTTATAATCACCTTTCATTATTATTGCTGTCATGGTGTCAACTCCACACTCCACAGTCCAAGACAAGAAGGTGAAGAAGAAGAAGAAGAAGAAAATCCATTGCAGATTAACTGATGGCACATGCTAGTCCAAGACAAGCGGGGTGGAATACTAGTAACGGAAGCTATTGCGATAATTTTCTGACAACAAGTTGTATAGTGATATGTAATACTAGGAGAGAATTGAACTCAGAATCCATTCAATTAATTATCTTCACTCCAAATCAGGTGACAAGTGGAATTCCATGAACATTTTGATGTGTCTGCTACGCGTGTCGTTTCTTTGTAATCACACATCACACATCACGATGGTTTGTCGTTACATAAGATGATTATATACGACAAAACTTTCTAATGGCAAGCGGCGGAGAGAAAAGTGGCAAAGCTTCACCTACAAAGACTTTCCATACTATGAAAGTAAGTGAAAAGACACGGAGGCTCAACTGAACTGTACGCCCCAAATAGAAATGAAATTTCAAAATCTTTAAAGATATTAGACATGATTTCTTTTTATGATTATGTGATCCATATTACGAGTGATCTCCTCGCCCAACAAAAAAAAATAATATATTAATGACCGTGAGTGTCGTCTGCTTCTTGTGGGTTGAGGTGCACAGGAGAAGTCCATAATTTCGAATCAGAAAAACATGCATATACACAAAAAAGAGCAAATTAGATTGCTAGACTGACTATAGTATAATATGAAGCTATGTGTGTAGTTAGTTATGTTAATGGGTATCGATAGTTGTGTGAATTTGTTTATATATCCATTGATCCATTCTCATGAAGAGGATTAGTAATATAACAAGCCACAAAAATCCCTAATGATGTGATTAGAGCACTCCTTTCCCCCCTTAGCTTTCGACAATAGAATTTCAGCAATCGGAAAGCGGCAGTAGTACTCTCTAGTTGCGGTGGTGAATTGAATAATGAATGGGATTGATGGCTGCCTGGCCTGCGACAACTGTCGACTCGAGCAAGTAAATATCAAAGTTAGACAAACATATGAGAGATGTCTATTTTGGGCTTTGATTTCTTCTCTTTTTGGTTCGAGCCGTGAAAAGATTAGACAGAAGGAGGTGTCGGTTTATGGTTCTAATCAAACGGCCTAATTTTGGAGGGTTTATCTCTTTTTGTACTCCTTTTTGGCCTTTCATTATTTTAGGCGTGACATGTGTCTTCAAAACTTTTTTACTGGTTGATTATTTTTCCTCTTTTATTTTTGAAACGGATTTGTAACATCTCAACCTTTTTTTTATATTGATATTATCTGTTTTGGTTTCAGTATCATACGATTTTAATTTTGAGTGCATTAAGGATTGCGTTATTTTGCTCCAAAACGCGTATTCTCATTGAAAATCGAATCGTTCCATATGACTCATAGATCTCTCTCATTACTTGTTGATGTGGAAATCGCATAAAGTGTTACACGGTTATTGTTGATAGTTTTTGAAGGGGTTCTACACAAATCAATAATTGAAATTAGAGTTAGTTTCGAAGGTGGAATGAAAACGGAAGAACACATATAAACGAGGAATTTTACAATGCTTTATAGCATTAGTGCTTTGGTTTACAAAAAAAAATTGTTATGATACAAACTGAACTTGTACTTTTAACGCTATGGTGCAAATTCAGTTTGCTACAAGTGCATGCAAACATATTGATGATGAAAAACACATTAAAACATGTTGTTTCTTTCCGGGCATGTTACATGAAAATTTTACACCATTAACGATTTAACGACAATGTAAAAAAAAAGAAGCATTCCTTTATAAAAGAAAATGAATTTGTACCGTAATATTATGATACATACTTTCAGCAAATGAGCATATCAATTTCAGGGTGTAGTTTCATTTATTATCTGCCGAATAAATAAAATAAACCAACTATCTAAGTTGATTGTGACCCACTCCTATAATACTCATGACTACTATTATAGGAGTGGTTAAATGAGATGATTGGTTTATTTAGCCATTTAATTACGACTTCTTTGGGTATTGGGTAAAAAATGGGTTACAACTTACAAGAATAAGGTTTTTAGATTTGATTGGCAAAGCCGTCGGCTGGTCTGGCGAGCGGCATGCGCTGCTGCTTTGCTTGCCTGTCTGTCTGTGTGGGCTTTCGGCCACACTTTTCCTCCTTTTGGATCTCACGCGAGCAGTCAATTGAGCAGCACATTCATGAAAACCCGCCCTTGGTTGTTTACCAAGTAATCGTTTCAAGAATTTTTTTTATGATTAAACTTCTTATTGGTCTTGTTGTTGTTGCTTGCTTCGACTTTTTGTTGCAAGAAAAATCCGCCGTAAATTTCAGAAAATACAAAGTGAGATAATAGGTGTATTTTAGATTAATCGCTTCAAATTAATAGGTCGTTTGGTTTCTATGTATGCCGAATAGGTGTATTTTAAGTTCCCTATTCAGCATACGGTAACTTAAAATACACGTATGTTGAATATGTGTATTTTAAGTTATCGTAGCTATCAAATGTAAGATAGTCTAATGGTAAGCTACCACGACAGTAAATGTTTGGGAGTTGCAGATCTCATATTCGAATCCAAGCGAGGCTCGTTGGCGTTCCTGGAGGTATAAGGCTGTTGGTGGCGAAGCCCAGTTGGTGTCGAATTGAATGTAGGTGACCCCCGGATTTAGTAGGACCCGCTGTCACAAAGTGGCATTGGTTCATCTTTGTAATGGTATTTGTTCGTCTTAATGTAGACAAAGTAAAATCGAGAAGAAGAAGGAAGAGAGGTGGTCGAAGTAGACCTGGCAATCGGGTCGGGTTGGGTACGGGTCGGGTTGGGTACGGGTCGAGTCATATTTGGTTGGCTTATTTCGGATCAAATATTGACCCAACCCATTTCGGTTTCGGGTCAGGTTACAGGTCATTTCGGGTTATGAGCGTTCTCAGAAACGATATCAAACATGCTTCATATTTTCTTAAAGAACACATATATTCAAATATGCATGACAATAGTTTACCTAACACATGTCAATTAACATATTCTCAAATCCTCCCACGCTAATGAAAGGAAATATGAATTGCGCAAATCGTCAAAAAACAATCAAAAGAGTAACACTACTACAAGAAACACATTATATTTGATTATCCTAAAACTCCAAACATGGCATTGAAGTCCTTGTGATTTTTTTTAAACATCTCACCAATTTATGAGTGATTTTATAATATTCTGGGAGTAATATATTAAATGGAACGGGTCTAACGGGTCGACCTGCTAACCAACCCAACCCGACCAAAAAAAATCATGGGTTATCGGGTTCGGGTCATTCGGATTTCGGGTTACAAAAATTTCTAGTTTTTGGGCGGTTTCGGGTTGGGTCAACGAGTCGGGTTGTAATTTGCCAGGTCTAGGTTGAAGAAGCATAACTATGGTAGGGGAAGTAGAGCTGTGGGCGGAGAACGGTTGAAGTGAGAGAGAGAGGGAGAGATAAATTTCAATTAATATGTATTCATAATTTCCATTAATGTAATTTATTAAAAAAATCAATAATAAATACGGGTTTTCATACCAATTTAGTCTAAATAATCAAGAATCCATAGTAGCCACAATATCCAGTCCCTTATTTTCGGTTTATTATTTCTTTCCAGCTACGAATAGTGTCAATAAGACACTAACCTTATGGTACATAACTTTGCATAACTAAATCTAGTCTCTTCCTTTTACGTGGTTCCCAAGTCTAATGGTTGAAAATTAAAGCATTTTTATTTTTTTTCTAGTTTTTTCAATTGGTTCTTATCTTCTTCGTCAAAGGTCACTTTTGAACTATGAATTATACGAGAAGTGACACAACTGAATAATTGATAATTTGGTGAATAACTACTTGATCGAATGTATTGAAGGGAATGAACTTGAATACAATATCACATAATTTATTCATAATTAGGATTCCACTAAACTAAAATCCTCACTACTTCATTGCCCAGTACTCTTAGAGCTTACTTCTGAGTGGAATTATAACCATATGTAATTATATATTATCAAATTTTCACAAGAATCCCACCATCATATATGTCTTTATAGCACTTTTGCATGGCACATATGAAGCGTGATATCCTCTGTTGTTTTGACATTTTCATCAAGTCATGAATTCATTATGTCTTGCATTCATTATGTATTTGTTGTTCTTGGGTACTAATATAATTAATTACAACTAATGTCTAATATAATTAATTATAAGGTATCATATATATTAGATCAAACGAACAAAGAATAGTAGCTGTAAGTTATGTAAATACTAAATAGAGGCTTGGACCGACACAATAAATTCCTCATTTGATTATATTTACTTACTTGCAACAAACGTTTGGTCCTCGTCATAATATATAACTTATAACAATCGACTTACCAGAACTGAAACCATGGATACGTACATGTCTTAGTGGGACAGATGGCCAGACAATTCTATTAATTCAACAGACAAACCTAACATGCATGTGACTACGAGTATACAAGTTAGGCAGGCAGATCATTATTGTTTCTAGTTAAATTGGATTAATTAACTTTATACACATTTATATGTTTTTTTTAAACATTTTTTTGGTATAGTTACACCGAACTAATTTTGAGTCGAATGCATAACATTTTTTTATTTTTTTTTACAAATAGAAGCTTATGTTGCACTATGAAAAGATTGGCTATGTACAAAAAGGGACAAATACAAAGAAAACCGCGATAACAAATCCAGAAAGACATTCCACAGCATAACAGAGCGAAACACAGATTGACGAACGTACCCAACAAGGAGAGCACAAATCTTGATCCAAAACTCAGTACACCCAAAAGCTGTTTCGCTAGTCCGACTTTAACTCGATGTTCGATTATAAACTTTACGGCGACAATTGATCAACGTGCTACAAATTGCCTCATTGAGGGGGCTTTTGAAGATGAACCATCACAGTGAATCTCGAAATTGGGATTTGTCGACGGTAGACAAGAACGTGAAGACCAGACTGCATGCTCATCAGAGCTGGAAAAGGTATAGAGTTACATTTACGTACGGGAGCTGGATCGCCATGCACAGTGGAAGAAGGAGAAGAAGAAGGAAAGTGAATAACCGAATAAGACGAAAGGACTAGGATGATACAAATCCAGCTTTTGCCTAAGCTCAACGCAAGAGTCAAACTCAAACAGTAGTACTGAAACTTCTCCTCTTTTCTTTTTCTTTCGCTTGCGGAGCGACTCATCACATCATCTGATAGCGTTGCATCCCTATTAGAACGTTTTCGCTTGAGGTTACTAGCATAGCCTCTTTTTTTTTTTTTTTTATATAAGGGTGATATAAGTTT